ACGGCTCTCCGTCGGATCGTCCTTTAATCGAGAGAGAGGAATGATAGGGACGACATCCTCTCGAGTCTCCTCATCGTGGAGAAGAAACAGTGTCTCTAGACTCTGCTGTGCCTGTCGAATCTCAGTCTGGATAAAATGCCGGAAGGATTCCATGTCATATCTAGTCCCTTGTAGGTGAGCCGTTCTTAATCCTCAGACCAATAGATATAACCAAGACTGGTGGTGGTATTCTGGATCTTTTTCCCATACGTGCGGAGTCGTGTGATCCAGGCAAAGGGGCTTCGCGTTCCATGGATTAAGAATCGCTCTCGCATTTCATCAAGAGCATCTGCAGGATGCTCCACCTGGTCTTCGTCAGCCTGGATAATAGCCTCCTGAACCACAAGCATCTGGGCCATCTTAACCAGACCAGATAGTGATGGGGTATATGAATATGCATCCCGAAAGGTCCGTTTCTCTGCATCGACGCCTAGCACAGCAAGAAAGCCAACTACTGCGCTTTCATAGAGATCTCCTTTTAACGTGTGATCGAGCAGGGCAATCGAGAGACGGAGACAGGCCTGGTCCAGCAGCGCTTGGGCTTCAGCCAGGGTCGACCCTCGGATCACGGTGGGAAGCGGCCGTGTGATTTGGCCTTGATAGGCTAATACCTCAATCCCATACTCCACCATCTCATCAAGATGCTGGAGTTGCCGTGGGGTCAGCCGATGACGCAGCTGGACAGGCTGCTCGGGCTGGGTGGAACGGTGGACGAAGGAGAGAAGCCGTTGCCAGAGATGTTCATAACTCCGATAGGTTGCCTTCTTTAATTGAATGAATAATGGTCGATCCCAGGCCCGTCGGTGTTGTAGGAAACTATTAATCTGGACTTGATCAAAAACATTGATCTTATCTTCTTGAATTGATTGATGTGCTTGTTGAATAATCCTGCTAACACTACTAGCAAATTCTGCCAGGAGTGGTTCCTGCAAGGGATCAGGCCGTGCTCCTAGCAGTGCCACCTGCTGAAAGGAGTATCCACAGAGATAGTCCCCCCAGCGGGTCATCTCAAGCCAGGGAGAGGCCTCTGTTGGTGCCCTATGACTCTGGATCATATTACTTGCAGTATCGATGATCGCCTCACTTTGGGCTAATGCGGTATTGACCTCGGCTTCAATCCGGTTTGCTCTAGATAATGGTGTAGTTTGTAACTCCTGATTAATCAATGATAAAGAAGGAGTCACAGCAAAGTATTGACTTCCCACCCCGGACAAGAAGAACCGCTGACAATGCACTCGAGGATAAATATGGATATGGTGGGTGAAGGCACGTGGAGGACCTCGTGGATTTTTTGGGATCTCTGGATGCTTGAGGATATGGATTCGCATGGTTTCTTTAGCTACTGCCACATAGGGACATGTCGTGCTTGGACATTGATATCCTTGAAAGATTGGGAGATAGGGAATAGGAGCACTGGTAGATAATGGGAATTGTAGACTTTGCTTCTGGGGATCAATCCAGGGCTTTTTAAGCATTTCTTCCAAGATTTGCTGTCGCTAAATCTGGGTTTTTATCCGATAATCATGGCCATGTTTCTTGGCCAAATGTGCCAGCAGGTGGGATGGAGACATTGCATATCGACAGGGCTGGCAGATCCAGATCTGGTGGTCTGGAATGTACTGGAACAGTTCCATCACTCAGAGATTGTGGTGGGTGGAAATCGTCGCTTTGGCTGGGATGAATGAGCAGATTAGTCAGAGGAGAGAGAGAGAGAGAGAGAGAGGATCGTTAACCGGATCAAGGTCGGAAGGAATGTAGGTTAAAGGCCTGGTCGCAAAGTGAGAATCATCTCAATTCTCTCCCCACACAACGCCGTTGCCTGGTCGTTCCTCTTTTTCTCCCATACTCTCCCTCTACGCGACGCGACGCGACGCGTTCTTATCATTGCTCCCTTTGCTTTTTCTCTAGGGTGGAGAATTAGATTAGATTTGCGGCTCTGGCAGTTGGAGCGCATGAACCGTAACCCTAAGAGTGGGGCACGGGGGAGCGGCAGCCAATCAGCGGGCGGGTAATTGTATCCTGGGTGCGAAACAATTGACGATAGGGTATAGCATAGGCTACAAGTACCAAGTGTGGCTTACGACGTGAGGCCTTAGATAAGGCTAAGATCGCGCTAATCAATTGTGAACCATTTCATCGGGTGCCTCAGTACTTACAGCCCAAGCCGATGCAACAGAATACTACTGCGAATGAGGATCCTACTCCTCACGAAGCTGCGCAGATCCAAGCATCCACAAGGAAGCGCACCAATACGACTAAATCAACAACCACTAAAAGCATCTCAGGGGCGGTAAAGCGTACAAAGACATCAACTACAGCACCTATAGTTCCTACTGAAATCAATGAGCCTACAGCATCAACAACACACCCACAAACACCAGAGGCCCCTACAACCTCACGAATCATACCAACAGCTGAAAAAATTAAGGCAATCCCATTCACAGCTATTAAAAAACAGCCTCGCGGTAGACCACCTAAATCTAAATCATCCAACAATAACGACGAGAACGAATCAGAGCCCACGGAACAGATCCAATTGGCTATAGATATCACTCAATCGAGCGCTCCTGTGGAGACTATCGACCCGACACTACTCAGCAAGGATAACATGGCAAAATCAATGGCTCCAGTCACCAGATCAAGAGCCTACCTTGAACAGATACGCAGACAGCGCATCCAGGCCCACCGCCAAGTACGTACACGATCTCAAGATTCGGATGAGATACCACTACCCCGGATATCACAGCTTCCACAGATAAACATGACAATGGAAGACAACAACGTCATCCTAAGCAGCACAGCTAGCTACCGTGAACTTAATGACAACACAACTATTGATTCGGAAGGCTATACAGAACTTTTGAATAGTTTCCATCCCAGTCAAGGACCACGCGCAGCCCCTATTAAGGAAGAAGAGAAGGAGGATGACCTACAAACTGTACGAGATATGAACACACGCTCGTCTCCAGATGTTCTCGACCAATGAGTGCAATATTTGAGATTATACAGTATAACACGCATAAATCCAAGGATGAGGTCATGGCCACATTCTTACGTGATCCCCGAGCTCTCCGCGCCTCTGTGATTGCAATTCAGGAACCATGGAGAAACGAACTAAACAATACAACGCACCAGCCTGCGAGTCTTACACATCAACTCCTTTATCCCAAACCTAACGACAACAACGACAACACTAATAACAATAAGAGAGCCCGTATGGCCTTATTTGTCAATAAAAGCATCAATCCGGCCAGCTGGTCTCACACTGTCATATCGCCTGACTATCAAATCCTACATATTCACTATCAACGTTGCCTACATTCGAATTCAAATTCCGAACCACACGATCTCTATATCCACAATATCTATAATGAACCACGTTCGACAACCTTTACGCACATAGATCGAGAACTAACCCGACTAGGATGCTCACAAACCACAGCACATATAGTTCTTGGGGACATGAACGCCCACCATCCAGCCTGGGGTGGCCCTGGCACCAAAATCGACGAACAAGCCACGGAATTGCTTGAGATCATGGATCGCCATGGGATTGAGCTTGCTACCGAAGAAGGACTAGTCACCTGGGAACGTGGCCAATCACAATCAACAATCGATCTAACATTCTTATCTACAACCTTATTTCATCGTCTTGTACTACACGAGCGTGCAGATGAGATCCAACATGACTCTGACCACTGGCCAATCAGGATGCAGATCGACATTGATACACCAACTCACGAACCACCACGGCGCCGCAACTGGGCAGCGATAGATATCAAAGTGCTACAGGAATTGCTTAGCCAACTCATTGCACCAAGGCTTATAAACACATCAAAATCTCATATTAAACTTGCAACAGTGGCCTTTACAGCGGCTATTCGCAAAGCAGTTGATCAATCAGTTCCATGGGCTCGTCCGAGCGCGTGGAGCAATCCAGATTTTACACCTGAATGCAAAGAGGCTGTACGAACCTGCCGCCAGCTACGACGTCAATTCTCAAACACCCACAATCCGTGGATCTGGAGGGCTTACCTACGAGCCCGCAACAAGAAGAAACGCCTAGTCAAGAAATCCTTACGACTAGGCCATCGACGTTGTGTACAGCAGGCGACAGAGCAAGGCCCCTTAGGCCTCTGAAAATTGGCAAAGTAGGCACGCTCGTGTAATAGAGCGTATGAATCAGGAATCACCCTAACCCTACAAGACTTAGATGGCCATACAGCGGAAACAGTAGAAGCAAAAACACAGCTTCTTAGGGAAGCATTCTTCCCAGCTATTCTAAATGCAGATCTATTAGACATCACAGACAGCTAATATCTGTCATAAATCAAATTCCTAGAGATCCCATGCCACAGGATCAAGTATGTTATTTGTTCAACACCACCAGATAAAGCGCTAAGTGAGGATGGCATTCCAAACAGCTTCTGGCATAAAATTATTGGCATCCCAGTAATCATTGACACTCTATATGAAATCTTTAATGCCTGTATAAGAACTAGCTACAATCCCACTCACTTCTAGTACTCAATCACCATCATACTACGTAAAGGCGGCAACAGGGACTATCGTACATCTAAGGCGTACAGACCTGTGGCCTTGCTCAACACGCTTGGCAAGTTTCTCAAAGCAATTATTGCACGCCACATCAGCTACACCATAGAAAGTAAAGGATTGCTTCCTTCAAGCCACCTAGGTGGCTATAAAGGAATATCCACGGATTATGCTATACAGATCATCCTCAATTGAATCTATAGAGCCTGGGGACGTGGCCATGCCGTTGTATCTATGCTCCTATTGGACGTCAAGCGGTGCCTACGACAATGCCCACCACCTACGACTACTACATAATATGAAGAAACGACATCTAGGGCACTTTATGCCGTGGGTGACTACCTTTCTCACAAATTGAAGCACCAAGATACAGATCCCTGAGGGGATATCTGGCCAAATTCCTACACTAACAGGCATCCCACAAGGATCACCAATCTCACCTATCTTATATCTGATTTACAACGCGGATCTGATTGAGGATTGTGCGGATATAGTCAATCACACAACGACAAGCGGATGGGTGGACGATGTATCCTTAATGACCATAGGTAATATAGAGACAGAAACAATAAGAAAGCTTCAAAAAGCTAGCGAGATCGCAGATCAGTAGGCGGTACGACACGCTTCAGTGTTTGACACGAAGAAATATCAACTAATTCACTTTGTGAACCCACGAAGCACGACCAATCCTGAATTGCAGCCAATCCAGCTACGCGATGAAGTTAAAATAAAGCCCAAAGAAGCTGTTAAATATCTCGGTATCTGGCTTAATACGAAGCTAAGCTTTGACACACATTGTGATGAAGCTATTGTAAAAGCAGGCACCAGCCTGGAAGCTCTACGTGGCCTATCAGGACCCACACGGGGGGCCGCACTAGGCCCAACAAGAAGGATCTATCAAGCAATTGTCATCCCACAGATGCTGTATGGCGCTGCAGCCTGGTTCCAACCAGACCTCATGAGCCAGAGGCAAATTACACAAACTGTACGCAAATTTACAACTATCCAAAAGCGCGCAGCGTGCCTGATCAGCGGTGCTTTTCGTACAACGGCTGCGGAGGCCCTCAATATAGAGCTTCACCTAATGCCAATCCGGTTGCAACTGGATCAACTCACAAAGGCTGTAGCCATCTGGATCCGCACAGGTCCTACCTTTGCAATTCCTGACGGCCTAGTCAATCGACGCACCAGCGACGAACTCAAGCTTGGCGGATACACTCCCATGGAAGCTCATGCCTGGAAGAAGGGCGGATGCTTATTGGCTCCCCCTGGAACCTTGGCAGGGAAATAGGAGAGCCAATCTGTATATGTTCAGGCACCGTGGCATGAGTCTCCAAAGGTTGTGATTAATGAGTGAGAGAAGGTAGTATCAGTACATAACGACATTACATGTAAGAATGAGCATATCGCAATACACACGGACGGCAGTGGATATCAAGGCTATATTAGCATGTTCATGATCATTCCAACATTCAGAAAACAACGAACAGAGTGTATTGGTACGGAAGGCACCTCAACAGTATACGCAGCTGAGGTCTGTGGGATCAAATTCGCGCTCAAAACTGCACTTCAAATTGCAGATCAGGACATACGAACCAAGAAACTAGTTATTTTCTCAGATAGCCAAGCCGCGCTTAAAACTCTCATGAACCTGCGTATGGTCTCTGGTCAAACATACATTCAGGGCTGTGTTGATTCACTAAGGAAGTGTACGGATGAGAATATTGATGTAACACTGAGATGGATTCCAGGCCATGAGGGCGTTCCTAGAAATAAAGCTGCAGACAGGGCTGCAAAACGTACGGCTCTAATAGGTGCACGAAGGCAAATCGTACCTGGAGATCTATCAAGTGAAGAATAGACCATACTCGCAGCAGCTGTAAAACACAGAATACACTAATCAACCAAGGATGCCTGGGAGAGACGGTGAGACAAGCAAAAGGCAGGGAAACCTACCAAAAAACTTATCACTCAGCCTTCCAAGCGCACACTCCAATATTGGACCTTTCTCCGCAAAGCAACATCGTCAATACTGATACAGCTGCATACCAAACAAATTGGGCTGACGCACTATCTGTGGCGAATTAACAGGCGAGAACAACCATACTGTGCCTGCAGCATATCTAGTCAATCAGTACGACATATCCTCATGGAATGCCCACTGTATGAGAATGAACGCGGTCTCATGTGGTCATGAATCAAGGGATTCCGACGCACAACAGATCTGCAAGCATTACTCAAGGAAAAAAAGGCCGCAATTGCAATCGCGCAGTTCATCATTGACACGCGAGTGCTTAATCAATTCCATGAGGTAGATCCGGAAGCAGTTGGCACCTATGAAAGCGCAGAAACAGCGGCTCAATTGGAGCCTGCAAATGACAAGAACACTGACGTGGGAACATGTACGAACACGCACGTAGATGACGTGCGTTCTAGGTCGACGTCGTTATCAGTAAGGACCAGGATTGACACGAATACGAGCCTTGGATCAAGTGATTCAGAGCCAGCCAACGGGATGCGATGTAGAGGACGTATAATTCGGATTTGCGAAGGGTGAGATACGCAGATTTTTATGAGGGATACAGGATATGTGAGTTTGAAGCGAACTGGTGCAGTTTGGAGGACTTGAAAAGAATTTGGGAATTCTTGTAGGCGGGGTGTACGCGCACTAGCCGACCAAGATGTTTGATTTATTTGTTTGTTTGACATGTTTGCATTCGTTATTCTTGTTTCCTTAGCTTCCGTTCTCTGTGGCGCGCCTCTATGGCGCACCACCCGTGGCTGGGCCGCGGATCTCTTGGTGCCTGCAGGCTTAGGCACACACCTGGATAGCGGCTCTTAGTCAGCGGCCAGCTACAGCGGGTAACGTAATCGGTAAGCGAACCGGCCATGTAAGCGAACCGGCCACCTCTCCAGAAAATAACTCTCTATATTGATTTACCATATTACAACGCGTCAAAATGCCACCAATTCGCAAAAAAGGCCCCCTAAAATCCACTCAGGATGAGGGAAAGATCGAATTAGCTATTTCCGATTTAAAAAATGGAAGAATTCGCAGTATTCGTGAAGCTGCAAGAATCTATATGGTTGCTCGTACAACTCTTCAAGATCGAATGAAAGGAGTGCCGTATCGACAAATAACACGCGCCAACAACCATAAATTGAGTCAATCTGAGGAGGATTCGCTTGTCAAATGGGTGCTTGATTTAACTAAACGTGGATTACCGCCCCGGCACTTTCTCGTACGAGATATGGCTAATTATCTTCTCTCACAACATGGAGATCAACGGGTTGGAAATAAATGGGTATATAATCTTGTTCAACGTCGCCCAGAGATTGAATCCAAATTCTCACGAAAATACAACTACGAACGTGCCAAATGTGAAGATCCAAAGATTATACAAGGCCATTTTGACCGCGTACGAGATATAATATCTGAGTACGGCATCTTACCAGAAGATATCTATAATTTTGATGAGACGGGCTTTGCTATGGGACTCTGCGCAACTGCAAAGGTTATTACTGGAAGCGATCGATATGCTCAGCCAAAGCTTCTACAGCCTGGAAATCGAGAATGGGTGACTGCAATTGAGGCAACAAATTCAACCGGATGGGCTCTGCCTTCGTACGTGATTTTCAAAAGCAAAGAAAAACGTACGATTAGGCTGGTTTGATGAGCTTCCGGATGATTGGAGAATCAATATTAGCGATAATGGCTGGACTACAGATCAGATAGGATTAGAATGGCTTAAAACCCATTTTATTCCTCTTACTAGTGGTCGTACATTGGGAACATATAGTATGTTGATTCTTGATGGCCATGGAAGCCATTTGACTGCAGAATTTGACCGTACATGTACGGATCATAAGATTATTCCAGTCTGTATGCCTCCTCATTCTTCACATCTCTTACAGCCTCTTGATGTTGGCTGTTTTGCAGTTCTAAAGCGATATTATGGGCAGCTTGTTGAACAACGAATGAGGCTTGGTTTTAATCATATTGACAAAATCGACTTCTTAACAGCATTTCCACAGGCTCGTACAGTGGCATATAAAGCTCAAACTATTCGGAATAGCTTCGCAGCCACCGGATTAGTGCCTTTCAATCCAGATCGAGTTCTTCAACATCTCAATATTCAATTGAAGACTCCAACCCCCCCTCCAAGTCGATCAAGCAATACAGCATCATCCTGCTTACAAACACCTCAAAATATACGCCAATTTGTACGCCAGTCAACTACAATCAATAAGCGTATAAATAAGCGTACAGGAAGCCTGAATCAGAATGAAGAAATCAATCAGGCAGTTATACGGTTATCAAAAGCCTACGAAATACTAGCGAATGATGCTTTACTCGTACGGAAAGAAAACCGTGATTTACGAGCTGCGCATGAAAAAGAGAAGCAAAAGCGCAAAAGATCTAATAAACAGATATCTATTGAGCAAGGGATTACTAGAGAGGAAGCTCAGGCGCTCGTACAAGGTCAGGTTGAGGCATCTCATGCTGTTACTACTACTCTGGCTGAGCCGGAGCTCCCAGCTTCTCAAGCAGTCGTACGCCGCCAATTTCGCTGCAGTGGTTGTAACGTTATGGGGCATAGAATAAATCAATTTCCTAGTCGTACTAGTAGTTAGATTTTTGTATATAATTTGTACGTGATTGAGAAATTGGGATTTGAAATCAATATAGAGAGTTATTTTCCGGAGAGGTGGCCGGTTCGCTTACATGGCCGGTTCGCTTACCGATTACGTTATATCAATACTACTACTACTACTACTACTACATTGCAAAACATTTGATCAGCTTTTGCTGCACTGGGCATTCACCCTTTCAACCCACCAAAGGTTCTTAACATTCTCAAAAAAAAGACGCCATCGCCAATCTCAAGCAATATTAAAAATAAACGAAAGACTCTAGGATCTGTTCGAGCAATTTATCGTATACTCAAAGCCATTTGACAGGAAAAGAGTGATCTATCGGAGGCTATACAACTTGCTCTTAAAGCACTTCAAAAATATGCTGTACAGAATGAAATACTTAAACATCAGCAGCAAGGCTTGGTCAATCCATTAATTGGAGAGAAAAAATGGCAGAAGCGAGGCCAGCCACTGGGTTTAATTGATAAGGATAATCCTGGTGAGGCACAATTCTTCTCACCAGATAGAATTAAAGCTGCACGATAGCAAATACAAAATATTGAGTTACGAAAGGAATAAGGAAAGTTCAAGGCAGCAAACCGACGTACACAAAAAGCATTTGCGCGCCAACAGAAGGCTCAAGAGATCCAGGAACGGCGAGAGACTCGAATCTGTGAATGAGAGGAGAAAAGGCGTCAAAAAGAACTTGAAAAGGAGTAACTTCGCGTGGCCTGGGAAGCCCAGAAGGAGGTAAAGCGAGCTAAAGAAAGGCCAGCAAAGCAGGTAAACACTAAAAAGAGGCGATACAGTAAGGTTATCGAGAGTAATGAGGAGGTTTCTTTAAAGAGGCCAAAAACAGGCATATCTCTGTCGGAAACTTCGGTCAAACTACCGTCGAGTATATCTCGGATAGCTTATAACACGCTGGAGTTATAAGGCTTCTAAGTACGAAAGGCTTCTTGAAAGCAAAGTCTTAATAAAAGGATGAATATCCGGTTCGATAGAAGAACGTATACTCAAGTTGTCAAAGCTAAGGGGTACTTAGCACGGTTAATTCAAGACGATAAATAAAACTAGATACATGGTAAATGAGTGTCCTTATATATTCCTCCTGGCTGTATTCCCTTCATACTGTCAGGTAATTCGGGTGATATTCCCATCATACCATGAGTATCACTGGTATCAGTCCTATTGTAACAACCAGCAGGCTTGGGGGTCTCACTATTCTAAGAAATGCACCCATGACGTCTCAAGTTGGGTTTCAACTACAGCAGGAGAAGGTTTATATGTTCGAGGATGGTTTCAGCTCCACCTCGACTGTTGGAGCTATTCGGAATAGGGAGATCTGGTATAAGTTATATGTCTATAAAGATAGCAGATGCTCCAGGATAGCAGAAGATAGGTTTCAATACATTGACATTCCATACCCTACCTTGTGTGCTTAGCCTTCAGTGATCCCTCTCGAACGTAACTATACATATCCCTCGTAACGTTGTTACACCTATCATACCGATGCTCTATCGGGAATGATACCCTAACCCTAATGGTTACAGATAATCCTTGCTTCCGTTAGTGCAGTAGTGTAACACTATCTGGTCAATCCATTGGCTGCGGATTCTTGATTCTTCTGACAATCTCGTTCTGGGCGAGCGATCAACCTACCTATACGATTTAGGGATTAGATAATTATGCTGGTTTGTTCACCACACATTTTTATCTAAAATCTTAATTTTAATAATTATAACTTCATTTGTTGAAGATATATTATAAATTATAGAGCTTGGAGCAATTTTCGGAAGGGTGGGCATCGAGTGATCGGAGGCATCGAATGATCGGGAACGATAGAGTCCGGCTAAAATTGCCGCTCCACAACCTGTTGTAATGACCGGGTTGAACGATAGTTCGAGTACGAGGGTATGGGTACGGAACACTTGAAGAAGCGAATACTAAGGTGTAACAACGTTACGTAGGGTATGTATAGTTACGTTCGTGTCAGATAATCTGGCATTCAAACGAGGCAGAGAGATCGACTGTTCCATCTTACAGGTCTAAAAGGCACCTGAGTGTCACGGACCTGGATCCACCTTAGTTCTAACAGCGGTGCGTCGTGATACGTTAGGATAATTGAACCTCGCACAGGTTCCAACCAATGAAGTAGTGGAGCGTGATGGATCGTACGTAACGAAGTATCGAACGGTAATGGGACGGTGACTGAGAATAGTAACAAACTAAGATAGAAGAGATCCCCCGTACAGCCTGGTGCCCGTACGAGTTAGAATGCCTTGCTGACTCTCACTGTTGTATTCAAGTGACTTATGTCAAAGAGCTATGAAGAACTAAATACATGATGGTAAAAGAGCGTCCTTATATATCCAGTCCCTCACGTTTTGTATATCCTATATCGTATACCTTTGAAAGGTAGCAAGTATAAGGTATACGATATAATCCAATGATCTATCGTTATTTTATATACCCTTATCTTATCCAAGATAACGGTATATTATTCATATCTCCACGTGACTTGGTGCGTGTCCCATACCAAAGTATCCACTTTGTGACATACTTCCATCTTGTCTGTAATCGTATGGTTCATACACTCCAAACACCAAAGTGACCTTTCCCCTTTGGTCATAGTACATCTTAGCGTCATGCAGTTCAACTTCGTAACACTGAGGCATATCTCTGGGCACCTAGATTTCAGCCCAATATTTACCCCTCCTGATAGCTCACAAACCACCCCGCCAAAGGTGTCTATAAAGGACCCGGCTTTATAACTTGAAAGACAAGAAAAAAAAAAGAAAACAAAAAGACAATCTTGCTAGTTACTTCTTTCTTTACCATCCTTATAAACAATTATTCAGGATTGGCCTGGAGTTAACCGACCAATCCGACAGGCTCCGTGATTTGGGTTCGATGGAGATAGTGGGGCCAAAATTATTGACATGCTTGAGTAGATCGCATAGTTACTTGGTGTCTATTAGCTAAGGACTTCTCCGGGCTAAGGAGTTAAGATTGAGGTAGTTTTTATCACTGAGAACGAGGTCTTTAACCAACTCGTGCTGGCGCCAATTCGTGCCGACAGTATACGTTCGTGTCAGTGTGCGCTCTCGTTCAATATTAGTGATATTCCCATTTGGTGCCGTAAACACCCCGTTTGGTGTGGTAACGATCCGTTTAGTGTCGTAAGAATCCCGTTTGGTACCGTAATGATCCGTTTGGTGCGACGGTTATATTTCGAGCCAATCCTGAAATTTTATGCCATGAATCGAGGAAAAATTAGTGGCTACCTATTGTAGGAACACACCACGGTACATTTCCAGCTGTCTGTTCCTGCATTCAGATTAACTGCGACATGTAGCTAGCGATATGGCAAAGCGATCCGGATCGAAGGGATTGAGCAAGGCTCATAACCCTAACTTCACATATGACTCGAGAACGTATACGATTGTTTGATGGTACGCATAACAAGTTTCTATATATTCCATAATTCACATACTAGAAGAACAACCAGTGCCTTAAACACGCGCAAGTACTTGGGGTGGCATGTCCTGACCAAACGAGTCTTGATAAGCTTTTTGAATATCCGCATCAGAAAATCCAGAAAGTCGCAAGCTTTTGGCAATATTGACGACTTCTCCTTTGCTAAAGCTTGCGATTTGGCGAATCACGTTGTGGACAGGCGCTGCTTCCGCGTGGCTCAAGCTTGAATTAGACTGCGTAATTGTAGACTCCAGGTATTGCTCAATCTCATTGGTATACCAGGTCGGCAACCGAGCCACAATTACATTGGGTTGCGGTACGGCATTAAGGGGTACGCCCGAAGCTTGTTGCAAAGGAGTATGGACATCTTCGGGTGCCGCTTCCAGGGTTATTGATTCTTCTTCAGCTTCGGCTGCAGCCAAGACATCTTCAGAAACGTTGTTTGAAATTCCGAATCCGTTGATGAAACCTTTGAAAATATCTCCGGATCCAGATGCAGGTTTTTGAGTAGAGAATGGGAAACTGATGGGAATATCTGCGAAGGGATTTGTAGCGGGTGTTGCAGGAACCGGTACTGGCTCGGGAGCGGGTGTAGGCTTTTGTGGAGGGTTTTCAAACCCAGGAAGCCCGCGAAGCAAGTCTGACGATATGGGAATTCCCATTGGGCCGCTGGGTCCTGGGGGTTTGGGTAAATCGAGAATGTCTTCAGGCACATCAGGCAGATTATCCGGTCTGCGGTCAGGTGGCGGGTTCTCGCCGTAGATGGGTATCAGTAATTTAATCGCCATAAACGTTTGGAAGCCCAAATCTTCATAGACCCTTCTGGCATCTTCATAAGTCGTCTGCAATTCTCTCAACACAGGCTCAACGACGCTCGCGACGGGAAGATCCTTCAAATCGGCAACTAGTCTTGCCAGATCTTGCTCAACTAGTTTCCAGTTGTCTTCGATGAATGCGATGGCTGTTTTGACTGCAGTTTCAGCATCGCGGATCCAGCCCATGACGAGGTTACTGAACTCGTTCTTTATGTACTCCCAAAGCCGACTGGCCAAGTTTTGTAGGGTGCGTAGATCGTCTTCTGTGATTTTCACACTAATGCTCCCAAGATCCCAATCATGATCAAAGGCGTGAACCTTTCCAAATAATTCTACGGAAAGAGGATCTCTTCCGGCCGCCCATGCTATTCCAATCTTCAAAGTCCCAGAAAAGCTGACAGATGTACTCGATTCAGAAGCTTTTTTAAACGATTTTGGATCCAATGCTCCATCAAGCAAACCCAGGGCGCCCGAAATTTGAAGGAATTGTTCACCAAGATCGAGCATGAGGATAGACACAACATCGATATTCGAATTTAGCACAAGATTGACAGTCAACTCAAAGCTTCCAATAGGGGCTTTACTTTTGAATGTTGCGAAGAAGCCACTCTCTTTCGCAACAGCATACAATGTGTGATATGTACCGAGGAAGGCGAGCTGCGCAGAAACAAAAACTGGGTCTGGCCCTTTTGATGCAAACTTCAGGACGGGTCCTTCGTTGAGCATGCGTGGAGTAAGATAGTCCGGGTTAACTTTGGGCAACTCCAATTTGTACTGAGCGGTACTTGGGTCTTGGAACCGCTTCAAACTGAATACGTCCTCATGAACAAGTTGAATTGGCTCCATCAATGCGATGATCTCAAAGCCAGAATCGTTGATATCGATTAAAGTGTAGCCGGCCCAAATTGGATCGCCGTTTATGACTATAAAGCCCCATGTTAGAACTGAAATATACACGTCTGTAAAACCAGAGGCATATTTTACCTAATGAGAGTGTGCCTTCAAAATAGAATCTTCTTCTCAGAATCTTTCCATTGGTCACGTCAACCATATCCTTCGGTACTAGCTGGATTGCGAGATATTGGAGATTTATGCCGTTATTGTTTAAGAAGGACTGGATTGCCTCGGGCAAATCAAGCGCAGCTGCGAATTTGCCGAGAAGACTCATGAGGTTGAGATTTTTTATTTCGCCTTCAATATAGCAATCGAGGGGATCTTTGGCAATGAATCTGACCGCAAGACTTTTCTTTATGTTAGCTACTAGGTTTGCATCTGCGATTGAGAAAGTCACTTACTGGCCAGAAACATTGTTGATGCCTTGAATCCTGATACCGCCGTGAAGATCAAACCGGGTAGGTATCATTTCAGCCGCGGGATCAAGCCAGAGTCTGATAACAATAGCATCCAAATCGAGACCTTGAACTTTGCAAAGGTTTTTTAAATTATCCTGGGTTGTGAATCCCAGTGCCAATCTGCCATTCGAAAGGTCAATCCCGGCTTCGACAGTGCCAGCGATGGTAGTGTTGGATATGGCAGGAAGATTCAGGCCAAATTCCCCTTCAAGGCCGATTGCAATCCCTCCGGAATTATAAAACAGAAGGAATCGACCAACAATGGAAAGGCTTTCGTCTTGGAATAAGGTTAATCTTTTCAACTCAACACCCAATATAAAGAATTCAGGGCCAGCGGCTCCAAAGACTTTAATGTCTTCCACTTTGAGCCATTCTTTGAACAAGTCAAGCTTAGAACCGAATTTAAGAGTGGTTGCAATGGCAACTCCTCCTTTGGACTGTAACATGCCCATAGAATTCTTGTCAAGTGACAATTGCTGATTTCCGAGACTGTCTTTCATCGAACCATAAAAGAGATAGATCTTTGTGTCACCAAAGTCGACATATTGTCTAACATCAGACGCCCACGAGTCAGGGAGAATGTTGAGAGGACCATCCTTGCACTCGAGTCGCAAGTTGAATGCCCAGGATTCTGCTCGGTATGCTTCCAAGCTGATTTTGTTGAAAGCAAGCCACTCGAGATCAGCGGCCAACTTTATTGCCCAAGTAGACGTGGTTTTTGACAACCTGAGATCCACTGTGTGTATAGTAATGTCGGTGTATTTGGTTATGCTGTCTAGTTGTGTTTGATGTAGAACGTCTTTGATATTGACCCCAGTCATCTTGGAAAGAATTTCATGCAGAGATAGCTCCCCTTCAAATCGTACTTTGGCGGTGTAAGCCGTTAGGTCTTTTGTGGGTGTGCCATCTACTTTTTGTGACTCGTCTGTAATGGTCGAATCATGGTACGCGCAATCGTACGAAAGATTTCCCATCAGCTGGTAGCTTCCAACTGCCAACGAGATACCAAAGCCAATGTGCATGCCAGACCCTCGAATGTAGCTTGCCGCGAATGTGACGTTAGAGAAACTTACGAGGGGAGAATTCCAGAGCTCAAACTCGCGATCTGCTTCGACCGCAATGAAAAACGAATCAATCTTAAAGCCTTCATCACTGGATTTGCGGAATGAGAGATAAATCGGGCCGGCTGTGATGTCTTCAAGATAAGAGAAATCTTTGGGGGTAGGTAGGTTTAAACATTCTGGCAGTGTGTTAATTCTAGATGTTATAGTTGAAGAAATTGTTGCAGTGCCCTACCAGACAGTTTTTGCCCAAAGAATGTGATGATATCACCCAAGGGGATATCATTGTCCGTCGGGAAAAGCGTCACTCCGACAATGGTGTCTTCCCCAGAGTCAAGCCAGATGGTGGCCTTGATGTCTTCATCGTGAATTGTCGTCGTAACACTTATGGATGCATTGATAGTTCTTCGATCCTGTGCTTGGTCAGATAAAGCAGATTAGATAAAGGTTGAAAATAATTCTCACTTTATCACTTGGATAGTCAATGCGTAAGTTGAACTGTGGTCTGCTAATACTAAGCCCTTCTTTAATGGGGGTTAGCAAAATACATTGGATTGCAACGCATCGATACTTGCTGCGAGGCACCTACCAAAAACAGTTATGTCGTCCTCTTCAAGAACAATCTCGATGTCCAACATCGAGATAGAATTATGTCCGGAATCATTCTCTTCTACCCCCAATCTGAACTTTGTGATGCCGGTCTTTGTTAATAAGGTCTGGAATGCTGGAGGAAGACATTGGACGTTAGGCATAAAATGTCCCAAAATATTCGACAATGATAACGATCCAGAGTAGGTAGTATTCAATGAGAGTTTAAGATGACCAGGGATATCATCGTCTCCGTACACGTTAAACCACTCTGGTCGATCGCCGTAGGCAATGAAAAATTCGACCGCACACTGTCCAATTGTGATTTCAGCATGACTTGTCAATGAGAGGTCATATCCAGAAGCTGCTCGGTCTAGGCGAAGTTCTAAAATTGCCCTCTCAACAGATAATATGTCTGGAACAAGTTTAAGTTGATCAAGCTCGATGGTAATCTCAATAAAGTCTGGTTTAGCAGAGAAAGACTTGTTAGAAGTGCTGCCGTGCCATCCAAGTGTTAAAGACAAAATTTGCACGGATTTCATCAACTTTTTCAGGCCAGGTATGGCTGAGAGGTCTAAGTCTCCAGGGCTAAGCCAATCGAGTATTTGGGCTGGCGTTAAACCTTGGCCGGCAGCAGCAGCGATGTAAGAAAGTTGGTAAATCGTCTGGTCACCTCCTCGGCTTCTTCTGGTTTCAAATACAACTGGTACCAACACATCCTTAATGGAAATATTTTCTTGGATGCGAACAAATACCTGGAGAATGTTAGAGTCAGCTTGGATCAGAGGCATAGGAAGGATTCAAATCCTTACTTTGAGAGGTGTAATAGAGAAGAGATTACCAATTTGCAGTCTGATGGTTAGCAGTCTCAATGTAATGATATCCCCAAATGGCTGGAAAGATTTCTCATCGCTGAACGAGGCTGTTCCGAAAATGGACTTCAAATGGAGGTCATTTATTATGGGTGACGTCCTCTCTACCACAAGACCGCAGTCATGGATACTCAGAAAATCATCAATCTTGATAGAAGAGTCTAGCGGCGATAGTTAGTGTTCGGTTTCTCAAATGACTGGTCTTGGTGTTATCATTTACCCTTTCCAGGCAGCATTATCGATGCTGCCAAAGCATCAATGGTACTAAGTCCTCTCGGGATGGTACTCCAAAGGTTCTTAAGCGTCATTTTGTAGCCGTCCGCAACAAATTCATCATTCGCATAACGTATATGAAAGTCGACACTAGATTCTGTGTCTGGAAACCAAAGGTAGTCCACAATAACCTATATAGTTGTCAGCATTACGTCAAAAGCGAAAAGTGTGATTTTGTACATGCATTGCTTGCATCTTGACCCGAGGTGAGTCTCCCAAGAAAGCACCCGTAAATATATCGACGACCTAGCTGGAAAGGACGGTATACGACGAATCGTAGCTCGCTGAGCACTTGAACTTCCCAGAATCCACGACCACCACTCGGCAGTCTGAAGGGGATATTCCACTTTTGGTATTGCTCCAGTGGTTTTACTCCAAAAGAAATAGACTTGACTTCGCCGTAGTCGGTTCTCGTACTTCTTCAAGTTCGTCAATTTCCAATCTTACTAGGGAAGTTATACATGTGCTCACCTTCGCATTGATTGGTCATCAATTGTAACTTCAAAGTTGTCGGAAATTGGCCAATAACGTGGAGAAGTCGAAAATAAAGCCGTTCTTGCCAGTGTGATTGGGAGAAGACTGAAAAATGATATCTGTAGGCTAGAATCCAATATGATGGATATCAAGCCGCTGAGAATTAGCCGGTTATTATCTATGTACTCCATCCTGAGTGCGGTGACTTGGTCAGGGAGTAACCATCCACGGGAAGCCAAATGATTCACAAAAGCATCGCTGCCTTTGAGAACTTGCGTTTTGGATCGCTGTCCCACTATTAGACCGAGTATTCTAAGAAGTTGATTTTTATAAAGCCAACAAGCGGAAGAACGAACCTGGAATGCAGTAAGGCCTTCAGAGATCAACCGTGACGCTTTGATGTCAAATTTAGTAAAAGTATCAGGGGACAATAGCCCTTCAACTCCAACTGCTTTCTTTAACACCTTCTCCATTTGAATATCAACTTGGCTCTGGGTTGGTTCTGGGTCCGCTGAATTGTTCATGATGGATACCTGATCATTGGACACAGGTTCGTCTAGGAATATGGAATCGTCTGCCTGAAGAGTGAAGAATTCGTCCTCAGAATCGTTTTTTTTGGTAATGAGGGTATTGGTTTTCCTGCCAGGTTTAGTTGTGGGTTTATCTTTCAAGGTTTTGCCAGCTGGCCTTTTTTTCGATTCTTCCTTTTTCTTTTCGATTTCCTGCTTCTTCTTTTCCGCTTTTTCCTCCTTCACTTCCTCTTTCCTCTTCTTCCTCTCCTCCCTTTTTTCTTTCATTTTTTTCACCATTGGCCTTTTGTCAACACCACCAACGGTAGTTCGGACCTTGGTAGTGAAATTCTGTTCGTGAAATTCAATCCAAAATTGCTCAGTGAACGACACCGCTTGCCATGCGGGATTGGGGTCGTAAGTTTTGTTCCACGGGTCGAGTATTATTGTCCCAAATTTTGGGTCAATATTTGGTCTAAGCTGCCATATGCGATAGTAGGAACCATCTTCATCCCAGAAAAGCTTTAGTTCGCCTTCTTTAGGCTTCATCATCCTGGCCGCATTGAGAGCTTCTTCATTGGTGATATCTTGAAGCTCAAGTTCTAAGTCAGCTGGCAATTCACCGAAATTGCGCATGAATCCTTCAATTTGCTCCGTCAAAACCTGAGACGTTAGGTAGATGTCAATTCCGTTTTCCTCCTGGCAAACAATTGCACGAGTTATTATGCCCGCTAACGTGCTCAGGTGGCTACAATCAACGTCAGCATTATCTTTAATCACAATGGCTGTATTTGAAAACCTACGGATTGCGGTGGCCCTCTGTGGCAGCCGAGGAGATCTAGGAGCAACTATAAGTGAATTTCAGTTTGTTAAGCTCCGGTCTGGCTCAGAAACTCACAATATATGTTTTTGCAAGAACACTTTTATCACAATCAGAGTTAACGTCTGGAATGGCTGATAGAAGATAAGATTTGCACTTACTTTAAAAAAAAGTTGGTTGGCTGATGGAATAATATTAGCTATATGTCTGAGTAAGTCGGGAGCGTGCCAGACTTACTTGCACCTGTTTGTCTTTAGTGCAGATCTTGGGGACCTTGGACCATAAGGGTTTGTTTGATTCTATATATGCCATTTGCTTCTTGAAAGCGGTTCCACGAGTTTTGATCCTTCTGTTGACTTTGGAGGTACTCCAACCTACGATAGCCGGATTAATCAGCCTGTTGGTACAGGCCAAGAATGGAGTACCTACAGTTGTTGTGCTGACTCCCGTGGTGCATGACTGCATGAAAGTTGTCAGTCTATCTGCGGCCATATGCTCATCACAGGTTTTGTTTTGTATTTGGCCCTTACTTTTCAGAACATTGTAGCGAATGGGAGGACCATCCCACATTTGTAGGAACGACGCTGTGGCGTTTCCATCGCCCGTAAAGGCGGCGCTGAATTTATTAGCCTTATCTCTCACAACGAAAACAAGAGATGATTGATTTTTCGCGCTCGAATCTCTTGGATTTCCGGTAATGCGCTCAGCAATCAAATTTTCATGCTCTTCGCTGAGGCGTACCTCCTCAGCAACACCAGTCCTTGAGAATACGTCAGCACTTGGTGAAGGGCATTAATCAATATCACGAAGGTTGGACGACTGACGCTGAATAGATGGGAGCATTTCCATTTGCTGAAGGTAGTCCTTCCCACTCGATACCTTGTAAAATTTGTTTGCGAGCCATGCGAGCCATGCTTGCCTTTGCTTTTTCTGCTTTAATGTTCCTGCCTTTGCCGTCATCGGGCTCCTCATCCTCAGAGTCATCGTACATTTTTGGCTTTCCACCCTTTGAATAACCTCGTCCCCCTTTAAGACCTTTGTCTTTGTCCCTTCTTGGACTTCTGTCTTTCTCCCCTCTTCGACCTCTGTCTTTGTCCCCTTTTGAACTCGTGCCCCCTTTTGAACCTTTACCACTGTTTGAAGGTTTATCAACTTTTTCTTCTCTAGACTTTTTCTCCGTTTTCTTCCCTTCCTCATATAATTTCTTCAAATTATAGACCTGATTGTAGTTTGGAGATAAGAATTGAAATTGAAGACGTCCCCGCTCGGTCTTACCTTTGAATAGAAGCGTTTTGGCGTCCTCTCCACCAATTACTTTGTTGAATGCAGGGATTTCGTTAGGAATTTTCCCAAACTCTGCATTGCATCTAGGCATTTTCACGTTCCACTTTGCTTCCAAGGTTTCAATGTCCTGGTCCAACCACCCTTTCGCACGATTGTTCTAGGAATTTGTTAGGCACAAGAAAACCATGAACAAATAAAATGACTGGGCGTGTCTTCGTACTTTGAATAGAAGGGTTGGAGAATTGTACCATATGTTGTTGAAAGGTGGCTTTTTGTCCTCAAGCGCTTCTACGCCTCGAGCAAATTGAAAGTCCGGATGGCCTGCCCCCGACCTATCGGCCCTGTAATAGAGTTTAGTGATATTACAGAGTGAATTCATTATAGTATGCATACATGCTCATCATCAATTGATGAATACCGCTAGAATATTCACGTGTTAGTCCTGTATCTGTGAGAGCCGATTCTCAACTTAATATCTCACATACTTTATATGGTCGGCATCATCATGCGTTATCTTTGTTGTTATACAGTTAGTGAACAGCTAACATGAGTAGATAGGAAATACATACCACCAGAGTGTCCAATGTATTTGGGCTTCCTTTTGGAACGAGCGTATTAAGCATGGCATACATGTTCTAAAGATTCATCAATTATAGGGAAACACACAACCTTTTGCCAAAGTCCACTCACAGCTAGTGGTGTCGTTGGGGGTACTCTGGTTCCATGAATTTGGTAATTGCCTGGGCCTCCATCAATGAGAATAACCTTGCGTGTCTTGCCCTATACATCTAGACTTAGTTAAAGACACAAGGGTGATCTGGTCATGACTTATATTACCTTTTTTCGATGCTTCTCCAATGTAGAATCTTGTATAAGTTTTATCTGGGTGGGGTCCTTCACCACCTTTTTCTTCTCCTTTTCTTCGACCATCTTCTTGTCCGTTCCAGTCCCTGTGACCACGTCTTTCTTACCCTTTTCTACCACCATAGTCATGTCTGTCTTACTGCCCTTCGTCACTTTTTTCTTGCCCTTTTCTTCGACCATCGTCATATCCGATTCACCACCTATACCCGTGTCTTTCTTGCCATTTTCTACCACCATAGTCATGTCCGTTTTACTGCTTTTGGTCACCTTTTTCTTCCCCTTTTCTTCGACCATCGTCATATCTGATCCAGTGCCTATAACCGCGTCTTTCTGACCCTGGGGGTTCAGGAGCGGATTCGGAACATTGATCAATGGGGTATTTTCAACTACTTTTAATCCAACGGATGCCTCGCTAGAGGCATTTTCGTCAAACTCAAGTGCCAAACAGTCTCCATACGAAGCCTGGCAAACGTGAATTTTGACGTAGGCATGGTTTCCACCCTTGTCCTCATCCTCAAGATCCATTCGGATTTTGTCTTTACCTTTACCTTTGGGTTGTACCTTGAACATTTTGTCTGCAGTTGATCATGCGTTTGAAGGCAAAATAGAAATGCTAGATAATAGAAGCGAGTATTTGAAACTCGGTGCCGGTTCAACATCTGCTTATCATTGTTAATTCCGGCGATAGTTTCCCCGAAAGGTGATAATCGATGCATGTGTTTTGCTCGGCAGCGGCGTGTTTGGGGGAAGAAGCAATAATAGGCGAAGCCCATACGAGGCCAGACTCTGCAAGATGCCAAAGCCTGTGCGGAGAAGTTCAGCTTGCATCTGCCAGCACAAGGCTCCATTGCATTAAGCACGTAAGCTCTAGATCTAATGATTTAAAGTTTGATTTGGGGTCGGAGGTATTAGGGTTTTTAGAGCAGTTTAGGAGTAGAGCTAAAAATCAGGTTGTTTCTTCAGGAGAACGTGTGAGACTATGAACTAATTCATAGAGCGCTATCAAAGGGTGGGTTCAAGGTTAAATTACAGATATCGTTTCGGAGTAAGCATATATACATAATAAAAATAAATAAATAAAAAATAAAATAAAATTCATTGGTAGGTTGAAATATGAGCGTTTCTGTATTGATGCTGGCCAAGCCTCTCAATTACGGTTGATTGGATCGCTTGTTTTTTCTTGCACAGAATAGGAACAAGACCGCCATGTGGTCTGAGGGGCTCACTAGATTCCAGTAGTGGCGAAGAAGTATAAAATGACTAAAAGATGGCCCTGTGGATTTCACCTAGTCACATAGGTGCATATGCATATGCATATGCAAGCGCAAGCGCATACAAGCGTTTTTATCAAAAATACAGTCCTACAGGTGGTTATTTACGAGATCAGGGTCAACCATATGCCCTAACGAAATGACGGCCAAGTCTTCACGCGTATAAAATGCCTTTTGTTCATATGAAAACCCGTCCCTCCAACTCAAAAATGCAGTGTTGCTTATCTACACGATAAAGACTAAGAGTCATTCCCTTCAGTTTCAACTTTAGCCGTACCATTTGGCAGCTGGCACTGTAGCTTCTCATCCAGCCAAATCCTAAAGATGTCTAGTTCTTCAAACGTACCGGAAGCTCACGAAATCGTGACGCTAGGGGCTCTAGCCCAAGTTCCGGCTTTCGTCAATGAAGAGGAAGACGCTACCACGACCTCAGATTTCGGGGTCTTACAAGGTGCCGTCGATCTTTTGGGAGCGGCCGCTGGGGAAATTGTCGCAAGAGCCACGAGCAGTGACCTGTTTCAGGGCCTCTCTTCGACTCGACCCGAGCCCACGGTGATCGAGCAAGTCGTGGGACGAGCACAAGACATCTCCAACAATTTCCCTCCCGTTTGGTATGTGAATTTCCCTGCAGATAGGGACATGACGGAATCCATGCGGGAATCACTCCGACAGCATTCACAAGCAATATTGGATTTCAAGTGTTGGTCTAGCCTCAAATGGTGGTCCAACGTTTTCCAGTTAGTGCCAACAAATGACCACCCCTTAAACAAATTGATACAAAGTGGGCTTTTCGTGCAAATCGCAATGATGGATTTACCGCAAACTCCTTGGTATGTTTCTGGTTGCTGTGTAACAGGTTTAGTTCCAACTTAACACTGACAAAACAGAAGGTTGCGTTCTATTCGAGAACCCGTTCAATCTGGTCAATCCATCACCTGTCCATTTTCCGACCTCCATGCCAATATCATCAACATGGCCATGAATGCCTTTCACCAGCTTGATGATTTGTCCAGAAATGCTTTGGAGCCCGTGTTGAAAGGCATTGTTACATCGGCAAGTTCCGCCACGGTAGACCACAAGGACTTGAAGATGGTGTTGGCGGAGAAATATGAGTATAAAAGGGAAACAGACAGTATAGTGTCAAGTATGACTTCCCCAATAATCAACAAATTTGACTCGAGAGGACGCAAGCTAATCTCATGATTAAAGGCATTCGCATGATCACTTTCGCCATCGGGGAGTCGTTCTATGATGTTCAAGATGGTAAGAACTCGAGAAGTCGATGGGTTTCATGCGAAGTGGGTTTCGTGCAGTATGACGCAGAGTTTGATCTGGAGGGTTGGAAGAACCATGCAGTAACCCTGAATGCTGAGACAAAGAGGGCGACGGAAGATTTCATCAATGCGCGGACCATCAACATACCAGGGGATCAGGGTGATCTTATAGAGAGACAACGACGTTTCATCATGAATGCGGATATCGAAATACCACTTGACTAGTCACTCCTTGTAGTTGAACGACCATATTGAAATTCAAGTTTGTTTTCCAGTCCTTATCATAATATACAAAAGTAACCTCGGATGCAAAAGTGTTGTTTCAAACTACTTATGGCCATTGTTTTTCGTAGCATCATTTACTTTTCTGTATTTTCTGGATAGGAAATATCTCACGATAACAGATATTAACCTTCTAGGTTAAAATCACCAACAACATCATGGCTGCTGACGAATCACAAACGTGGTAGAGAATATATGTCCTAAAATAACGTACTAATTTGGGTGATCCGGTCGGTCTCGATATAATAATAGGAGAAATACAGAATGGGCTATCAATAGAAAACACATCTATCACAAAAGCCTCTGGTATTGCCAATCTCCCTAATCAAGAGAACCTCCAGGCATACGCAAAAGGCACGCGTTCACTCATAAAACGGAACGGTTTGACGATAATCTGTACTTTTCCAGTCGAAACTGTCGGCACAGAAACTCGTTCAACGTTATTTTGGCGATCAAAGGCCTCCTTTGAATCAACAGGAAATTTGCGTTTGGTTTGGTTGCCGTGGTACTCGTGTTCGCCGACGACCACGATCAGGTTCAAATCATTTTGTAGTTTACCTCCCGGCAAGTCCGCGTAAGCGAGGGTAACTTTGAGGGTCCACTGGCCTTCCTCGGTCTGAGTAGTACCAGCAGTGTTCTGTTTCTCTTTGAGATCTGGTACTGGAATTTCCAACTTGAATGGAGCCTCGTCATCTTCATCAGCAACGCCAACACCATATCCTGAACAGGGGTCATTGAGCTTCGGCAATGATCCGGCAAGGTCGACTCTTCCAAACCCAGAGTGCGGATTATGCTCCTCTTCGGCATCATCTGGCATATATTGGCCTTTGATAGGGACTGCTCCGTTGATCAAAAGTGCCTTAATCAATGATCCCGTGGGATTCTTGACGCCATCCGGTCGTTCATCACGATAGCCGTTTGCCCGTAGCGCTTGACGAAGAACAGCACAACAGCCAGCTACAAGCGGAGTGGCCATGCTCGTTCCAGATAAATACATGTACTTGCTGTCTCCAGATTTCCCCGCCTGGTCGACCTTAGCCAAGAACTTTTGATTTTGGGACCGTGCCGAAAGAATAGCTGTACCGGGCGCTACGACATCTGGCTTGAGTCTGTCTTCTGCCGTTGGTCCACGACTACTGAATGCAGCCAATACTTCCGGATCGTTTGCGATGTGATCATCACGAAGCGGATTCATGGAGAACCGCTTGACCCAGAAGCCACCATAGGTGTATGGACGATTCAGATCTCCTGAAACCAGGTCTGGCCTGTAATTTTCCGTAGCCCCGACGGTAATGGAGTTTTTTGCTGATGCCTCAGCGCCCAATGACCGAGGATTAACGCTTCCATCCAATGTACCGTCTAAATCGGCATCTTGGCCGTCATTGCCGGCTGCGAAGAGGATGGCCATGTCCTGGTGCTCCCAGACAAAGAGATCAATGCTTTCTGCTCTACCATCATACGGCCGCTGGATCTTTGTTGAGGGCAGTGGAGAACCCCATGAATTTGTATGCACACGAGCACCAGCCTGGTAGGCCTGGTCGAAGAGTGGAGCCAAGTTGGTCTTGGGGATACCTCCCAGACGGGCTTGATTTAACACGTTGAATCCGCTGAACAACGATTGCACAATCAAATCTGCATCTGGTGCCGTTCCTTGAACCAAGCCCTGCGAATTATGCTCGCCTTTGCCCAAGACTGATCCGCATACATGAGTACCATGGCCGTCAAGATCATCGGCAAGATGACTCTCAGCACGACCCCAGGAAAAGAGGTGCTTGATCCGGCCGGAAAACGCCTCGTGCACATCTTTATCACTGCCTTTGTCCAGGCCGGTATCTGCCACGCATACAATCTGATCTTTACCTGTGTATACGATCTCCTGAGCCCTCGTTGAATCGTTACCATCATCAAGATTCAAAATCTTGCGGGCTACATTGTTGAACAAGGCAGGCTCATTGATGGTGTGGAGGACACGAACTTCATCCAGCGCCGCAATCTTCTCCAGCTTGTCGGCGTCAACTTTGATCTGTAGTCCTCCATCTTCCAAGTCGATAGCTTCTGGATCCACATCTGCTGCTTCAGCAATTTTTTGAATCAATTCCTCGGAGACTTCAGCCACATCACGCTGCAACAAGATATCGACATTCACTGTCGCAGCTTGGGCATCCGCTTGCAAATTTTCCGGCACAACGAACTCATTCGCATATATGCCAACATAGTCAACAAAATCCAGATTGTTGATCTGTTCCAAGGAATCTTCTTTGAACCCGCAGAGGTAGACTTGCTCTGTTTCGTCACCCACGAATTCATCCACGACGACATCCAAATCCTTCAGCTTCTCCTTTTGCCGTTTGTTCAGCGGCTCTCCTTTGGTGCGTAGGATGATGTAGTTTGTGCTTGAGGAATCAAGGTCATGGCTTAGCGCTACGCTACGGCCGTTGATCACGATTGGATTGGACATGGTAAGAATCAAATTTGCGGAATTAAAACTCGAAATTTCAAGGTACAAGGTTGGAAAAGAATAAAAGTGTATTGAATGATTGTCGTATGAATTAGGAAAACTATATGATAGATATTTTATAATGTATACGCCACGAAGCTCTAAGACTACTTAGGAAGGCGGTTAGTGGCGATAGTCGATCAGGCAAACTTGTCCCTAAATCATGGTCTTATGACTCTTCTCAATTTCAGGTGGTTTTTGCCGTCTGCTTTGGAGCTAAAGAAAGGTTCGTGCAGAATGAGGGACTGGCTGAGCTTGTGCGTGGAGCAACTCTCCTACATAGTCATTATACCTTTTAGGGATTAGTTTTATACATATGACGACGTGTATCAAGCCATTTTTCATCACAGCCGTTTTTCCCACCCTTTATAAGCCGATTTAATGATTATGGAGTTCTAGGCTTGAAACTGCGTGAAATGGCTGCATGGCCTCGGGTATAGATACCTCGTTAATTTTCAGTTTCTCACTCGTTCGTTGTTAGTCAGGACTTTGTGTGTGCCTGGTATATCTGCAGAATTTGAGTGGACCCATTGAGACTTTTTGTAGACACGATTTGGAAATTGATTCTTTTAAAGCATTATTGAGATTCTCATATATAAAACTAACATGATAGCCGTTAGGATTCACTGTCAATAAATGAGATAAGATCAAAATATGGAGAAATTCGAATCGCAACTTCTCAGAGACCATCCTGTAAATGCCTCGCTAACTACCACTAAATTTCTAAGAGATTGAGCCGCCTGTGTGCAAGAATTTTCTTGCCCAGAGCCAATTGCTCATCATCCTTTGGTGCATTGGTATTCCAAAGACCAAAGTTGAACTGGACAGCCGATGAAGTATAGTTAATAATGGCTTCATATGTCTTTTCCTTGGGAGCCGATGCGGCCTTGGTGGATGCCGCGGTTTCGGTGCTAGCAGTGCTTTCGGTGATAGTGACACTGAAACTGAATGTTTTGATGACTACAAGCATGGTTAGCCAGGTCATTCATCATTTCATTTCAAGAACTGATGGACTGAAGGGAAAAAAACTTACCGGCTTCAGGGGTTTGGCGCACTGGGTCCAGCTGATGGTCAATGATGTACCAGACATAGGGCTGTACGGTTTTTCCAGTTCCGTCAAAACCCAATCCAAGAGCCTTGACAATGTTCGATAATTGCGGGCTCTGGGGCACATTTATAATTCCGAGAAGGGCGTAAAGAACGACGAAGCTGATTTTATCTTCGGTTGCCTTGACACTAGTGGTTCGCGTAGAGATCGTTACACTTGACAGCCTACCAGAAGAAACGAATCAGCACCAATGAAGGTCAAAAAACAAGCGTAAGCTTTCCTACCATGGTGACTGGCCTCTAGAGCTGTCAGCTACTTTGGCTCGGTAGCCGGTTCTCTTGGACTTGGATGCAACAGAATCGTCGCTCGGCAGGTTTTTGCCATCGACCTTGGTCTTGATAAGCCCTTCGACCCTCGTCAACTCCCAGGCCACCCACAAATTAATACTCTTTACATTGGCATAAAGAGCCGGCTTGTGAGTATCTGGCACATCTGGGATATTTTGCACGTATAAAATGTTGGCAAGGTCCAAATCGTGGATAGGTTCCAAAGCCGGCGCTGGCGTGGTATCCAACGCTGGTTTTGATGCTTCCTTATCGCCAGATAGGAGCCCGGAAAGAAATGAAGTGCTCATTTTGAGACTGTTGGTATGGATTGAGAGTACGTTTGAAGTATGAGTATGACTTGGGAAGATGTACGGCTTCGGAGTAAAGACAGGCTGCACAGTGTCTTATCTGTAGATTTCACTTGAAATTGACTGGTCGGCAGGGCGGTGCTTTCCTTGTCAGACTTTTGACTCTGTCCTTCTTCATAAACCGAAGGCGACGTGGCGAGCTGATTCGAGGCTCCTTAGATTGCAGTAGTGCTTCCCTTCTTCTGCTTCTCCCCATCAGCAGCCGCATTGGTTTTGACCATCGTCACACAGCGTTAAGTGGAATTCTGGGTCGAAGGCCAGAACCATCCATAATCAGCCAGCTGCTTCGTGGAATTATTCAATTGGCCTCACAAAAACAGTCCTGCAATTCTGATCTCGGTGAACAGCGGAATTCGCGATTTGAAGTCGAGAACCTACAATTTGAAATCTGGGACCTTGCAGCCGAGAATATGCATACCACAAACGGCAGGTCGCTGCTGGTGGAGATCAAGTACCTGCAGCCAAGCAGTCCAATGTGAGCTGAAGTCCAGGAACTGCATACAATTGAGATGCAGGTCGGGTGACACTAGGTGCTGACATCTAAGCGCTGCATGAGGACCTTGCGTTAGGTAGCTGATTGATAACGAAAGATTGAAAAGCCGAGACCGTCCCACATGCGTGAATACCGGAACAAAGTCGCCAGTCAACGGGCACTAAGAATTAGGGTTCGGCGCTCCAATCTTTTAGTGTGCTTCAGTTAGGCGTTTTTTAGCGAAGGCGGGGCGCAGCATTGATTTTCAATGACACGAGTAGATGACGATATTATAGAGCTCGATATGGACAATAAACTTGATTAACAACAACATAATCATCCCACTAACTTGTGTCTAGATCTTGGCGCCAACGGGGCTAGCTGGCGCCTCTCGCAAGTGTAGCCGAGCACAGGTTCGCCGGCAACATGATGAACTCTCAGACATTGGATCCGCATAAAATTGCCACATGAAATGAACTGCTGCAGAAATATGAACTGCGAGAAGGATTTAGTTGTTCTGAAGCTGTAGAGTGATACGCGTATTTGGTGCAAGGCAACAAAAAATACACCTAAAGGCTTCACCAAATGCAGAAGATCTATTGGTTAAACAACCCAATAGCTAAGACGTCAAGAGAGACTATTCAGCTCAGATGCGGCATCACTTAATGTGGGCGGGCCACTCATGGGTGTATCGCCTCTTTCTGAGACGATACGAGTGCATGGTGGTGCATCGCACATGAAAACTGCCTCGGTATGACTGACCCCGTCATTTCCTCAAAGCCAGAGGAATAGCATAAATAGATGTGCTTTCCACCTGGTAAATCAAAGACATCACAGAGACAGATCTACTTGAAACAATAACCAAAAATCCATTTTTATCTTTAAACCCTCTTTCTTTCACTTGCATCATGGCCGAAGCAAATATCCATTACCAAAAGGCTGGTCTCCCAGTAGTTACCCCAGATGAAGACGAAGAGCTCACCCAGGCTCTCACGTCCCTGGCTGACCCCGACTCTCTCGAAGAAGGGGCTCTTCTGGCAGATGGCGCTGATCCTTCGGGAGGCAACCAACTGGAAACCGTCTACTATGTCAACTTCAATCCGAACACCTCCGCTGAGCTCAAGCCCCAGCTTGAGGCAGTCTCAGCCAACGTCAACCTTAACAGCAATTTTTTTAGTGTCAAGGCCGATGCTGCTGTCGCAGAGAAAATTCCTTCCGGTACTCAGACTAAGAAGGCCAACTACAAGGCGAAGGTGATCAATCATCTCGCCCAAACCGCGCCGTGGTATGTATTGGACAATGCAATGCAACAAAATAGTATTTCATATCTGCTCTACGAATATACACTAACATATGGCCCCAGGATTGCCAACGTTGGCCTCCAGACACAGAAAAAGAACTTCAAAGTTGAAAAGAATGTGTTCCATGACACGCTTGTGAAGACCTTCACCCATGGGTTGAACTTGCCGGAGACCATCACAGCAAAACTAGAAAACTTTCTACAAAACGTCAAAAATGTCATCGATAAAGCTTCGGACACTTCCGACAGTTTGACATTCTTCATCTTGATTACCCTCTACCAACAGGATGACGTTGCAAAAATATGGCGACCATGTGAGCCTTTTTCAGTTGCGACTTGCTTTTCATCAAAATATAGATATACTAATTAATCTTCCAATCAGACATCCGAACGATCTACTTCAGAGTGGACCAAAGCTTGAGTGAATACACCAAGAAAAAGGGTGACAAGAGCTCCGGCAAGGATGTGAATGTTGATTTCGAATACGTGCAGTCAGATGGCCAGTTCAACAATGCTCTATTTGAGAGCAACGCCAAAACGGGTATCAACCAGCTCATAAACGCGAAATCAGCCGATTTCATCAAGAATACTTTGTTTGATGTTTCTGTTGATGACTGAGAGATTGATTAGGAAATGCCCTTTTTGTACATGGGCAGCTAATGACATGAACGGAATTTTACGCGCTATCATTTCAGAAACTCCAATGAGATCTTTCTATGTTTTTTCCTAGAAATAACTTTCAAATTTGAATCATGCAGAGTAGTAATTACAAGCTTTGAATTGTGATTTCTCGGCGATTGCTGCCTCAGTTTCTGTTTTCCTTGTGTTTTTTCACCACTGTCTACCTAGGTACCTTTGTTTAGAGCAAATCATCTTGGAGAAATAGTAATTATAAATGAAGAAACTTTTATGCAAGAGAAATCATGAATATCCTGGTCTATTTCTACGCCAATTTGGCTGTCTAAAGACCGTGCGCCTGTTGCCTGGGATCACGAGTACGTGACAAGCCGTGCTACAAGCTGTGACGGCTCAACCCTAGCTTCCGGCTTGATGTCATTTATTGATTGGGAATCCTTTGAATAAAGGTCTCCATCAATAATTGTGATATCGACCGGCGTTGTCATTTGTTATTGATACGCACTGATTCCCTATTGAGATGCCAACACGGCAATAGAGGCTCGTATGAAGCGGACACTACCGTCAATGAGTGAATGTGGATGGAGGTCTAAATACGGACTGTTTCCCCTCGATAGATAGTTTCCCTCTTCATCCTCAATTTATCGTCAACGCTGGCACCCTAGGTAGTGAATGTTACTTATTTGGACTGGTCGTATGTTACACAAGCTACATGATAGGTCTACTCCGTCCCTGGTTCGCGGAGCTTGACGAGGTGTGCGATCTCTGCTATCAAGCTTTATTAAACCCCAACAGTAATCCTAGAAGCAAGCATTATTTTCGACTTGTTAATCAAGTTTATTGTCCATATCGAGCTCTATAGGCTATGACAGACATCCCCACAATGGTCCCCAATCTATTATCCCCTTGGCCGGGAGCTAGCTGATTTTAGTGGTAATTTATGTAAAAAATATAGTATCTGATTGTATTCGGCCTCCCATTGGCCTAATCAGCACATCAAAATTACAAAAACCGGCAGAAAAGCTGTACGCGTGTGTAAGCCAGCTTTCACGCGTCAACACCCTTCCTCATGCTGTCAAATATATACAACTGAAGCCATCTAAAAGTGTCAAAAAGTATGGACTCCGCGCCTGCAGATTGTGACCCCGCGTCGCATGAGCCTGGATTAAGTTCTCAGCCAAATTTGTCGCGAAAAGCATCCGAAGCGATGGCTATTCTTGAGTAAATTCCCGACTTGGAGGACGTCCATTTCGAGCCTCTGGAGGTCGACCAAAATCGACCTCCCCAGCTGCGAATCCCCTCCCATATCGATATAATGAATCTGTCGGTTTAACTACGGTCCGTATCACGAAGCATAGACGGTAGCAAGGCTAGTCCGACAAGCCTGTCAAGGGTGAAGCTGTATATATATGATATTCGATATTATAAAGCCTAACCCAGAGAAAGTAGGGGGCCCCGGGGTGTCATGGTAGCTATATACGAGGTTGCCGTACGGGCGCTAGGGATAACGTTATCCCACTCCCGTACGTACGTGCTTGCTTCTGCACCGGGGTGCAGAAGCGCTGAATCATGAGATTGATATTCCGACACTGGCAACTCTCTAAAGGAATGGAAAAGAAGGAATATCAATAAATAATATACAATCTAGTATGGTAAAGGAAAAATCAAAAGAATAAAGCAAAAGTAACGGGTGCGGACTGGGGTAAGAAATGACAATCTATGGAGCCGGTGTAGTAACAGGTGTTGCAAATCGTACGTTCTTTAACTTAGAGTTGCGCTTCATTAACGACCTTTCTACCCATCCGTTAACATCGATACGTAGCTTGTTCGTATCAATAAGTTCTTGTAGAGCGCGGCAGGGCTTGCTCTTTGTTATGGCGTCCGCAGGATTGCTGTTACCGTTGATCCATCTCACTTCCGTGATCTCTTGACGTTCGTACGATTGACGGAGGCACATGAGATCGATCATAAGGCGTTTTTCACGTGTCGTACCCAGCTTGACGAGGCATTCGTAAAGGCTCTTCGAATCAGTGCAAAGGACTAGTGGGAGCGGCTCTAAAAGATGCAGCAGTTGGGTGAGAGTTGATTTGATTGCTGCAGCCGCATCGAATCCATTGGCCATACCGTACATCTCCGAAGCAAGTACGCTTCGGGTAATCCTCTTACACTTTGTAGAGGACCAGTGGAGGATATTCGCGTTATTTTGGGCGTCAGCGAGTACGATAATATAGCCAATTTGTGAAGACGAGTCCTTATTGTTAGCGAACGAAGCATCAATGAATGCGTACAATTGTGCGGTCCGTAGATTAATCTTGATGAATCGTAGTCCGTGGTTGGGGTTGTCAGCCTGCCATTTGAGTCGTTTGTTGAGCGCTTTTATATCCTCTTCATCCGGTTGTGTGGCTTGTGCTGCGAAAGAGAGATCAAACGAAGCTTCAGGTTGGGATACAGAAGCAATATATGCACCAAGAGCTCGTTGAGCAACGTACTGCTCATACAGAGATGCATTCTTACGAATCTTGCCACGGGAGTTGACTATATCCGAAGGGTGATCTTGTATGAGTCAGATATTCTTGCAGGTGCATTCTTGGGTAAGAGTAACACCCTGGGCATCTTCTGTAATTACCGCACCATTGAATCGTAGCGGTTTGCTGGTTATAAGCTGTTCACGTGGCTTGCAAAGGATATTTGCACGTTTGATTTGCTCTTCCTCTCGTATGGCAAAGGCTTCGTCAGCGACAATGAGCGTATCATCTGTTTGCATTCCAATAATGCCGAATCCTTGCTTTGGATCGCGGTAGTGAAGGAGGCACGGATCGTAGGTTGAGGTCTCCATGGCTAGCTGCTTCATGTGGTGTTCATGATACGTACAGAACTAGTGATTGCCTGCTTCGGGGATTCTGTATAACGGTCGTTCAACCTTCAAGAATTCGCATCCAGGGAAAAAGCGTTGCAAATCGGAGGGGATTCAAATATAGAAATCACAATTAAGGTGTGTTGTTGACTAAATATAAGCCTGCGTGACATCTTGGATCCAAAATTGTACATTGTCCTTGCTTGCTCCAATACAGAGAATTAAACGTTGACTAGAGCGCTGAATTGTAGGTGACTGCGTAAGTATAAATTCTTTGTCCTTGTCGTTGTACGCTTGGACGACAAGTTGTAATTTCTCGAAGACTTTGTTAGTGCCTTTATTCTTGATCTCATCAACGAATCTAAAGCCATAGATGCGGGCCTCTGGTGGGATGTCTTCTCAATTGACTGCTGCAAATATACCTCTTTCTAGTAGTCCGTTAACTTCCTTTTTGCGAGATTCGTCGTACGTGCCTGGAGCAAGAAGTTGTGTGAATATCTCCGCGATGGCGTGTAGATCTGGGGCATCTAGCTCTTGTAAGTACGTAAGATCATCCTTATATCGAGGTGGTAAGCGGCGTTCGCGTTATGGGCATTGTGATTGAGGTTCGGTGTGATTTGGTTCATATAATGGGATCGCAACTTTTGGAGGAGATGGGAGTACGTTCGACAGTTCTATTAATGGTGCCGTAGGTGCGCTATATGGTTCAGCCTTATCATTATTATTAGTGTTTTCTTGCTTCGGATCATCATCTTTATGATACAGTTTAACAACAGTTGATCTGAACTTTGTAGGGCCATTTAGGAGATCAATCGTGCATGTTTCTCTGTTGATTGATATAAGTTTATATGGTCCTTTCCATTTGCCAGGATATCTAGTTCCTCCTTCGCGCCATACAAGTACGTCCAAATTGAGGGGAAGACGGTGTATGAGCGTAGACGATGGTCTGTTTCGGGTGTTAAGCGCATCATTGATCTAGTGTACAGTATGAAGCCTTTGTACTTCAGTCATTGCTTTCTTGACTGTAGCAGCACGTTGAGCAACCATAGGTGTAGGAGGACTGTATTCCATCATCCGAGGGTACGCTCTAAATATAAGAAGTGTAGGCACGTAACCATCTGGGCCTGTGGTATCATTAACAGCTTTAACAGCCATTTGAAGCGCTAATTCGGGTGCTAGCTCTGGCACTTCTTCCGAAATAATCTCATACGAGCGATATAGTACAGCATGGTAATGTTCAATAGTGCCAATTAACCAATGTGCTTCGATAGGAACGCTGACCATCATCATACTAATGGATGAAGTGAGTTGTGTAAATTCTTTGCTTACGAAGTTCTTTCCTGCATTGGTAATGATGAAATCTGGGGGTCTGAGGTATATATTAATCCATAACATTTATAGCGCGTCCCATGTCGCTTTTACAGATATACTTGTAAGCTAACATGCGGCATTAAAATGTGTTGCTTCGTCCACAATATGGAGTACAGGCTTGCCATTGATATACATAATGTCCATAATAATTAAATGATTAAATTTAATGTCGTCCTGTAGGGTGAAGCGGAAACGGCCTGGTAATCTACCGTGGGTTTAGCAATGGTAATAGAATTTGTTAATCTCTTCTATTGCTTTAGGGTACATATCATAGCCTGCGTGTTGTAGGGTTTTATGTAGTCATCCAACAGAAGGATGTCTAAAGTGGCGGTGTAATCGACATAGTTCTGTATCTATAAGGAAGCATTGCTTGTCATCAAAGGATTGTGAGATATACATTGCTAGTAAATAGTCCCAAATAAGAAAAGGATGGCCGAATCGGCGTACGATTGGCGCGGTCAGGTACGGTTCGCTGCGGATAAGGAGATCCTTCGTATTATCGTAGTAAACCTTGAGGCGGTCGAGATCTTTGATAGAGAATAGGAACGGTGTTATGGCCTTAATAATATAGAATCATACGTTGCCAACCGGGGTCTCTATATCAATCGAACCTAGAGATTGTAGCGCGTTACCAGCACCAAATCGTATAGTTACAGATCCAGCAGTTGACGTATCCATCGTACAATTCTTGGTAACTTTCCGAAATGCAAGATATTAAGTATATCCAGCCGTTAAGAATGCTGTAGCGCCAGTATCAATAAGTAGCCCTATAAATGTGTTTAATGAATATCAATCTTCTGTAAGAAACGCATATTCAGGTACAGTAAGATGATAAGAGCTTGGTATAATCCATATGTTGGTGTTATCTTTGTCGCTAGGGGTGAGCTTGGCTGTATATTCTTGATTGTTGCCTAGCAAGCAGCTGAGATAGTGAGCTGCAGAATGATTAGCGAGTTCGCTTGCTAGCGAAGGTGAGAATTTGGCATGATCCGTAGTGACAACTGTGAAGTATCCTGTTGCCATAGTTGGCTCGCTTTTCGTACGGTCTGGGAGGTCGTACTGGCTCGGTTCATCGATCTCAGCCAAGTACGATTCGAAGCGTTTCCCTGGCGTTGGAGGCTGTCTTTTGGATTCCATGATAAATTTGTCTATTGCAGCCTCGTATGGGCGTCTAGCAGCTTGTCGTTCCTCTTCCATATGGTTAGTTGACCAGCAGTCTAGTTTATGGCATACATGGTAGATTTTCAGTGCTTCGCTTTGGTAGCGACGTGGTGAACGGCTAGGGTAGCGTAGATTGCTCCTTCCTCGTGAGTAGCTTCATCCATATAGTGAACGTCTTCTATGTGGCGAACGTGACTGTCGGCTGTAGTAGCGGCGATCTATATAGTACAAATCTATAGGATGTTGCGCTGCTGCTTATTTTGAGTCTTCCTATTAGCTTATACTTGATCATAGGTCCTGTATGAGGCTGGAGATGTTCGGTGAAGGTTTTCAGGTTGCGGCATAGCACGCAGGGACAAGACGGGTTGCTAATACAAGCTTTGAATGGTAATAGACGTCGTTTCGTAGCTCCGGACGAATCTTGCTATAGAGTCTTTGTAGGTCCCGAAGCATAATTTTAAGGCATTCTAGAATTGGCTTATCAGGGTTCTTACTCATAGTACTGGCTAGATTCGTAGCATCCCATTGACTCTGTATGAATCGGAGGTGCTCCTCAGTCTCAAAGTAGCTTTTCACAGCAGATATAGGGTTGATTCCTCGCCGGACCTATTTGTCCTTGTTGTCAAAGTAGTACCGAAGGGCTTCTTCTTTAAGCATCACGAAAAACGCCTTTCTTTGAGTATCTTAGGTGTGGATTCCCATATGACCGCACATTTCTAAGAAATATTGATACGAATAGTTAAATGTGTTCTTATTATTGCTGTAGTGGAGATCTTCTGAATAAGCCTTTCGTAGCTAACTGATATTCGCCCCATAGTATAAGGTGTCTTGCGTGGTATAGTTTGTATGGACGGTCTGGCGGCTATGCGTCGTAGCCGGTATGGCCTGCTTATATAACATAGTTGTGGTAGGGGTTATTAGATTATACTATTGCTGCACCAATTATGCGATTGGGGTCGGTGTTGTGTCTCTCTCCTTATTACGCTGAGATTGTAGTATCATTCTGTATGATATAGTCGTTGCTTGTGGTTCGGAGTGGATAGCTTGTTGAGGTGCCTTAGGGGTTGTAGCTTGGAGCCTTCGAATCGCAGGTCCATACGTGAGCTCGATATTTGGTGAGCTGAATATTCCATGGCGTTGTACATGGTATATAACTTCACTTTCGGTCCATTCATGCTGCTCTAATTTGGCAATTGTCTCGGATAGTGTAGTAGCTGCATATTGTCGTCCTTTCGCTACGTATACGCCATTTGTTCACAGGGTGTCACGTAGGTTAATAAGAGTCTTTAGAGGCGCAATTCTAAAAGCTCCTTCGGTCCATGTTGAGAAGTCTTCGCGAAATGTATTCCATAGATCTTCATTGTACAAGTCAGTGTAGTCCTCGATTTGGGCTATTATATACTTCTCAATGGTTTTTGCGTCCTTGTCTGTCGGATCGAAGCTTTTCGAGTAATCTGTAGTTGGAGGCATCTTGTCAGGGTTTCTAGCGCGTGGTTCGGAGCGTTGGAGATAGGTATGAATTGAGGTCGACTGAACGGCTCAATATAGGGGTATTGGGGTACTAAGAATAGGGTCTTGATCTGTGGGCCTCACTGATCAGTGTCGGTTTAACTACGGTCCGTATCACGAAGCATAGACGGTAGCAAGGCTAGTCCGACAAGCCTGTCAAGGGTGAAGCTGTATATATATGATATTCGATATTATAAAGCCTAACCCAGAGAAAGTAGGGGGCCCCGGGGTGTCATGGTAGCTATATACGAGGTTGCCGTACGGGCGCTAGGGATAACGTTATCCCGCTCCCGTACGTACGTGCTTGCTTCTGCACCGGGGTGCAGAAGCGCCGAATCATGAGATTGATATTCCGACAGAATCCTTATCAACTGTTTAGTTTGTTCCTTACGGAGCCTTTATGGAAAGTTCTCGCTAACAATACAAATTCATATGCGTACTCGAAAGAATGGAAAAACCCCAATCCACACCATCGAACTTGGCGATCAACGACACCTGAAGAACTCAAGGTTTTTGTTGGAGCTCAAATTTATATGGGAATTACTAGGGAGCCCTCTATTAAAAACTATTGGAATAAGGACCTCACGAAAGGTGCTATTCACACAGTGTCTCTAGCCCTCTCTTTCTATCGATATGAGCAGCTCTGACGATATTTTCATATATCCCCGGCTCCCGAGGTTTCCAGAGGCTATACAAGCACTTATTACCCCCCTGAGCCGACCCCTGAGCAAGAACTCAATATGAGCTACGAGCAATTGAACTCAATTTGGTGGAATAAGGTCGATATTGTGCTTAGAGTGCGGCGAAGAGCTTCAAAAACGTACTATATTCCTTCGTCGAACGTGTCTATTGACGAGTCAATGGTTAAGAGCTTTAGCAGATCGTCCCACACGTACAAAATGCCTAATAAACCGATCAGCCAAGGATTCAAGATATTCACGCTTGCAGATCACAGTTATATATATTACTTTTTCCCAGCAAGCCGTACGAAGGGGGTCATCGAGGTGGAAACGCCTGTCAAGCTTACAAAAACGGGTCAAATGGTGTATAAGCTTATAAAAACTCTGCCGAGAGATAATCTAAGCTATGCCGTCTACATTGACAACTATTTTACTAGCATTGAACTATTGAGAATGCTTCGTGAAATACAAATTGGAGCTTGCGGCACTACTCGATCTCATTCCGCCGGCAAAGAATTCCCCTTATTATTGAAAAAGTTGAAGGATTTAGGGCAATATATGCTATATCATAAAGTCTGTGCCATCCCCGTCTCTAACGTACTCTGCTTCGCCTGGCAGGATAACAACGTTATCCTAGGCCTCACTACAATCCATACAGTAAATCGGACGAACAACTTCATCGAACGCTGGCAACGAAGGCCACAAAAGACTTCAACTAATGGCCCCTTAGTACGGCGTGAATTTGGCGATAAAGCGATCAAATTGATGTTGATCCCACGCTTTATTAACGATTACAACCTTTATATGGGGGGAGTTGATATAGCTAATCAACATCGAGCTGCGTATGAGACCCATACACGTACATATCGCTCTTGGTGGCCTCTTTGGAACTGGTGCTTAGACATGGCAATAGTCAACGCTTGGAAGTTACACTATTTGCGCTGTAAGGAGCTCAATATAGCCTCATATTCGCATGCCAACTTCCGGAGAAAGCTTTATATGCAGCTTTTTGCCTCCAATCCCCTATTTCCAGCGACTGAGATACCAGCAATGAATCGCTCGACAACCGAGCCCACCGCTTCAAAACCGCATTCGAATGATTCCCAGCTACATATAGCTGTATGGCATCCCAAAGGCCTTTCTAGACGCTGTCATTGGTGTCTAGCAAATAATCGGAAACATCAAATAAGCAACAATAGAGCCCCTATTAGGCAAACAACATTTATATGCAAAGCCTGCAATATTTCTCTATGCCGGCCGGATTCCGGAAGAACGTGCTTTCGGGACTTTCATACACCACAAAATCCATCGTGAGACTGTTTATAGTGTATCATACGTATGTGAATAGCTTCTAATTTATCTTTATTACTTGATATTGGTAGCCCCTGTTGCTAGTAAATTGTATGGATTCGTGTTCACCCGAGGAGGTGAGGCGGTGAGCCCTTATTCTCGCCATATGGCCAATAGGAAGTGCTGCACCAAAAATACACAAAATTACCACTAAAATCAGCTAGCCCCCGGCCAAGGGGATACAGAGAGGCCTTTTAGGCTTATTTTCACATAACAATCATTGGACGGGAAAAGGGGAGCCTTGCACATAATTAAAATCATCGACCCTAATTCTCCTTTTCACTGGTATCCGCCAAGAACTGGGAAATTCTTATCGGTCTCCTAACGCCCTCATGTTACATACTGTTGGTTTAACTACGGTCCGTATCACGAAGCATAGACGGTAGTAAGGCGCGAACACGAAGCGGCCTAGCCTAATGAGCCTGACAATATGAAGATATCTTGATTCCTAATATTGTGACTGATCCCCAAGAGTAAGGGGAGTGTGTGTGTGTGTGTGTATATTTAACGGCCGTGGTTCGTGACTTGCACGCTTCCCACCGATCCCTACTGGGACATAGGCCGCCGAGGGGTAAGCCTCGGGCTTCAGGTCCTATCAGATTTATATACAAATAAGAGACTCTTTGGCGCATTTCCATAGCTGCCGTGGTCTTAAAGGGAGATCTACTTCCTAGTGGGTTTTGGGTATTTGCTAGCTGCAATGGTCCACCTACGCTCCATGACCCATCATTCTACCACTATCATACTTAAGCAGTGAGTTTGAAAAGAAAAAGGGAAGAAGGAAAGAAGGAAAGAAAGAAAGAAAGAACAAAGGAAAAGAGAGATATAAGGGGGAAGTAGGGCTGACTTAGCTAGGTGCTAAGGAGAGATTGGCGAGGACAGATATCCTCAAAGAAACGGGTCTCTGCTAGCTATGAGGCTAGTTTTCGTGTTCCTTTCGCAGTACCTAAAAGAAAAGAGATAACTTTAGAAGGGGGTCCAGGTGGATGAGGAGCTCGTCTCTTAGCTATATAGCAGAAGAAGAAATGTAGAGGTGCTTTTTATGCTCTACACCGATAGAGAAGATAAGTATCATCATGATTAAAGTGTTCATAGTAGTCTGCAAAGCCTCCATGACCAGTATGGGCCGCAATAATACGGCCAAGGTCAAGTCGGTTGAGTTGAAGCTTCCCAGGGCGCTTAGGAGAAGTAGTTATTTCTAGATCTTGATAACTCTGTGGTGCCACCTTCTGCCATTGTGACTGAGCAGCGGATAGGGATTGAGTCTTGGCGTGTCTCTTTAGCGAGGCGTATGAGGATTTGTGAGGAGCAGGAGGGGTTGAGGCAGCTCCCTCTTTGGCAGCGAGATCAGCTGCTTTGTTCTCAGGGATTTTAGCGTGTCCAGGGACCCATCGGATTTGGATTGATCCACTTTTGGTGTGTGAAAGCCTTTCGCGTAGTGGCTAGGCGGCTGCAAGGGTGCGGAAGGATTTAAAGACCTCTTGGGAGGATCCTGTAGAGGGGGATAGGAGGCGCGTGGCAACTTCCAGGTTGTTAAGGCAGATCCATAGGTTAGTAGCAAATTGAGCTGTTGGGTATGTTATTGCTGCTTGAGCACCAGCTAGGGCAGCTTCTGCTTCTGTGTCAAAGACCTCTTTCCCATGTCCGTATGAGAGTGAGGAGCGGAGGAACTGATGGTGTGCTTAAAATCCAATATAGCCACCCCCTGCACGTCCGTCTATCAGCCTAGATCCATCTGAAAAGATTACAATATCCAAGCTAGGGATGGTGCATTGAAAAGCTGTGAAATCAGCCGCTGCCTGTTCCTTAGTGCGTCCCATGGGAGCTCCTATTTAGGCTAGGGCACTCTTGCGTGACCCACAAGGGTACCAGGGAGCATATTGTAGAGGGTTTATTTGTTCAGAGTTGGGGAGCGCCAGCACTCGGCGGGCAAATCGACTGGTTTGTTGGCCGTCTCTGGCTATCTGTTCTGCGCGTCTTCAGAGTGGGTAGTATGGATCAAGACGCTATAGGTGGATAGATGTTTGGAGGGCTATTTGATCTAGTTCAATTTCTGGCGGAGAGAATCTAGACTCTCGGTATAGAATAGATATTGGAGTTATATGGAAAACTGGAAGGACTGCTCTTGCGCCTGCTAGTATTACTTTGATTAGTTTCTCAAGATATTCTCCAACTTAATTTAAGATTTAGGAAGATCCAGGGCAAGTATGTCCTGGCCACCAGGTTTCTGCGTCATAGTATACTTTATAGAGTATACAGGCTGATATAGCCTGCTATAGTAAATGAGGTTTGACTCTATAGATAGTATTCCCTAGAGAGCGAAGGGCATTAGCTACAGTGAGGGCTTTAGATGCTGTTTCACTAACATACTATTTAAATATTAGCTTTTTGTCAAAGAGGATTCCTAGCCAGTGTAGATATAGCTGTTTAGTATTTTCTGAGATTATGATAGATCTAGCTTTTACTGAAGGTGTGTAGGTTGGGTCCTGGTCTGCTTTATGTTGGGAGAAGTGAAGAAGCTCGTATTTATCTAGTGCAAATGTAATGCCCTCTGCAGCGCTCCAGTTTAGAGCTTCTTATAGTGAGTCTGATAATGCTTTGCAGTTAGTAGCAAGAGATGTTGAGATTGCCAGGTTAGCTGCGTCATCTGCGTAACCAAATCTGTTCCTTGGGTTTCCTAGACAGAATAGGGGCGCTATGTAGAGCATGAAAAGAATGCTAGATACTGGGGATCCTTGTGGAAGACCGCAGGCAATGTCTGTTGAGGGGCCAATCTCTCCATCGAGTCGGATCTGGACTGATCGCCCAGTAGCAAAGGAGGCAATCCAGAGAACAAGATTGGTGGGCCAGCCCTGCTCACGTAATCTGCGGATAAGTCTGCCGGGAAGCACGGCATCAAAAGCGCCCTTGACATCTAGGGTAAGGAGTGAGGCAGTCATGCCTTGATTTAGTGCTTGTTCAACATCATGTGTTAGGCATATGGTTAGATCATTTGCAGATCTTAGTAGGAGAGCCCTAAACTGTTGCCTTGCTAATACTTTGTAGTATATAGAGATCCATGCCATATTCCGTGCCACCAAGCGCTCCAGTCCTTTGCCAAGTACTGATAGGAGAGTGATTAGTCTGTATGAACTAGGTGAAGACCAATCAGTCTTTTTTAGTTTCTGGATAATTGCTAAGATTGCATGTCGAAAGCATTTTAGGTGATAGCCAATCTTTAGGCACCCTTGGTATAATATTAGTACCTTGTCCTTAATCAGAGGCCATGCCACTTTAAGTATGCAGATTGGGATTTCGTCTGAGCCAGGGGCTGTGTTTCCTGCCTGAAGTACTGACTCCTCCACCTGTGCCATTATTATGTCTGGGAAATAGAGACTAGTGGTAGGGACTGCTGGGGAGTCCAGCGGTATGTCTCCTGCCTCAGCCAAGTTTTGGAGAAGATTACAGACTAGTACATCTCGTTTCTCATGTATAGTAACTGCTAGGAAGCTGTTGGGTCTCAGTGGATCCTTCAGTGGAGGGCTTCGGAAGGTACCTGTAGACTTATGCCATTTACTCATATCAAAGACATCCTTCATTTGTGTTACCGTAGAGAGCTTATCTTGCCAAAATTGTCGTTGAGACCATCTAGTTATCCTGCAGAAGTCTGTCTTTGAGCAGAGGCCTAAGCAGTAATTGTGTAAAGCTTTCTTATAGTCTTCGTTCCACCATGGTTATCCTATGCCTTGTGTCATGGTCCTCTTAGCAGAGCCTCTATATGCTCCTTGAATTGCAGATGTCAGTTTTTCAGCAAGGACATCAAGATCTTCTTCTGTTGCGGCTGAGCTCTCGGTGCCAGCGAGATTAGAGGCGAGGAGCGAGAGGAAGGAGGTGTGGTCTAGTGTGTCAAATCTCAGTTTCTGAGCTGTTTCCTTGTATCTCTGATCCCATGGTACAGTGGTGATTAGTGGTTGATGATCTGAGGTTGCATCTAAGTGGCTCGCTATGCTAGTTTTAGCTCCCGCGAGTGCCAGAGGGCTTGAGGCGAAACTGAGGTCTAACACGTTACCCCTTTCATGTATGGGACAGTCTATGTTAGAGATGAGTACTAGACCCTGGAGGTCCAGCCAGTTAATGAACGGCTCTGCAGAAGGTGTGGGGCTGCGATGTAGCGAGGGCTGCCATCTGTTGTGTAGTAGGTTGAGATCGCCTGCGAGTATCGTTGCTTGAGGGAAATATACCTCTGGTAGGGTTGTAAGAGCTTTCGTGGCTTCGCCTGCTCTGATGGAGTCTGCTGGGGCATTATAGATGTTAACTATTAGAGCGGACTTTCCTGTGGGCGAAAAAATCTATAGGAATAGGAGATCCGAGGCCTCTTTGGTGTTAGTTGTGAAGGGGCGCAGCTGGGAGGTCTGAATGCTCTTCTTCTTTCAAACATAGGTAAGGATTCGTGGTCGGCCACTTATCGCCTAACTGTTAGTTGGGGAGAAGCATTCATATGATAGATGATTTTTAGTGATCTATCAGCTAAGATCTTTGAATGTATATGGTTCTTAGATTAGGATAATATCAATATTGCTTGTGTATACTAATGTGAGAGCTATTTCATATGCATCTGGCGCGTGCCCTACATTTAGCTATAGGATTTTAAGAGGCGCCTTTTGAGTTGGATAGTGATAGATCATAGCTCCCGTTCAAAAAGGGAGGCGAACCAATTTTGTAATTGAGGGGTTGTAAAGCGGACTGCGCGAGCTGTAATTGGAGGATCTTTAGTTGGGACGCGAGGTGGAAGGGTTACTGAACGGAAAGGAGAGATAATCTCATAGGTTGGAGGCTGAGTTAGCATCTTGTCTAGTGCCATAGATGTTTCTTGTGTGCCAATGGAGAGCTGAGTGCTACATCCTCCTTCAGTTTAAGCTTTTGCGAGGTTAATAGCACAGGATTTCCAGATCTCTACTTGTTAAGCTTTAGTATGTTTAGAGTTGCCTTTAGGGCGCAGGAGGCATTCTAGGAAATCAGCAGGATGTGGTCCATGGCAGTGTATGCATCTGGGAGGACACTGATGAGGCTCCAGGGCTATGCAGCGGTTAACATGTTCCTGTTCAGTATGCTCTAAGGAGCCACAGAGCCGGCATTGAGAGGGGCGGGCACAGGATTGTGCATTATGCCATTTCCAGCATTGTATGCATTGGATAACTGTTGTTCTCTTAGAGAGGTGACGAGCATTAGTAATAGTGCTAAAAAGGTGTAGCTGGATAGGCAGTGGTGATTTCGTGCCTTCTGGGAAGTTAACAAACCAGCTTGAGGAAAGAGTATCAGGGTTGGCGGCACTTGTAGCGGTCTCGCTGATAGATATAGGCTTGAGTCCTGTAGTTTCACTGATTTCTAAGGATAGTAGTGTAGGATTGACAGGGATTAGAGAGTATTGACCGTCCAAGATTTGGCCAACTTTCCTTGGCACATTGGTGACTCAGTACGAGACCCATCGGGAGCTGCGTTCTATCTGGTAGTTCACAAAGAATGCAGAGATAATCTCTTTTTGGGCCTTAAGGGTTAGGAGGGCTTCTGGAGATGAGGGACATAGTGCAAAACCAGTCTTTGTAGCTTGAACTTCTTTTAGTGCTGAACTGTTTGAGTTTAGTTGAGACTGTAGGCTAGAGTAGATAGTGTAGGCTTCCATTTTTCTAGCTCCATGGTCAGCTGGGAGGCGTACGAAGAGCTGGTTGTCAGGAAGGGGTTGTTTCACCAGAGGCATAGGCTTTTTAACTTGGGCTTTGGAGTGAGTAGTAGGAGTTGATTTGACCGGGGCATATTGGGTAATAGTTGCATAAGTCGACTGTTCAAGACCTGAGAGGGGACGTGAGGGAGGGGGTGAAGGGGGTAAGGAATTTGGAGTAGGGGAAGGGGAAGGGGAAGGGGAAGGGGAAGGGGAAGGGAAAGGGGACAGGGCAGGTAGAATGGAGGTCGTCAAGATACTGCTGATATAGGCGCTAAAATGTCGTTGGGCTACTGAGGCGAGGTCATCGCTTAGAGCGGTGAGGGCTCTCAGTAGATGAGGGGCCAGGCCGGTGGTTTGGCTGCGGTGTTTATCGAGGAATGCAGCTATAGGGCTGAAGATCTTCTGTCCTTCAGAAGCTCTTGTCATGGCTGCGGACGTGGATTCCAGTAGGGCTGTCTGTAGAGGGCCATCTGTACCAGGGCCTTTACGCGCCATAGTGTTGCCGGACGCGTTGAGACGCGTCAAAGGCCGCACTTCTGGTGGCTAGGTGGTAGAGAGGGGTGAGGAGTTTGGGCCTCTGACTGTTTGATATAAACAATTGTAGGGAATTCGTCTATCTGTGCAAGAGTTCCTGTGAATTTTTGTCCAAGAGTTAGGGGGACGGGGGATGGCTAGCTAGATATACGCGGCACGCACGTGGATAAGTGTTGATTGATTTAGCGAATCAGAGCGCTGCGTGTATATAATATTTTCCTGTGGGATTTTTGGTTACTAGGGTAATACGAGTTTTGTCGGTAGTGCAGCTATCGCATGCGGTAGGCACAATCATCAAGTGCTTGCACAGCGGTCAATCCGCACATCCTCAGTAGGTATCCCAACAAACTACGGTTCCACAGTTCCTGTTACTGTCGGCAATGATGGGTATGCTACTGCTCATGTTTAAAAGAACATTATTAACATGCAAAGCCTTAGTGATCATTTATTTTCCGAGGACGTCAGCAATTTGTGACGGAACACGAAGCTGAGTATCTTTCCGCACTTCCTTAAATTATTCCTATCCTAGAAGAAGATACAAGCCCCCCGTCACTAAATTGGATGGCTGTTAAGGACGGATGTTGTGTCCTTAATAGAGGAGCACCAAACCATTGCGCGTGATCTGTCCTATATCTCTAAATGTGTGCGATACCACTGCTCCTCTGCGTCTGTATATGCTAAGCTGAGAATCTTCAACTGGTCATCATCTGCTTGTTCATAACCATACTCCCTAGCAATATCGTTCTCGATACGGACCCAGTGCACGGTCAGAGAGGCCACCAACCGGTCTAGATCGCTGAAATCATTTTCTAGCTCCCCTTTCAGCTCCTGGATTTGATCGTTCAAAGCGGTATGCTGATCAGAAACGCTGTCCAGCCCCTTTTGGACCTTTGCTCGTATGGCCTTCACTTTTTGGATATAGCCCGCTGACGACGTTTGCCCTCGTAGATTGGGTCGATAATGCCGCTTGGTTCCCAGTGCCTCATGGGCTGTGCAGGTTCTAGTTCGAGGTCAGTGCGGCTCTAGAGAGAATATAGGAGTTGGCTCACCTCCAGCTTGGCCACTAGCTTGACGCACATACACGCCATAGTACGGTATTTGAGGCGGATGTTGCACCATCAGTGCGCGCAGGCGGCGTTCCTCGGCAATATTTTCGTCTCCAAGATGGTGAGAAGAGGGTGAAGTGATAGACATCCTACGGTAAGTGTACTGTTGCTGGAGTTGAGTGTTGTCACTGGATTGTCTGAGTTCAGGAGCACTAAATCACGGTTAGTCAGAAACGGGACTACGCCATAATCGATCACAACTCACCGCAGGGCATGTAGTGGGATAACAAAAAATGAGAGAGGTAGAGAGATGGAAATGGTTCTCCCTGGGCTGATATCTTGTGCGTGCAGTGCCAAACAACGCTAAACTATTTTGGGAAAGGTAGGCTGGAAGGTAGTGGTGATTTCCATATTAGGTCTCAATTAAGGGGGTGTCTATGAAGCGTACACAATTTTACCGTATGTCCTCAACTAATTAAAAAATTAGCAATCGACATGACACAGATCGAGATGAAATTGGGACGGTATCTCACTTATCAAATCTGGGATAGTGCCGCCATTCTACCACAAATTCTGCAACCGAGACGTTCAACATTGGGAACGGACTCTATTCTGACGTTCCATTTGGCCAACTCTTTAAATTGATTGCTGACCCTAAGTCGTCTCTGTGACACTGGTTGTAAGTTTCCTATACGGCATTAGTGATAGCTGATAAATGATACGATCAAAATCACCTTGGTGGATGACTGATGGGGTATTTACTTGAAAGGCGAGACAAGGCCTTCGCAGAATGGCGTCTGATCAGCCACGATGGTATCCAAGGGGTGCCAAATTGCACCTTTGTACCTTACAAGTAATTGATTCTAGCTCCAGGGAAAATGGTTCGAGGCATGTTCAATCGGCACATGTTTCAGAGATAAAGACGCCTTGCAATGATGGCGATATCGCTGCTTTTCTTGAGTATATTCCTCTTTGGTATAGTCGACACCAGAGGCCTGACTGTGTGCGACACTCGCCGATTTCCTCCGGCGTTATCATACACCAGTACACCGGCTGGTAGATGAAAACCACGAAAGCTGTTGCAGCCCACTCATGACGCCTCCTCCTGCCTGATTAGGATGCGTCAGGCCGCGAGTCATTGTGAATTTCAATTTCTGGGAGAGACTACCCTCTATGCTGCATGATACTGAGCCACATTTCCTGGGTGGTAGAAATCTGATAGGCCAGATTCTACGCCTCGCGTTGTAGTTTCTCTCATCTCCACTTTCAGCGTTGCATCTAATGCCCCTGAGAAAATAAGAGACGGATTGCTCAGCCCCATTGAAATAATGAATCATCGGGTATCTGCCAGCTGAGAAAAGGTATAAATTGGAGTAACTTCCCACCGCAGCAGGAAAAAACCTTCTTCTCAATTTTTTCGTCGACGCTGACACATCTGACAAAATGGAGGGTCAGCAGCAATCAACTTCTTTCCTGGTCAACGACTTGCGTATTCCAAGGTTCACACAAGGACTAGAAAGTGAACCTCTGGCTACTGAAGCTGCTGCACAAACATCACTTGGCTCTCCTCCCTCAAATCCTCCCTCAACCATTCTCTTCGATGAGGAATTACCTCCGTTGCAGCTATATAGCGAGCGACTTGCGTCCGGTGAAGAGTCCAGTGGAGCACAGAATCTCTTTATTCCAGTTATTGAAATTAGTGAGGACGAGGGTGATAGCAGCACAGTTCTTTCGCAACCATCACGGCCACGGCGTCGAAATACTCGTCATCCCGATTATGCTTACCGAGACTACCAAGTCACAATGGACCATGCTATCTCGGCATCGTCTCTTGGTAAACGAGGAAGAGAAGACTCGGATACGCCGAGTCTTCCATCTAAAATCGTAAGGAACTCTTGTCCGGATTTCTCAATCATATGCTGACAATCAACAGAGGCAATTGGTGACTGAAATACAAGGACAGTATGAATCCTTAGAAAAACAAAACGAACAATCAGCCCAAGAAAGACATCGATGGAAGGAAGAAAGGGATCGATGGAAGAAGAAAAAGAATGAATGGAAGAAGAAAGAGAGAGAGCTCCATCGTCAGATTCAATTTCTGCAGCGACAAGTCAACGAACAAAAGCGGCGCAATATTTTAAAGTGTGTTGTATGCCATAGAACATTCAATAAGAACTGGAACGTTTTCAGCTGTGGCCATACTCTATGCAAAGACTGTGTGGATGACATCCATTCCAAAGGTTCATTATTCAAGTACTCTTGTGTTCAGTGCGGAAGACCGATTCAAGCTTGTTTCGACTTTTATCCAAACGTGGTGGAGGCGTAGAGCGGAATTGAGGTTATTCGTTACCAGCGTTATTCTCCTGAACTTAATCGAAATCAATATGTCTCTGGGGTCTAGGACAGGTAGCGAATATAACGGATAAGGAGCTCTTCTAGGGAGAAATATACTTCTGAGAGAACTCAAAGAGCGGATGACGTCGGATCCACTCGTTTGTCAAAAATCAGCGTCTTTGCACCTAGTGAAATATGTCGGGCGTTAGCAAATTTTGTCCAGAACAGTCTAACTCTGAAGTCTACCGCAAATTTGTTAGTTGTGTCATTCTAAGCTCACATATATCACAAAAACAAACTTGATACTGTTCTCCACTAGGTTCAGTAGCCAAAATCGACTACACTGCTGGATTTTATCGCACTCAGATTTCCTACGCTCACATATATTATGAATGGTCAGGTATGTTGTGACAGATTATCGCTTCAAATCTCAGCCAATGAAGGGTAGAGATGCTGCGGAATCGTGTGCTAAGAGCGTCAGTTTCTTCCAATCATGAACTCCCTCTTACCGCCCGCAACCTCAAAGTCAGCCTTGTTATCGTTCAGCCTTGTCGACACATCTGTATGAATCTCACGCAACACATCCTATCATGAAACAATGTTTTCGTATTGTTGAACTGTTTCCCCTCATCACTCAACCCGATACATATTTGTGATGTCACGACTCTGAACCATGGAAACTCCTCCGTCCCGATATAAGTTCCAGATCGGTTGGATATGTGCCCTACCTATTGAAGCAGCCGCCGCAATCCAGATGCTGGACGAGAATTTCGGTATTCTCCAAGAGCAGGAAAGGACGGACTCCAACACATACACCTTGGGTCGGATTGGCCGTCACTATGTCGTGATCGCGTGTCTGCCAGATAGACAATACGGGATTACTTTAGCCACCACAGTTGCTAATAATATGATGAGAACCTTTAGTGACTCGCTTTGCATCGGCTTGATAGTGGGCATCGGCGGAGGAGCTCCTTCCGCGGAGCACAACATTCGCCTGGGTGACATTGTGGTCAGTCGTCCTGAAGGCTCTTATAGTGGCGTTATTCAACACAACATGGGTAAAATTAGCAGAGATGGTAAAATTCAACGCCTTGGGTCCTTAAATAGCCCGCTAAAGTCATTGCTGAACGCGCTGGCTCAGGTGAGGGCGGCAGAACTATATGATGATCCTCAGTATCCAGTGTACCTTCAAGAAGCTATTAGGAAAAATAAACGGACACGGAATATCTTTAGCCGTCCTGACGTCGACATGGACCGGCTATTCAAAATAGAGCATGAGCATCCTGAGAATGCAGCATCCTGTGATCAGTGTTTGGTGGAGTAGGAGGAAGATCGTATTACCCGCGAAGACGGCGACCCACAAACACACTATGGAACAATTGCATCTGGGAATACTTTGATTAAAGACGGAAAGACGAGGGAGGCCATCCGCGAGGACACTGGTGCGTTGTGTTTTGAGATGGAGGCGGCAGGCTTAATGGCGGACTTTCCTTGCCTGATGATACGGGGTATTTGCGATTATGCCGACTCGCATAAGAATAAACAATGGCAAGGTTATGCTGCACTAGCGGCTGCAGCCTTTACGAAAGAGCTGTTAGGCTATGTGCCAAAAGGTGTATCTCAAGAGAGCTTAGTTGCAGATATGTGCTGTAAGTAATTGCCGGCATTATATGATAGTTCCTTCACAGGTTAACACGAAGCGCTATTCTATCTTCATTAGCTTTGCTTGAAGATATTAAGGAGGACCAAAGAAAGGCTTTCGATCAACGAGAAGGCCATCACCGCGAGAAAATGGAGAGAGTCTTGACGGAAGATCAACGTCGCTGTCATCAAGCATTCAAGACGTCGACCTATGAAAAGTTCAAAAATATCAATCCTAACCGCTTGGAAGGAACGTGTGAGTGGGTACTCAACAGCCCTGAGTACCTGCGCTGGTAGAACGCCACAAGCAATGATCTCTTGTAGATCTCGGCTGACCCAGGATGTGGTAAATCCGTACTCGCCAAATCCCTAATTGATAGCGTGTTTGGGGCCTCCGACCCGACTGTCTCCATTGTGTATTTCTTTTTCAAGGATAATGACGAGCAGAATAACCTTGCTACTGCGCTATGTGCCGTGCTTCATCAGCTGTTCAGCTGGCAACCACAACTGTTGCGACATGCATTACCATTCTGGGAAAGAAATAAAGAGAAGATTCAATATGAAGTGGACAACATGTGGCGCATTTTCATGGTGGCCACGTCCGATCGTATATTTGAAAATACAGTCTGTGTGTTTGATGCTCTTGATGAGTGCTATGATGTAGACTAGAAACAGCTGATTGAGAGACTTCGTGAATTTCATAACCGACACCAGGCCAGTCAAGGAAATTGGTTGAAGTTTCTCGTGACAAGTCGACCATATGATGATATTCAAGATCGCTTTCGGCCAGTCACTGAATTTTTCCCGCAGATCCATCTCCGCGGTAAAGAAGAGAATGATCAAATTCACGAAGAGATCAACCTAGTAGTAAAAGTCAAAGTAACTGAGCTGGGGAAGGACCTAGGTTTGTGTGCAGACACGCAAGAGCGGCTCCAGAAAGAGCTGTACAATATGAAGCATCGCACATACCTTTGGTTGTATTTAGCAATCGATGATCTCAAAAGTACATTGAAACATAGCCTTCGGCCAGACCGGGAAACGATCCCACCGCTTCCGAAGAATGTCCCTGAAGCATACGAGAGAATACTCGATCGAGTTCCTTCAGACCAAAAAGCCAAGGTGAAAACCATTCTGCGAATCATTGTTGGCGCACGACGTCCACTAACTGTTCGGGAGATGGCCATGGCACTAGGGGTGGCTACGACTCCGGATGCTGAAACAGCAATGGAGGCAGGCCTGAGTTCTAATAAATTAGACCAAAAGATACGGCAACTCTGTGGGCTGTTTGTTTTCATCAAGGAATTCAAAATCTATCTTATTCATCAGACTGCAAGAGAGTTCCTTATTTGCAAACACGATAACTCTGTTAGCTTCTATTGGTATCTTGAGCAAAGCAAAACAGAGGCACAAATGACTGAAATATGCGTCAAATACCTTCATATGAATGATCTGGTCAGTGATGACAGAGCATCTGTAAGAAGCTTACTATATTATTCCGCAGAAAATTGGGCCGATCATTTCCGAGGCATATCATGTCCAGAAGCTAGATTGGTGCAATGGGTCTGGAGGCTGTATGACGTTACCACCGATCTGTTTCATTTGTGGTTTCCCAAATTTTGGAGGACAGTAATGCCATATCACGGGGACCCCAAAATGGAGGCACTGCATTTAGCTGCATTCAACGGCCATCAAAACATACTATGTCGGGTGGTTAGGCATAAGATAGGTGAAATTAATCGGACCGACAGGTCAGGAATAAATGCATTACAATGGGCTTGTGTGAGGGGATATTCTGAAGTTGTCCAACAACTGCTGGAAATGGGAGCTGATGTCAATGCTCAGGGCGGAGTTTATGGCCATGCTATTCAGGCTGCTGCTCAAGGAGGACACCTTGGGATCGTTCAACAACTACTGGACAATAGAGCCGATGTCAATGCTCAGGGTGGATGCTATGGCAATGCTCTCCAGGCTGCTGCTCAAAGAGGACATTTTGGGATCGTTCAACAGCTACTGAGTGATAGAGCCGATGTAAACGCTCAGGGTGGAGAATATGGTAATGCTCTCTATGCCGCTGCTCAAAGAGGACATGTAGAGATTGCTCGACGACTACTGGAAAATGGGGCTGATGTTAATGCTGATGTTGATGCTCCGAGGGGATGGATTGACAATACTCCGGGGTCATGGTATGGCATTGCTGAAGGCCCATGGTATGGCAGTGCTTTGCAGGCTGCTGCTCAAGGAGGACATGTTGAGATTGTTCAGCTACTACTCAAAAAGGGAGCGGAGGTGAATGCTCAAGGTGGAGAATACCGCAATGCTCTCCAGGCTGCTGCTCACAAAGGAAATCTTGAGATTATTCAGCTACTACTTGAAAATGGAGCGGATGTCAATGCTCAGGGTGGAGAATATGGCAATGCTCTCCAGGCTGCTGCTCAAGTAGGACATCTTGAAATCGTTCAGCTACTACTCAAAAAAGGAGCGGAGGTCAATGCTCAAGGTGGACGATATGGCTATGCTCTCCACGCTGCTGCTCAAGGAGGACATGTTGAGATTGTTCAGCTATTACTCGAGAAGGGAGCGAATGTCAATTCTCCCAGGCTACTGCTCTAGCAGGACATGTCGAGATCGTTCAGCTACTATGAAAAGGGAGCGGATGCCAATGCTCAGGGTGGTTACTATGGCAATTCTCTCCAAGATGCTGCTCAAGGAGGACATCTTAAGGCTTTTCAGTTACTGCTTGAAAAGGGAGCGGATAGCAATGCTCTCCAGGCTACTGCTGAATGAGAGCATTGTCGTATTATATTGCAGAGGTGGTCGGCTATGTGTGGTTTTTCTAGGAAGCCATGAAATATAATCTTCTCACGCCTTGTAGCCCTTTAAATTCTCAGTAGAACATACTTTATCCAAACGTGTGCGAAGAAGAGCTTTGATCTGACAAGTTGATTCAAAGATATCCTTTTCTAACTCAACATAAACTAATTTTCCGATGCATCTATACCTCTCTTCCTTGTACAACTAGGTATTTGCCCACAGATGCAAGCAATCGACTAATGATATCACAAAACTTTTCTAGGGGGTAATCCGTTCTTCGGGTCCCCCAGATTTGGTAGACAACGGTCGCGTACACTTTCAAATTGTTCTCTATGGTCCAGTTGATTGTTAATCTGCTATGGAACCCCAGCTTTGTTCCATTCGAAAAGATTCGATACTTACCACTAATACAATTCAGACATCTGTTCGACAGCACGAATATTCCTGTTTAGGAGTCAATGGCGCTTTCCAATTCCCATTTTTCTTGCCCTCATCTATATCTCAATTAATCTAGCGGCCCTCTCATCGCTCGTTTGTCTTCCCTGGTGACCCGAGATACGATCAACAGTTACTTCTTGATGTGGCTGCACCTGTCAGCTTATGAGTACATGTTATTCAAGCAAGTTGATATCAGAGCAATGCCTTGGCGGCACTTAGAAGGCTAGCAAATATACATTCAGTTTTCCTACAATTATTTGCCCACGATTCGGTGGAATGTGGCTCACATACAGACAAGAAGTGATGCTAATAATGGTATCACTTCGATCATTCCAGGCTGATTTACGATGCTGCGTCTCTATCAAGACAAAACGATGGCTATCCACGGCTCTTGATCTGCCTCTTTCTACTTCGTTTCGTCGACCCCTTTAATTTAGTACAGTAGTGCACCTGCAGCGACGACTTGCTCCGGTGTGGAAATCGTTGCGCAAATTGATCCTCTATCATGTCCCAGCTGAATTTCTTGCTTTTCAGTTCAACGATAAACGCATCTTCTTCTGGTGAGAATTTTCGGTATCTGACCGTAGAATGGCCTTTCTGTTGAGATGGCTGAATACCATTCGTTTGCCCCCCCCCCCCCCCCCAAATAATGACGAAATATGGGATTGGGATAACTCTAAACAGTAGACGACCTCGGATCCAATATATTGTAATTTGAGAAGGCCCTGGACGGGGATAGACTCGCTTTCCTGATTCGCCTCTTGTTGTGGCGACTCAGGCTGTCTGGAGCATGGAGACTCAGGAGATAGCCGTGGAGCTATTTCTTGAGAAATCGATGAGACCGTATCCAGTATATGACTCCTCTTCAATCTTTTCGCTGGATGCAAGTATTCCCTTGATTCGCCTCTGTCGATGTTGCCAACATGTTCTGCGTTGTTCTTGTTCGCGTTGTTAGACACAGATATGTCAAGATCTTCGACAACCTGACTCGCGCAGTAAGACTAATCATGAGACGCTGCCCAGTCAGGTGATCCCTGCAACAGGTCTAAGAAACGAGGTAAATCAGGGATTACAACTGGTTGAGGCAGGGGACTGGGAACGCGTGCTATTTCATTCTGTAACGAATTTGAAAAGTTTTCCGATAGATATAAGGTAGCAAGTATGAAATCTTCCAGAATATCCTGTGACTCGATGCTTTCAATTGGCGAACTGCTTCCTTGAGACTCCAAGTGCTGGGCGATGATGATAGGCAAATTTTGCTGAGTTTGACCCGGACTAACAGTAGGCGATCCCGATGCAGAAGATAGCGTCGCTATATCTCTCAGAGTGAAATCCTCGAGGACTGGTGCTGATGTTGCTGTTTCAGGCATGCAGAATGGTGATATACTTTGAGTGGCATCACTAGCTTGGTCCTGTAGCTCTGCCTGACCTTGACTAAGTGGCTGCGAGAGATCTGCATTTTCTACCGCCTTCAAGGGCGCTTCTGCGGTGAGACGGACGATACACATTCAGCTGGGATTCCTCGATCTGACAAAGTTGTATGTACACTACTGCTATCGTCATCTTCGTCTCCTAATTGTATATGTAAGCCAAAAGCGACCAGGTTGCATGGATAAGGAGTATACCTTTCGCAGGCAAGCGAACCAAAGACTCTTTCTCCTCATTTTTTCCACCCTCCACGACTGAAGAATCATTCGAATACACGGGATGGGTATGAAGTACATTAGATGTGCTTGAGGTAGTCAGTAAGATTGTACTCTCTGAACTGTGAATGGAGGAGACAGCAGCTGGTGGACGAGGGGGGAGTGTATAGTGCAAAGCTGGTTGTCAAAAGGATGTGAGGGAGCTTGAGTGAATGGAAGATTTTGGATTGACTCTTTTTGAGGGGTGGAGGAAGGGAGTTGAATACTCATTTGGAGGGATGCTCTATATAGGACGTGCAGGAAGTGAATGAGGACGGTAAAATTTGATTTTTTCTAAGGTAATAGCCATGGTCGTGCAATGGTTGTAGAGAGGTAGAGAGGTTAGGAAAATGAAACTGATATCCAACGGTTACACTCCATCCTGCTGAGCACTGAGGTCTTTATATATGCCTCAGGGCACAAAATGTGCAAAAAGGCTGTTAGTTCTCCTCGAACGTCGATATCGCTACTGCTAACATATTCTGTCACTGTTGTCTCCACCTGCAGCAAACAGCAATATTGACGATGCAGTCGTCGTAATCAGCGGACTGGCCAATTTCCAATCAGATAACCCAAATCTAAGCTCAAAAATGAGACATGATCTAGTAGCACGCCTGATGCTACTCAGTTTCATGAGCAACTCCGCTTCCGTCCCACAATTAAGGCATTGCTGGCCAATCTGTGACTAAAGTCATCCAGATTACTATGTCATTGCTGCCGTGCATGAATCAAGGCGTCTTACAAGCGGGTTTGACGCTTGTAACACCAACATTGGATTAGCATCCTCACAAATCTGCCTTAATGAATGTGTTAGCCCCTTTTAGCTCTACAGCTGTAAATGCCAGCTCAGATGATGCGGTATTTTCATTATTGATTATACTTGCCTTTCAATAAATGTAACAGCTAGAACAGTGGATATGATACTATTAAATAGAAATTGCACAGTATTTCTACTGATGGAATAGCAACCATGCACAGATGGGCTTATTTCTGGCGCGTCTGGGATCAGGATATCTCTCATCCGAATACCACATGATTAAATCACCGGACTATAAGATCCGCCTAATCAATTGCAATGCTGAAGTTCCTAGCGGCCACACTCGTGTTAGTAAACTCAGGACTGAGAGGAATTCAGTCTCATCATAGCTAGTAGAGTGAGCGAACAATGAAGGCAAATTTTCAATACAAGTCATCTTCTAGTCATCTGAATTGTGGATGATGGCTCACTGCTGCAGTAGAAGCCCAAAGCTGTAATTTCTGTCAACTACTCAAAAGTAGTCACAGTGCAGATGGGGAGGGCGGCGCAGGAATGAGGTGGACCCGTGCAGGGGGGATGTAAAAAATGTTTGTATTAGCAATTTGCGTAGTTTCTTGCTAAGCAGACACGGCTGAGAAAGAGCTGAGAAAAAAAAAAAGGACGTGGAATTGACAGTCGTCGTTCAGGGACGCACTTGCGGTTTATATAGGCCTCGCGGAGTGGGGCGCCTTCCGTTAAAGCGGCGAGAGGACCGCTATTCCCCATATGGTATACACTGTACTTCCACGACCTCGCGCTAAACGGGATCGGGCAATTTCTTTTCCGTTCCGTTCTCTGGTTGGTCAGAGGCCGAAAACCGCGCCCCGCTAACCGTCACAATTAATACTCAGTAAATGTTAGAAGACCATTGACAGCAGTAGTGGCAATTTGCATACAACTATCGTAAACGTCTATTCTTCATATCCCGAATGATTGGTCTGTCATAGCCTATAGCGCTGGGTATAGACAATAAACTTGATTAATAATAATAATAATATCCCGAATGATGAACCGTCACAACACTCTAATATCAACTGTGTGAAAAAATAAATATCTCGGATTGGAATTGGCATAGGATTCCTCAATACACGTAGACACTTGATTAAGATTTCCAAGGTCCAAAGAGCAGACACTACTCCGTGGAATGGTATGTTGAGTCTCGCCGACTAATCATCAGTCGCCGACTCGCCTGAGGCCTCCATAGTCCAGTCTGCAAATCTTAATTATGTATACTATGGAACACTTCACTTGCTCGGGTGATGAATTCAATGATCTCCGCTCTGTCAGGTAACATTTAGTTAGATTGGACCAGATATGTGCGAGAACTGAATGTTATATAGGGCCTAGTCAATAGTGGATTTCCAAGACTAAAAGCCGAATCACCTCTTGTTACTCACTCCACATGTAATTCGCGGAGATCAAGTGTCCTTGATTTCTCTGGATTATATTTCATCATTTCGATATGGCAGCTGAATCATCACACCAAGCAACTGGCGAAGGAAAGGGTTGCATCCCCAATCCCAGGAATAGCTGCGTCTCTGTTCCGACTGGTAACATCCCATTTGACATCTCATAGAATTCATAGAATTAGAGAACTGACATGATCAAAGACACCGGAACAGACAATCATAATCATGTATGGCTCCACATAGTGCGCAACTTTACACCAGCGTATGATTGCATGCTCCGTATTCCTAAATTTTGACCACACAGTCTCATGGCCTCTACCAGGTGGTTTTCCGTTAATATGGGCACTGGAATTGTGTCGATACTCCTCAATACGCTCCCATACAATGGACGGTGGCTATATTTGCTTTCGATTGTTTTCTTTGCCTTCAACGTCTTGCTCTTCCATATTTTCCTTGCCATATCGGTTCTTCGCTATATACTCTATCCGAGCATCTTTCCAGTAATGGTCAGTCATCCTATTCAGTCTCTATTCCTCGGTACATTTCCCATGGGTTTCGCAACCATTATCAATATGTTTTGCTTTGTTTGTGTTCCTACATGGGGGCAATGGGCAGCCTATTTTGCTTTAGCAATGTGGATTGTGGATGCAGTGATCTCCGTGCTGGCCTGCTTCGGAATTCCCTTCATTATGTAAGTGTCTGACGTATAAAGACCTTCCTTTATCCTATTGACGCTGTAATCTTCAACAGGATGACAAGACGAACCAAGACTAAATTGGGATCGATGACGGCTGCGTGGTTACTACCAATCTGATCTTGTGTTGTCGCAGCTGCATCCGGAAGAATTGTTGCTGAAGTGGTTCCCAACTTCCAGATTGCACTTGGAACGCTTGTTACCAGCTTCGTCCTATGGGGCGTCGGGGTTTTGCTTTCATTAACGGTCATTGTGATCTACTTGATGCGATTAATGTTGCACAAACTTCCCCCAAAGGCTGTCATTGTGAGCATGTTCTTACCCCTTGGCCCGCTTGGACAGGGAGGTTACGGGTGAGTCCTTCTTTGCAATAGGGCCTTACAGAGATGTTCATCCCTTCGGAGAACAACAGACAACAACAGAGGACTAATATTGGCTATGATACGTCATGCAGGATACAAAAACTGGGCAGTGTGGCGAAAACTATCTTGCCACAGACGAATACTCTAGGAGCAGGCGCAGGTGACACATTCTACGAGATGGGCTTTGTAACAGGACTTCTATTCTGGGCCTTCGGATTATTTTGGCTGCTTTGCGCCGTTGGCTCAATCGCTCAAGTCAGGAAATTTCCATTCAACCTTGGCTGGTGGGCTTTCACATTCCCCTTGGGGGTTTATGCCACATGTACCTGTCAACTCGGACGAGAGATGCCATCAAAATCTTTTGCTATGTTAGGAACGGTAGTTCATCTTGATTAACCCATAACGAGCCTGTCGAGACCTAACTACTGATTCTTTACAGATTTTCTCCCTCAGCGTTATTTTTTTGTGGATTCTCGTCACGGCTTTCACGATCAGTGGTATCCATGATGGAACTCTGTTTGTAGCTCCTTGTCTGGCTGTTTTGCGTGAGAAGAGAAGGAGAGAATTTGAGCGGGAACGACTTGTAAATATTGGCGATAACTCACCTAGTTTTAAGGGCTAGGGAGTTTCGATTTCATCGTGCCGAGTAAATTAAAAGGCAGGCTCATCTTCCAAGATGTCTCTTAGATGGAGCAGACTAAATTAATACATTCCGGTATCTTTTGTAGAATATCCTCGTCCTAGGCATGAATTCTTTTAGCAAGATTTAGAACCAGTTATCGAGTTACGATCCAGTAATATAAAGTACGGACTTGGGATTTATCTATATGTTTATTCGCAGTGGAGTGTACTCATTATTTATTTCTACATACCTACAATCAATAATTAAATATTTAGCGACGCTTAATTACTCCAGTACGAAGTACACATGATCTTGCTTAGAAAATCATTTTTGTCCAGGGTAAAGGATTAAACTTTTTTTTTCTATTTCTTTTTTCTTTTTTTTTTAATTTTCAGAAGCACATCAAGCTGGATGAGAATATTATGTTAGAATCTTTCTGCTACCTAAATAGCGAAAAGGGTTGCTGCCTAGGTAATCATGACCTTCTCCGTGGATGTTACTTGTGCAAGTCTCAATGACCTCGAATGAGAAATTGCTGTTTAAGCATTCAAGTTTATTGGGAGGAAACATAAAAGAGAGAGAAAAAGCAGAGAAAAACAAGATTGCCCAGCGTTAGTGGTCTGAAGAATGAATTCAACGGTGGTTTACTCTTGCGAAGCATCCAATTGCAGTGATTCGCTCTCTGGATGAGAACATGCGGGGTGTCTTACGTAGAAACCAGTCATGTAATCTCGATATAAACTCTTTCAACTTGGCGAAGATCAGAGCAGATCAGAGCAGATCAGAGTCGCCGAACTGCTAGAATAACAACTCGGGGAACCTGTGGGTCTCGTACAAAACTTAGGGCTGGAGTCGGCCGAGTTCTGAATCATCGCAATCATACCAAAGTAAATGGAGTCGGCGATATGGAAGCCACCCCTTTGCAGCAGGAGGGACTTTAAAAAGAAAGCTGCTGGAAAACATGGAGCTCTAAAAAAAAGAACAATCGTCCTTCTTTTCAAAATCTTTTTTTTATTTAGTCATCTCTGAGAAAATCAGACACCAGATGGATCAAATGGATCGACCTTCATCGAGCAACACCTTCGCCGAGAAGAATGACGACCCTGAGGCTGGTGGTATGAGGGACACATCTTTGATTAACGATGTTGTTCAAAATTACGCGTGGCAAAATATCGACGTTCAAGTCAAGGATCGCTCAACGGGCGACCCCTTGTCAATTCTTTCGGATGCTAATGGCATTGTTCATGCGAGTGAAATGATCGCTATCATGGGCCCTAGTGGATCAGGGAAAACGACTCTCTTGAATGCCATTGCACACCGTGTAGCCGCTGCGAAAGCAACAACGACCGGTGATCTCTTAGCCAATGGCCAAGCAGCAAATCTACAAAAGATACGCGACTTGTCTAGTTATGTCGAGCAGGACGATGCCCTTATCGGGAGTTTGACCGTCCGCGAGACAGTCGGTTTTGCTGCTGGTTTGTCTTTGCCTAGGTAAAAAGAAACCATTGTTTTCTCTGGAAGTTCGTCGCCGACAACTGATTCATTGCTAATATAGTTCGGTTTCCAAATCTGAGAGACAAAGAAGAGTCGATAGCCTGATTGCAAGCTTTGGTCTGCAAAGCCAATCACATACGATAGTAGGAACGCCAATCAAGAAAGGCCTCAGTGGTGGACAGAAAAAGAGACTGGGTGTTTGCAGTCGCTTAGTCACGAATCCCAAGATTCTCTTCCTTGACGAACCAACGAGCGGTTTGGATTCAACGCTCAGCTTCGAGGTAATGAACTATATCAAGAAAATTGGTCGCGAAAACAACGTAAGTCAATTTCGTCCAAAGAGATGGCGTGGCAGATGAAGGCACGACGGCTGACAGTATCCAGCTTATTGTCATTGCTTCAATCCACCAACCCTCAACGTCGACTTTCATGCTATTTGACAAGTTATTCCTTTTATCTCGCGGCAAAACTTGCTACTTCGGCCCGATTTCCAATGCGCGAGATTACTTTGGCAGAATTGGGTACCCGATGCCTTCGGAGGTCAACCCGGCTGAATTCTTCTTAGATCTGATCAACACGGATCTGGTAAAAGAAGGAGACGACGTCGTCGCTCGCACAAAGGACATCACTGAAAAGTGGGTGGCGTCTGAAGAAGCGACCTTGATCAATCAAGAAATCAACGATGTTATCGCAAATGCTCGGATGCCAGGAAGTGCTATCCCCCAGCTTTCAGATGTCCATGTACAGAAACCCCACAGCTGGACTATTCCATTGGTCCTTCTTCAACGTTCCTGGATCAAATCCTATCGTGATATTGTTGCGTATGGCATTCGAATTGTCATGTATCTGGGCTTGGCTATTCTGATGGGTACTGTGTTTCTGCGCTTCACTCCCACCCAGGAATACATCCAGTCATATATCAATGCTATGTTTTTCAGTTCTGCTTTCATGTCCTTCATGGCAGTAGCATATGTTCCTGCTTACTTGGAGGACCAAGCAACCTTCTACAAAGAACGAGCAAATGGTATTGTTGGTCCATTGGCCTTCATGGTATCCAATTTCATCATCGGCTTGCCATTTCTGTTCATCATCGCGCTTCTGTTCTGTGTGGTAGAATACTGGTTGACTGGTTTCCGTACTAGTGGCACCGGGTTTATGACCTTTCTCATGTGGCTATTCTTGGATCTATTGGCGGCCGAGTCTTTGGTTGTGCTAGTCTCTTCTGTGTTCCCTGTATTTGTCGTCGCCCTCGCGGTCACTGCATTCGCCAATGGCTTATGGATGTGTGTGAATGGGTTTTTGGTCCCCATCACGATCTTGAACTCTTTCTGGAAGTATGTCTTCCATTACATTGAGTATCAGGCATATGTCTTCCAAGGCATGATGGTTAATGAGTTCAAACACCGTACCTACTCATGTGCTACGACTGCTGCCGGCCACTATCAATGCTCTTATGAGAGTAGTTTGAACTCGGAAGGCTTAATTGCTGGGACAGACGTGTTGAAGAACTACGACATCAATGCCAATAAGATGGGTGAATGGGTTGGTATTATGATATCAATCATCGCAGTCTACCGCTTGCTTGGCTACCTTGCGTTACGATTAAGACAGGCCTAGTGTCTAAGGATAGTTGAGAATTCTGGACTATGCTGGGGACTTAGTCGGTCGGTCTAATCGAAAGAGTTTTCCGGTCTTCTTCCAAGAGAAGAAAGGAGCAGGAACAATAGAGAGAAAGAGACGAATTTGCGCCATGGCGAACGTGTCCCAAGATCGTTTTGATTTTTTCAAGTCTCTTCGACCAGAAGTTCCAATGTCGAACTTGGAAGATTTCTGAACTTGTATCGTTCATTTCCCTCTCCTTTTATCTCTTACTTGTAACGCTCACTTTACATTCATCTTTTGCTTTCTCTTAAGATTTCTAGTTACGGAATATACTCTCTTTGAATATAATTTGTATCTAATTTTGGGATTTCTTTTTACCATTCTCCTCCCTGCAAACTCAGGAAATCGTGGCTGTTGCATAGCTAGCTAATTATTTGTCTCCTATTCTCCTATCCATTGAGATTTCCTTACTTTTGTAATTCATAGGCTTGTCTATGCTGCTGACATTTGCTCCACCCTCCCGGTGTCAAAACTGTTGCAATGTAAAGACCTCATGCAGAAAGGGTGTTTCTGGAATTTTTTGAGTTCTAGTCCTCCGTGTATGTGCTCGGCATCATTTCTCTTGTGTGATCTGCTTTTGCTTTTCCTGGCATTTGAATCTGTTCCATTGGTTGTATGTACGAGATTAATATCATAACAAAGAGTTCACGCGGCGCATACACCTTAGGTAACAACCAACATGCCTGCCCAATCGTGTTGCTACAATAAGTTTGTTACGAGAACAGAGAGTGGCAAAAGTGTGGGTAATTCAGCTAAGCTGGTCATGGTCAAGGTTCAGCTGGCTATGGTTAATAATGTTCTGCCAGGAAACAACATGAATGTCTCTTATATAGAATGCATGCTGCGGAAACAGGAGAGATAGGTTTCAGTACATTGACACTCCCCAAATCAAACAATAATCAAAGAGCCCGTGTGGCCTTATTTATCAATAAAAGTATCAATCTAGCTAGCTAGTCTCACACAGTTGTGTCGCCTCATTATCAAATTCTATATATTTGCTATCAACGCCGCCTACGCAACTCCAATCCTGAATCATACAAACCACATGATCTCTACATCTATAATATCTATAATGAGCCACGTTCAGCTACTTTCGCGCACGTAGGACAGGAGCTAAACCGATTAGGAAACTCACGAACCTCAGCACACCTAGTACTTAGGGATATGAATTTTCATCATCCAGCCTAGGGTGGCCCTGGTACAAAAACCGACAAACAGACTACCAAATCACTTAAAATCATAGATCACTATAAAATTGAGCTTACTACTGAAGGAGTAGTCATCTGGGAGCGTGGCCAATCACAATCAACTTTTGACCTAACATTACTCTCTACATCCTTATTCAACCAACTTATATTGCATAAGCGTACTGATGAGATACAACATGACTTAGATCACTGGCCAATTAGAACACAGATTAATATTAATACTCTAACCTACGAACTACCACGTCGTCGTAACTGGACAGCCATAAATGTTAAATTACTATATGAACTGCTTAGCCAAATCACTGTGCCAGGCCTCACAAATGCGTTAAAATCTCATATTGAGCTTGCAACAGTAGCTTTTACGGCAACTATACGAAAGGCAATTAACTAATCAGTTCTATAGGCTCGTCCAAGTACATGGAGCAATCCGGATTTTACACTGGAATGCAAAGAAACTATATAAACCTGCCATCAACTACGACGTCAATTCTCCAGTACACATAATCCGTGGATATGGAGGGCTTATCTACGCGCACGTAATAAGAAGAAATGCCTTGTCAAGAAATCCTTACGACTAGGCCATCAACGTCGCGTGCAACAGGCCACCAAGCAAGGCCCCCTAGGTCTCTGGAGGCTGGCAAGGTGGGCACGAACGCGCAACGGAGCGTATAAATCAGAAATCACCCCTACCCTACAAGCCCTGGATGGTCGTACGGCGGAAACAGTAGAGGCAAAAACGCAGCTTCTCCAAGAGGTATTTTTTCCAGCTATTCCAAATGCAGACTTGTCAGATATCCCGGATAGTCAATATCCTACACAGATTGAGTTTCTAGAAATCTCACGCCATGAGATCAAATGTGTGGTTCATTCAATATCACTAGACAAAGCCCCTGGTGAGGATAGCATCCCTAATAGCTTCTGGTATAAGATTATTGGCATACCAGTGATACTCGATACACTTTATGAGATCTTTAACGCCTGCGTACGAACTGGCTATAATCTAACTCACTTCCAACACTCAGTAACTGTTATGCTGCGTAAGGGAAGCAATAGGGATTATTGTACGCCCAAGGCATACAGGCCCGTAGCCCTTCTTAATACGCTTGGCAAATTCCTTGAAGCAATTATCACATGTTGTATTAGCTATGCCATGGAAAGTAAGGGACTGCTTCCTATAAGCTACCTAGGTGGCTGCAAAGAGATATCCACGGATTACGCTATACAGATTATTCTTGATTGAATTCGTAGAGCCTGGGGACGTGGCCATGCGGTTGTATTAATGCTTCTATTAGATGTTAGTGGCGCATACGATAATGCCCACCATTTACGATTACTACATAATATGAAGAAATGGCGCCTTGGTTTTTGACGTCAAGAAATATCAACTTATTCATTTTGTGAATCCACGAAGCACGACTACCTCTGAATTACAGCCCATCAGGCTTCGTGACGTAGAGTTAAAGCCCGAAGAAGCTTTTAAATATCTAGGCATCTGGCTCGACACGAAGCTGAGCTTCAACACGCATCGTGAGCAGGCTATTGCAAAAGCAGGCACAAGTTTGGAGGCCCTACGTGGCCTATCAAGATCCATGTGGGGTGTCGCGCTAGGCTCTATGTGACGAATCTATCAAGCAATCGTTATCCCCCAGATGCTATACGGCGCTGCAGCTTGGTTCCAACCAGGCCTTATGAGCCAGAGGCAAATTACACAAACAGTACGCGGGTTTACAACTATCCAAAAACGTGCAGCTTGCCTGATAAGTGGCGCCTTCTGTACGACAGCTGCAGAAGCGCTTAATATAGAACTTCACCTAATGCTAATCTGATTGCAATTGGACTAACTCACGAAGGCTACCGCTATATGAATTTGCACAGGCCCTGCCTTTACGATTCCTAGCGGCATGGTCAATCGATGTACTAATCAAGAGCTAAAGCTCGGCGGCTACACTCCCATGGAAGCTCATGCTTGGAAGAAGAACGGATGCTTATTGGTACCCCCAGGAACCTTGGCCCGGGAGATGGGAGAGCCGCTTTGCATACGTCCAGGAACCATGGCGAGAGCTTCCACATGTAGTAATTGATGAGCGAGAGAAGGCGGTATCGGTACATGATAACATCACGCGCAAGAAAGAACATATTGCAATCTATACGGATGGGAGTGGCTATCAAGGCTATATTGGCGTATCAATGGTTATCCCAGCCTATGGAAAGCAACGTACGCAGTGCATTGGTACAGAGGGTACGTCCACCGTGTATGCAGGAGAAGCATGCGGCATCAAATTCGCGCTTGAAACCGTGCTTCAAATTGCAGAGCAAGACGTACGAATCAAGAAGCCAGTTATCTTTTCAGATAGCCAGGCAGCGCTCAGAACCCTAATAAACCCGCGTATGGTCTCAGGTCAAATGTACATTCGTGATTGTGTTGATCTACTAAGAAAATGCATGGTTGAGGACATCGATGTGACATTACGGTGAATTCCAGGCCACGAGGGTGTTCCTGGAATTGAAGCTGCGGACAGAGCTGCAAAACGTGCAGCTTTAATGGGTGCACAAAGGCAGGTTGTGCCAGGGGATACTAATAGTTGGATAATACTTGCCGCGGCTGCAAAACGGAGAATACAATAATCAACCAAGGATGCCTGGGAGAAATTGTGGGACAAACAGAAGGCTGGGAAGCCTACCAAGAAACTTGTCACTCGGCCCTCCAAACGTACACTCCAGTATTGGATGTTCCTTCGGAAAGCGACGTCGTCTATCCTAATTCAGCTCTGTACAGAGCGAATAGGCCTGGCCCATTATCTCTGGAGAATTAACAAGCGAGAACATCCATACTGCGCGGGCGGGCTATCTGGTCAATCCGTGAAGCATATCTTCATGGAATGCCCACTGTACGCAGATGAGCGTGCGCTTATGTGGACGCGAATCAAAGGATTCCGCCGTACGACCGATTTGCAAAAGCTGCTTAGCGAAAAGACAGCTGCGGTTGCAATCGCACAATTCATCATTGATACGCAAGTGTTAGATCAATTCCGTGTGGCGGATCCGGAAGCAATAGGCATGTATGAAAGCGCAGGAACAGCAGCTCAACCAGGGCTTGCAAATGACAAGGACACTGATGTGGGAACACGTACAAATGCACGCGAAGATGACGTGCGCTCCAGGTCAGCCTCGTTGTCAGTAATGACCAATATTGACACGAACACGAGCCTTGGATCGAGGGATTCGGAGCCAGCCAACGGGGACGTTAGTAGGGGACATAAGGGTCGGATTTGCGAAGGGTGAGATTCGTGAGTTCTATAGGATAAGTGTAATGTGAGAAGACCGTACAGTTTGTACGTTATGAGAGTGCGAAGATGTGTGGGTTGAAAGATATGGGGATATGTGGTTTTGAAGCGAATTGGTTATTTGTTTGATATGTTACATTCATTAGTCTTGTTCCCTTAGCTTCCGTTCTCTGTAGCGCATCACCCGTGTCTTTGTTCTACCATAGGTTATCCAGAACTCCAGCAGAATTCTGGAGTTTCCCATATCATTAAGGTTCATACTATGATAAGTCTAAACTGGCAAAACCACCCTCCAGAGTTCAAAAGTCAACAACCACTCTAATATAAGATGCAGGGTATCAATTCTCTTGATATATACCCAGATTCTCGTCGTATTTGGCAGTAGCAATAATCTAATAGAGGCTTATAACAATTTAAGGAAGGACATATTGCTAGAAATACTCGGTGTTAAACCGTGGTGCAGACGGTAGCTACGGATGTTATCTACCTCAAGAGCACTAGGGACCAGGTAATTTTGCTAGCACCGCCTGCAGCACACTAACTTAATCCTATAACGAACATGGTTCCACGGTGTGGGTAAGGCGCTGCGACAGGTATTGCTCAAACCTCGACGACTAGATCGGTCTTTTGTGGGCCCGAAGGTTGCCTCTCTCGCCTCCTGGACAAATAGGCATTTCCGTCCATTATTGTATGGTCCCACCAGTTTTTTTGACCACCCGAACCATATCATTAGTATTCGTCTGGAATCTGCTGGTTTTGGCAGCAAACCATGTACCTGCAACTCCAGTATGAAGGCCTTTTTTGGGTGCGTTCCGCTTACATCTAAGTTGCTTATCGAGACTGCTGTATCAGAGACCCAATAGAGTCCACAGTGGGAAAGTTTTGTCGCCTAAGTCTCTGCTTAGATTTGTTGCGAGTGATGCAGCAGCCTGGAATATTTGAGCTTTTGTCGCCATTCGATCAATCCGGAACACATCCGCTTGGATAGCGGATGGTCCGGCAACGGGTCATCGCTGAACTGGATATCTTAATTGTACTTTTGTATTGAAATCAGGCGCTGTGTTGGATTGGGAATAGTCTAAGTGATCGGAGAAATAGAGTGCATTCAAATACGTATACCTTGCACGTGTTACATAACCTTCAGTGAATATGTGATTAGGGGGTGGGTTTAGGGGCTATGAAGGCACCATAAGTTTATATTCGAATAGATAAGTGAAAGAGAGGAGAGAAGCAAAACCGGTCTTCAGGGAACATCATACCCTGCTGCTGCTGGCGTTGGGATCTGGGAATAGTTACATGGTCAGCCCACAACACTTGGCTAGTAAGTTCAAGGTTTCTAGAGGTTGGTGTCGAGATCTGTTATTTCACTGACTAGTTGCCTGACTCTTAATACGTAGACTTATATGGGACAGACGCCGAGCAGCGCCGTGCTCGGCGACCATTTGGTAGCATTCGGCCGACAGCCGAGTGTGTTTCGGATGAGAGCATCAAATGATATTGGATCGCAAACTCAATCAGCGGTGACTGCATAAGAGGTAAATGGATTAAAAAGTATTGCTTGGCGCACTCTAGATATATTAGGTCTATTTTGATTCCGGGGTGGACTTTTTCCATCTATAATTCTATCCATCATGCGGGAGAATTCCAGTCTCTTTTCAAGGCGAAAGGCAAGAAATCATGGAGAATACCATAATGCAATCGGCCTTTCAACCGCAGAACAATCAAACTGAACTACAACATGAGAAAGTCGAATTCGTGGCCGTCGTCCCTCCAACCCAGCATCAACGACATCAACTCTCGCGTTCCTGGCGCCATTACGTATTCTCGCCCATCGCTGTCAACACCCTCGCCGAACTGGAACTTTTACTGCTGACATTCAATATTGGAATACAAGATGCAGCAACCTTTTCCGACTACCGATGCTTTGCCTCCAACCAGACGGGAAACACGGTCATGCTTGCTCTCGCAGTGACAGCACAAGGCGATAATACCGCAGATCTGTTTATCTTAGCGAATATTGGTATCAGTCTTCCAATGTTTCTGGCAGGCGCCTTTATCACGGGCCAGCTCGGCAATCATGTTCTGGGTCCCCGTATGCGTGTCTGGCTGGTGGGGATCAATTTCCTGCAGACGGTGATGGTCTTTTGCGCTGCAATCATCCAGTTCAAGCTTGGACGTCAGTCGCAGGGCCCAGCTGCGTTAGGCATCATTTCTTTGCTCGCTTTCTCGAGTGGATCACAGGTGGTCTTGTCCCGCGTGTTCCAGGTACCGGAGATTACTACTGCCATGGCCACAGCGGCTTGGGTTGATCTCATGATCGATCCAAAGATTTGGAAGATAAGGAACAGGCCACGCAACCGGCGCAGCTTCTTTCTCCTGTCTCTTTTCGCTGGTTCGTTGGTTGGGGCAGCTCTCTATTATAAAGCTGGATCGCCAACAGCGCTCGTCCTGTCTGCCTCTGTCAAGGCCATTGTCACTGCTATGTTATTTTTTAATCCGTCGGAACCGATCTCGGATTCCGATGATTTCGTGCTGACATAAATGATAAAAAGTATTAGAGTCCTAGCGTCATGTCTCCTGGTGGAAGTCACTATCAATAGATCCCGTTGAACCAAAGGATGGTTTAGGGCTACGGCTTACGGAGGTGGTCTTTGAGTAGTGGAACCATGAGGAAGCTCCTTACACTGAAAGATTCTTTTTGTAAATAAGATTCTGTTTTTTTCACAATATTCAATAAATCTCATATTGACGTGAGAATTGTGACCATCAAGAATCAGTAGGCGCCATCCCCGGCTTGCTTGAGATCTTGTTTCTTTCTCAAAAACTTCCTGCAACCAATGATAACCAATCTCACTATTTGTCCATCCTGTTTCAGAAGCTGCAAAGTAGCATCTTTGCGTAGTAAGATCTTGAAACCAGGAATCCTGTAGATTACCGGATTTGGCCATATAGATCAAAGCTGGAGAGATAACAGTTCCATCTGCGCAAATACAAGCAATTGTAGTAATCCACTCCCTATTCCCATCTTGAAGAAATTGCTTGAACTTCTTCTCATATAATCGCCGAGAAAAGACTCTTTTTTGACTTGTCATAATCCCAATCGCAAAGCCCTTCTCATCCATATTGTAAATTTGATTTGGCTGAAGATTATATTGCTCAATCTTGCGACTTATAAGCTCAAAATAGAGAGCATAACTCCAAGCGCAACCTGCTCTTTTTCGGTTGCGGTCGATGCCTGTAGAATAGCGAGATATCAACGCATTTGGATGCTTGTTTAACCAGCGAGAAGCCCAGTTCTTTCCAGGCTTACTATCAGTTAACTCATGCGCAAAATTTGCAATCATATAGGGAGTAGGTGGCAGGCCTTTTTCGCAGAGCATTTCTATCCATTGTATAAGCTTTTTGGATTGGTGGTCGTTGAGTAATCGTTGATTATCGTAATGCGCTTCTTTCGAGCCCGTAACGCCTCGGTATCTTCTCGAGAGCGTGGTCCGATCAACACCATACATTTTTGCGACTAAAGTGAAATTAATCTGTTCATCTTCTCCCAAGAAATTCAAATAGTTAAATGCATCCTCGATTGCACCCATTTTGACTAATTTATCGCGCTTTGAGATCCGTGTTGTTTTTCGCGTTTTGACGCGGTACCGTGCATGAGGTGGTGTCGTGCACGAGGCGGTGAAGCACTGTAGTCATCGCTCTAGTAAACCAACGTTCCGACAAAGAGACGCAACGCATGTAGCAGTGGCAGATACTATTTACTACTCAAAGATGAAGATTATAACCTATTTAACAGAGCCTTGCATCTTGATGGTTAATGAGATCTATGGCTAGGTGAGCCACTGTCAATTCACACAGGCCATTTGCGTATCGGTGATGATTTTGACGATATTGACGATATCGTCAAATAGTTGACAATATCGTATCGGCACACCTAGGATTAGACGATGCCGATTGACGATACGATATCAGCAGATTCTAGGTTAGACGATGACGATAGACGATATGGAAAAATGATGCCGATATCGTATCGTCAACAGCTCTAGTTCAAATACTATGAGTTCATTCCTAAGATGGTAACGTACATGAGAAGGAAAAAAGAGAAAAACATGAATTCTTGTTGGGCATACCACTTAATATAGAGATCGAGAGTCGTGCTGTCTCTCTAGAGTTTCCTCTGCAAGTCCGGATATGCAAAACAGATACTCCGGACAATAGCTCCAGTTTCCAGAGGGCTAAGTATTGCCAACTAGGATCAAAACAGATACTCCGAATAATAAGTCCAGGAAGGTGAGTATTGGCCAACTAGGTTTACTCACTAAATCAGAAGATAGCTTCATGAGCGGTGTTAGTGAAAGCCCTGTCCCGAACCCATATGGTGTCAGCCCATAACAAGTCCATTCTGAATAGATAAGAGAGAAAAGCACCAAAAGATAGCGTATCATTGACTAGGGTTATGCGCCACAGCCTGAAGAAGAATAGCTGCAATCTACCAAGCGATGGAACTTACTGCACAGAGGTAGATAAATAGATAATTAGCCAATATTTACCACCAGCACTACAATACTCTTGTCACTATTAGATCGAGTACCTAGGCAAGGCAAGGACCTTACTATGGGAAAGGAGAATGCTTATTCTTTCCTTTAGGAGCATTTTCTTCACTGGGTAGAAGCGATGGGTCTTATAGGAGTCATATTAGAGGTTGTTGCTGCAATTAATACATTATCTGTAACACCGTTGAGTTCATATACTCAAAATTTCAAGCATGTAAATCGTAAGTATTTATTATATAGACTGAGGCAGACCCCCAGTTATCTAAATTTCCTTCATGACGGGAAACACGTTATCCTCAAAAATATACAGATAGTTGATGCTGTACCACTTCAGCTTTATTTTACTGGACTGATGTTTACTACAAGAAATTCGACAGTGAGAAGAATATTTATCAAGAAGTACCTAATTGGCTATGCAGGCTACCAAAAGTAGAGGAGACCTGGAGCGCAATCCAACAAACTTTTGAAGGCCACTCGTTTGTCAGTTGACTCAGTGGCATTCCCACCGGATGGCCGGCTGCTTGAATCAGGCTCTCGGGACAAAACAGTCAAGCCCTGGGATACTGCCACTGGAACTCTGCAGCAGACTCTTGGAGGCCACCTGGGATTAGTTCTATTAGTAGTATTCTCACCAAATGGCAGGGTGCTGGCATCAAGCTCTAAGCACGAAACAGTCAGGCTCTGGGATACTGCCACTGGGAATTTTGGTGAGGCAATTGCAAACTCGAAATTTCCTCAAGATAGTCCATATCTCGGCACCAATTTTGGGACTTCTCGCTTGGGATAATCATACCTCTCATTTGTCCAAGACCAACGTTGAGGAGGCGTTTCTTTGAGAAAATCGGTAGGTTACCCTTCAGGGTAAAGATATACTCTGGCTACCTACTGAGTGTCGACTTACCTGTTCAACATTTAATATGGATGCGAAATTCGTTCTTGGACATGCATCTGGGAGGATCTCTTTCATAAGATTTTGTGCGTAGATGTGAAATAAAGTCCATTATCACTGTCGTTTTATCTACGTCTAGGTCGCTAGCACTAGTCACGTAGAACAGCTATTCCGACGAGCTGACGAGCCTGATCAATATGGTATGGAATTCCTGATATTGATGACTGCCCCCCAAGAGTAAGGGGGACGGGGGATAGCTAGCTACATATACACCCACCGGGGAAAGTATTCGCCGATTTTACGCGTCGCGTTTCCACGCGTTTACAACTCACCTTTTTCAAACTACTACAAATGGCACCACGAACACCTTTGAAGCCTATATCAGGCAATAAGACATTGAGAAAAGAGCTATCTCCATATATTCGAGGTCAAATTATCGCTTATTTCGATTCCGGGCTCAATATTACTAGTATTTCGAGACAACTAGAAATACCCCGCAAAACGGTTGAATATACAATCAACAAAAAAGGCGAACGGCCAGATGGAATCTCAAAAAGAAGATCTGGCAGGCCTAGAATCCTTGATAAACATGATATTCGACATATTATGCAACTTATTATGGAAGAGCCTGTCGGAACGTGAATATCAAACCTAGCGCGTTTCGGCACTGGATATCAGTTAGTCTAACGCGGCACGTGCGTGCCGCGTATATATGTAGTTAGCCACTCCCCGTCCCCCTTACTCTTGGGGGGCAGTCATCAATATCAGGAATTCCATACCATATTGATCAGGCTCGTCAGCTCGTCGGAATAGCTGTTCTACGTGACTAGTGCTAGCGACCTAGACGTAGATAAACCGACACTGATCAGTGGCCGCAGATCAGACATTTATCTACGAGCCCCTATTCCAACGTTAGTGCAAGCGTCCTAACAAAATACACTTTCTTCGACACCCTACAGTATACGTTCACTCGTATATCGACTCACCGATATATTCGACCCCATATATCGACTCTTTTGTGAACTCTTTGCTGAGTCTTGCGAACCTACGAACTCCCTGTACGAACCTACGCACGAAGGATTATTCCTGTACGAATTCTACGCTTAGATCCCCCGTATAAGCCTACGTCACGAACCTACGCTAGAGGCCTACGCGAGAAAACTCTCGGTATTAGCACTAGGTAGGAATCAACGTAGTGAGCCTACGGATTCGGACTTTCCGTCAGAATCGACCTGCAAGAACCTGACGTACGAAGCCTACGTACAACCTACGGTGTGTCGACCCACGCACCGAACAACGCACCAAATCTCTGGATCTGGTCTCGCAGATACAAATCATCAAAATGGCAGGACAAAGTGGCAACGATACCGACCAGGCGATGACAGAAAAGAAGACACTCGACGCTACCGTCAAGGCGAAGATAAAAGAATATACGAACACATACGATTCACGTCTGTTAAGAGCGTTCAAACAAGACTTCGATAAGTGGACTTTGAATAACTTCAATACCGTGTCCGTCACCGAACTCGGGAAACTAGTTGATTTGCTTCAAACCAACGGTGTATATGTTACCAACGATGAACAGGACGATGAAGCTGAAAAACTCTATACTCTACTCTCTACAGAAAAATATCGCCCATAGACTAAGGAGGAAGTCATTCGCCACCTCAGACGAGGCAATACAATTGAGTCGAAGGTGCTTAATGATCAATTCGAAACAATGATCAATACATATAATTAACCCTTAAACTACGGCACTAATGAGGCACAAAACCAAACTGGAGAGGGACCCCTCACAAGATCTCAAAGTCAACAACAAATCCAATATCTTTCACCCCCGGCAACAAGACACGATACACCACAAGATCAAAGTCAATGGGTGCAAATTGAGCCAGAGCCATTAAATGAAGTCCAACAAGCCCTAAATTTGGCTATCTTCGCACCGTCAACACAATCCATTTCTCAGGCACTTGTTCAACTCACGAAGATGTATTCAGACAACCAAAAGTACAGTGGAAATGAGGATTCCTACAGGTCAAAGCTTCGAATCTTCAACGACTACTGTGAACGTCTATCCCTACCAAAGAATGTATATAAACTCGCTTTCCCAACAATGCTTAAAGGCCAAGCCTTGGATTTTTACTATGACAACAAGGAAATATGGGAAGCAAGTGACCGTGACCCCGTTGAAGGAATTCGTGCCTATTTCGAAGGCCCGGAATATCATCGAACCGTACTAGATAAGTGGAGCGGAATTTCGCTTCAAAATACAGTCAATGAGGACCCAGAGAAGACATTAAAAGTGTGTCTCAACATGATGCTAACAGAACTTGCAAGTTTATACGACCACTTAGCTCCAAAACTACGCAACGAAGAATTTTACCTTGCAAGACTTTTACAGGCAACTCATATATATCTGGCATGCCAACTTGCAACTTCAAAGCAACAAGATACAGTTCCTGGACTAACCCGTGATTTACAATCAGGTGTCAGCCAGTACAAGGATATAATAAAAGCCACGAATGGGCACCGCACTGCAAACCCCAGCACCAATATATACTTTACAGATCGACGGTATTACAACCAACAGTCACGCTCACCCTCTCAAGGCCATTCACCACGACAGCACTCCAATCAAAGAGGCAGGAAAAAGTGCTTCGTATGTCAAAAACCTGACTGCTGGTCAACACGTCATACGCCCAAGGAAAGAGCGGATTCGAAACGCCGTTATTTGGACCACTTTAACAAGCGTATTGATCAATATATTGCCGACTACGAGGGCACAGAGGATGACGATGAGGAACTGCCAGAGGAACTCTTATCAGCTGCTGATGACCTTATTCTGACAGACGATTACAAATCCAGACCTACACACGATGCCTCGTCAACCCTGTTCACAGCCACATTCTTTACAACGCACAACAATAATGACACGAACCATGGTCCGTCAATAACCATGGAACTAGCAAACCGTTCCGCTTCGCACTGGATTGCCTTACTATTCCTGAAGCCTGATTTGGAAACTAATTCATATAAAACCAACGAAGCAACTCTCAAGGTTCTAAACCCCGAATCAAGCCACGTCTATCTAAATGAGAGCCGCTATTCGTCAGAAAGCTTTAAGGGTATTGTTATCGACACTGGCGCCGCGCAACTCTCTACAGCTGGATATGGGCAATACCTTGCTTACAAGAGAATCGTCAGAAATATCGATATTAATACTACAACGGCTGGCACGGCAACAGTTCAATTTGGACCTGGCGATCCCTATCAGTCAATAGGATCAATCGACGTGCCTACACCTATTAGTACTATACGGTTCCATATCCTGACAACCACGATACCGTTCCTAATGTTGCTGTACGAACTTGACAGACTAAAACTTTATTTTAACAATACCTGCAATCTCCTTGTCAATAAGAAAATGGGAAAAATAACACCAGTTATTCATCAGTTTGGCCATCCATTCCTTGTATGGGACTACTCCTACCATACCCACTTACTTACCTTATTTGACTACAACCCCTGCCTCCTTACTGATACCGAATTACGCCGTCTACACCATTGATTTGGCCACCCTTCAACTGATAGACTTTGCCGTGTACTTACATGTGCAGGCCATGAAACCAACAAGGAAGCAATTGAACACATTCGCAAATTCTGCCACCATTATCAAATGTACGACAAGTCACCTAGACGATTCCAGTTCACACTGCATAAAGATGTTGACTTCAATCACTCTATCATTATTAACATTATGTACCTTGATGGAGACCCAGTACTTCACATTGTTGATAAAGCAACACGCTTCAATGCCACTGCGTGGCTGCCAAATATCTTAACAAAAGTCGTATGGGACACACTCTGAAAGATCTAGATTGATACGTACCTGGGACCCCCAGACTTGGTTATTACAGACGCTGGAAAGACCTTTACAAGTAGGGAATTCTCACAATCTGCTTTAGCTGTAGGCACAATCATCAAAACAGTACCAGTCGAAGCACATTAGTCAATTGGAACTGTTAAATGATACCATACCATGATTTGCCACTCATATGAAATCATCAAAAAGGAATTACCAGATTTACCTAAAGACGCTGCCCTACAGATAGCTGTCAAGGCTGTCAACGATACAGCTGGCCCAGATGGTTTAGTCCCTATACTTCTTGTTTTTGGAGCTTACCTATGAATGGTAGAATATAACCCTTCTGCACCTATAATTACATAACATGCTGCTGCACTCAAAAAGGCAATGATAGAGGTCTGAAAACTACACGCCAAACAACAGGTTTGGGATGCTCTCAATACGTGTAATGGTCCTGCGTCTACAGCTGTACATCTTCTGCCAATAAATTCGGATGTACATGTATGGAGGGAAGGAAACACCAGCTATGCAGGAGAGTGGAAAGGCCCGTACAAATTACTAAGTGTTGAGGGCGAGATGTGCATAATTCAGTTTCCAGATAGACTAAAGCAATTCCGTACAACTGTTGTGAGGCTGTATTACAAGGCACTAGATGAGAACGACCAAGACACCAATTCAGAGCATACAAATGAAGAGCCTGAGGCACCTTTAGGCATAAACTCAACACTACCCACATCTCAAGACGACGAGCCAGACACATCTACACCCCAGCCAAGGCCTGCACAATGCCCCCAACGAAATCGGCAATTACCAGCCCGATATCGAGATGACCTCATACAATTGGTATTCGCTCAATTCGACCAATCACAAGAGAAAGAGATCAACAGCCTATTAGAAAATGGTGTATTCGAAGTGGTCAAAGTAGACAATATCCTAAAAGGCACCCGAATCTTCAATTCGCGGTTCGTTAATGAGATAAAGAATCGGGGCACCGACAAGGCCTTCGAAAAGTCGCGACTAGTCGTACAAGCCTACAACGACAAAGGGAAAGAGATCGTATTGACTTAATTGCCTATAATACAGCGCTGCAGTCAACGCCTGCTTCTATGCCTTACAATCTGCATTACTGATACTCATCTTTTTCTACGCGACGTCACGCAAGCCTATGTACAGTCAACTACGCCCCTCACTTATAACTTTTATATACGACCCCCTCCCGAACTCGTGCACCTGTTCCCTCCAGGCACAATATTAAAAGTTGTCAAGCCTTTGTACGGCATCTCTGAAGCAGGTAATCACTAGTTTTGAATCTATCACGTACATCACACGGACAAACTTAATATGACAACATCCACCTACGATCTATGCCTCTTGCACTGCATTGACCAGTCACAAGGATTTGGCATTGTTGGCATGCAGACCGATGACACCCTCATCCTCGCCAACAACACTTTTGCGAACCACGAGGAGAATGAGATTAAACGAGCTAATATTCTTTGCAAACCACGAGAGAAGCTTACACCTTCGAACCCGTTAAAATTCAACGGTGGCCTTATTACGGAGGATGTCCAGGGTATTACCCTCACCCAGGAACGCACTTGTAAGCTCATACGGCCTGTACAAGATCGATATGCGGATACAACGAGTTCCCGAGGCAAGGTCCGAAAGGACGTATCGCCGCAGGAACAATATGTGGCTCAACGCGCACTTGGAGCCTACATTGCTTCCGTATCGCAGCCTGAGGCTTCTTTTGATCTATCGTTTGCTGCCCAGATCACAAATCCAGGAAAAGACGACATCAAGTCACTTAATAAACGCCTCCAATGGCAACTTGATAATGCTGAACGCGGATTACGCTTTGTACGTCTAGATTTGGATTCGTTACGCCTCGTAATCTTTGCAGATTCATCCTTTGCAAACAATAAGGATTTCTCCTCCTAAATTAGCTTTGTTATTGTTCTCGCAGATGCCGCAAATAACGCAAATATTGTGCACTGGTCCTCAATCAAGTGCAAGCGCGTCACAAGAAGTGTACTTGCTTCTGAACTTTATGCCATGGTTCACGGCTTCGATTCGGCTGCGTCAATCAAATCAACAACAATGCAACTTCTACATCTTACCAAGCCCCTACCCCTTGTTATCTGCACTGACTCGAAGAGCCTGTATGAATGTCTCATCAAATTAGGCACTACCCAAGAAAAGTGTCTAATGATTGACCTCATGTGCCTCCAACAGTCATACAAGCGCCAAGAAATTGCAGAGATCAAGTGGATTAACGGTGAAAGCAATCCAGCTGATGCCATAACAAAGAGCAAACCATGTCGCGCTTTACAGGCACTTATCGACACAAATAAGCTTAATATTAATGTGGATGGATGGGTGGAAAGATCTACAACCCCTCCAACGAAAGCTACACCAATTTCTTTGCTTTGTCAATCCTGTACCGCTCGTCGTCCTATCCCTATTTCTTAGAGAGTTGCCAGTGTCGGAACGTGAATATCAAACCTAGCGCGTTTCGGCACTGGATATCAGTTAGTCTAACGCGGCACGTGCGTGCCGCGTATATATGTAGTTAGCCACTCCCCGTCCCCCTTACTCTTGGGGGGCAGTCATCAATATCAGGAATTCCATACCATATTGATCAGGCTCGTCAGCTCGTCGGAATAGCTGTTCTACGTGACTAGTGCTAGCGACCTAGACGTAGATAAACCGACAGAGCCCTTTATAAATTATCAAGATATAAAGCATAGATTACAACTAGGTTGCTCCCCCCGTACGATCTATTCTATTCTCCAAGAATCTGGATATAGCCATTGGAAAGCTCGTCAACGGCCATTATTGAAGCCCGAACATGCCCAGCTTCGCTATGAATTCGCTAAGAAATATGCAGATTGGAAGTATGAGGATTGGTGCAAGGTTATCTTTACGGATGAATGCTCAATTGAGCTAGGCTCTGGGAAGCAGGGTAGATGGGTTTTTCGGCTCAATCGAGCTGGCGAGAAATGGAAGCAAAGATATATTCAACCAGTCAAAAACGGCAAGGGGATTAGGATCATGGTTTGGGCTGCAATCTGGGGTTCAAAAAGATCAGATTTGCTTCAACTAGAGCCAGATTTTGAATCTAAAAAGCAGGGATACTCCTCGGTATCCTATATTCAAATTTTGGAGGAAATGGTGCCTACAATTTGGGAACCAGGCTTGATTTTTATGCAGGATAATGCGCCTATACATATATCCAAAAAATCAAGGGCTTGGTTTACAGATAACGCCGTGAAATTGCTTGAATGGCCGCCATATTCGCCAGATTTGAACCCCATCGAGAACCTCTGGTTTCCATTGAAGGCTGGGGTCTATGTAGTCAATCCAGATATTGAATTGGCTACCGGGGGTGTAGATAAGATACGTGAGATCCTCTTTGCAGCGGCAGAGCCCTCATGGAGTAATATTCGTAAGAATATTATTGATAACTGTATAAAATCTATGCAGAGGAGGTTAGAGGCGGTGAGGAAGGCTAGGGGGCGGTATACAGCTTATTAGATACCAATCTTTTCCTGTATATAGCGTACTAGTTAATGTTTAATATCCTCGAATTTCATTAGATTAGAACTTGTGTTGATTGAAATATTCAAAAAACAAGTTATATATGATTTTGTGTGTGCGGGGTTTTCGGCCAGTTTGGCCAAGACTTTTTGCGGTATACTGTAAACGCGGCACGCACGTGCCGCGTTGGACTAACTGATATCCAGTGCCAAAACGCGCTAGGTTTGATATTCACGTTCCAACACTGGCAACTCTCTAAGAAATAGGGACAGTATAATGAGCGGTACAGGATTGATGAGGTGAAGGGATTGGTGTATATTGCGTTAGAGGTGTTGTAGATCTTTCCACCCATCCATCCACATTGATATTTAGCTTATTTGTATTAATAAGTGCCTGTAAAGCGCGACATGGGTTGCTCTTTATCATAATGTCGGCTAGATTGCTTTCACCGTCAATCCACTTGATTTCTGCGATTTCCTGGTGCTCGTATGATTGACGGAGGCACATGAGGTCAATCATTAGACGTTTTTCTTGGGTAGTGCCTAATTTGACGAGGCATTCGTATAGGCTCTTCGAGTCAGTGCAGATAACAAGGGGAAGGGGCTTAGTGAGATGTAAAAGCTGCGTTGTTGTTGATTTGATTGACGCAGCCGAATCGAAGCCGTGAACCATAGCATAAAGTTCAGAAGTGAGTACGCTTCTTGTGACGCGCTTGCACTTGATTGAGGACCAATGTACAATATTTGCGTTATTTGCGCCATCTGCCAGAACAATGATAAAGCCAATTTGGGAGGAGAAATCCTTATTGTTTGCAAAGGACGAATCTGCAAAGATTATGAGGTGTAGCGAATCCAAATCTAGACGTACAAAGCGTAATCTGCGTTCAGCATTATCAAGTTGCCATTGGAGGCGCTTGTTAAGTGACTTGAAGTCGTCTTTTGCTAGATTTGTAATCTAGGCAGTAAATGATAGATTAAAGGAAGCCTCAGGCTGCGATACGGAAGCAATGTAGGCTCCAAGTGCGCGTTAAGCCACATATTGTTCCTGCGGTGATACGTCCTTTTGGACCTTGCCTTGGGAACTTGTTGTATCCGCATATCAATCTTGTACAGGCTGTATAAGCTTACAAGTGTGTTCCTAGGTAAGGGTAATACCCTGGGCATCCTCCGTAATGAGGCCACCGTTGAATTTTAACAGGTTTGAAGGTGTAAGCTTCTCTTGTGGTTTGCAAAGAATATTAGCTTGTTTAATCTCATTTTTCTCGCGGTTCGCAAAAGTGTTGTCAGTGAGGATGAGGGTGTCATTGGTCTGCATGCCAACAATGTCAAATTCTTATGACTGGTCAATGCAGTGCAAGAGGCATGGGTCGTAGGTGGATGTTATTATACTGACGAATCCCAATTTCGTTTCAAAATTAATAATTAATCTGTTGTTTTGTTAGAATGAAAGACAAGCTATGTGACTATTTGTCAGAAAAAAGAAAAAGCCGTATGCTTCGAAGTACTATAGATTCAGGCTGGCACAAAAACTGCATCATGATGGCGCCCTTCTCGACCGAGTTTCTGCCCTAGTTCGTCCCTCCGTAATATGTCGAGTCATACGCTATGCAGGGAATTGGAATATTGGCATGATCTTGATTTTACCTTGGTTCGTCTGACATTTAGGACATGTCGTTAAGTACCGTCAGCAATAAAGCACGATCATGCCCAATGGTAGACAGACACGTCATCGACGATGAGTAGGTGCGGGGTGCTCGAGAGAACAAGGCTGTGTGCCCAGCTGGACAGGTAGGCCCTTAGCTACTCTTTTGTTCCAAAGATTCAAAATGAAACCATTTCCAAAATCTCCTCTTATTGTAATTTCAGATCTCAAAATCTGCATTTTAGTGTTATTAACTTATATTTCTTTCCTATAAAATCCAGGTCTATACTTTCTAGTGTCTAACAATCATGGTGGATGCTAGCAGTCCCCGAAATGTACTCAATCTTCGGGATTTCTATGAAGGAGGATCATCTATGAGTCCATCCAGTGTACCCAATGGTTATAACGAATATGAACAGCAAGTAATCAGTAAAGGTCTGGAGATGCGGGTCAAGGAAGTCGAGCAGAAAAGCATATCAAAGAAGGAACCCACCCCAATGGATCCCTGTCGACCAACGAGCTCGATGGAGAAACAAGCAGGTGGAGAATCTGCTGTTGGAGAGGATAGTAACAGCAAAAACGACGCTGACATTGCGCCGAGAGATAAGGACAGAGAAAGATTGCGAGCAGCCACTTTTGGTGGAGCCGACGTCCACGAGCTCGAGTGGAAGAACGAACAGGCGAGTCGGGAGACCAAGGAGCTTATCAGCCAGATTGAGCGATGCGAGCTCGTAATAGACGATTTAAATGTCAGATAAATGTTCTCAAAGCAAAAGAAATTAGACTCATACAATGCGGCGAAGGAATCAGAGAAGATTTCACTGATCAGATCAAAAACTTGCGTGAGAAGCTCCGAGATAGCAAGCATCGAGAGCAGGAACTTCAAACGCAACTTCAAAACAGCCTCCAGGTCCAAAGGATCTTCGAATAGAGCTGGAGGAAGCTAAGTTGAAAGCTATTCGACAGCTTCGTCAAAGCGAAAAAAGGGAGCGTGAATCAGAACTACGACATTATACAAGAGAGCAGGGGTAAGTGTCACTTGAAACACTGCAGCAGCTGGTGGAAGCGACTGCTCAGAAAATTTCACAGCGGAGCTCCTCCGCCACAAACACACAGCAGGCCATCTACCAGCGGTATCCGGGTGATATCAATACCATCGCCCAGCAGAGTCAACGAATATCTTACTTGGAGCAAGCCAAACATCATGCCGAGCAAAAAGCTCAAAAGTCCGCTCTCGAGACTCACCAGGCCAATTTAGAGGCGAAATGTATCCGCAAAGAGCTCACGGAGTTGAGGGAGAGGAAACAACAGAAGGGTGAAAAGGTTTTCGCGTTGACCAGACTGCCTGGACAGAGAGGCATCACGTAAGAACTTTCTTATTTCTTTCAGTCAAATGCCTAGATCTAATCATTAAATAGAGGCATCTTAGCCTATACGCAGACATAAGGGATTAAGGACGTGTAAAAAGAAGTCCCTATAGAGGTCGGCGCACTACTTCCGTGTATCCCAGTATTATTATCCAGTCCCGTCTTATGAATCACTATACGTTCATATTCAAGTAGATAACTGTTAAATGAATCAAGAAGACCACAGCCAATAGATTGGACTATCTGTAGCTTTTTATTATTAAAGATAGATAGAATGATAATATATAACTTTCTGCATTTTGCATGAGCCACTTCATCTTAACAATACTTACTTTCTCGGCCGCGTAGCTTCATTGGCTGACCTCTGATCCATGGTAATAGACTCCAACTGCTCCTGGAAATCCTTGGTGATCATCAAAACACTCTTCAAATGCTTGACCGTCATGCGCTCATCACCACCATTGCCTTTAGCTTGGCTTCGAGCTAGTGACAGCGCCGAGCTCACCACGTTGCGGATCTGGCGCCCATTCAGCTTGTAATCGCTTCCATACTCTTTGATATATTCCATGATAGACTCGAAATCGCTGATGCTATCAGGCTTGAGTTGCTTGAGGAACAGTTGGAAGATATTCTGCTTTTGCTGGCGCGTCAGGTCGTCGTAGCGGATGGCAAGATGAATACGCGACTGCACGGCGATGTCGAGGGAGGTGATGCGGTTAGTCGTGAGTATCATAATGCCATCATAGTACTCTAGCACGCGGAGAAGGACTATGTAGCGTCAGCGAATGTCTTCGCTTACTTTTGGATCAATCCCTACCAGACACGAGGGCATTTCTGTTTGGGTCTGAACCGGTTGTCCGCGCCTCGAGGAAGACATCGGCTTCGTCTCTAGGATATTTGAGTACATATTTTAAATGCTTCTTTGATTGCACTTACACGAGAAGTACAGCCTCCCACTTTCCTGCCAAATAAAACATCTGATCAAGATTTCGCTCGGCCTTGGACGCATCGAGGCCAATCTCGGCTACACTGACCACAAATAGTGGCTTTCCTGTCGCTTTAGCGATTGTCTCGGCGGTGAGCTATTACTTTATCAGTTTAAAAACAACACGATAGAATGGGTCTGCCGACCGTTTTTCCTACTCCTGGAGGGCCTATGAACCAATTGTCAGTTACGTCTAACAATTCACGAAGTCCTGCTTACCATGTAAGAGGAGTACGAGGCCTTTCCCTTTGTTTTCAACGACGTCTTTGACCTTCACTGACGAGGTGTTGGGATCCTTGCTGTCTACTCGCTCTCCGTGCTCCTCTACAAGAGCTTGAATCATGTTCTTGTAGTTCTGGTCCAATTCAAGATCATCTTGGAACAGTGAAGCATTTTTCTGAGGCGCGCTTTGGGTCTGATAAATAGCGAATTGGCCCCAGATCTTCTCCTCGGTAGAATACCCTAGAACTCGTGGAGGATATAACAGCGACTGGTCTTCACTCGGATCTTTCTTGCTGGTCTCTTCCGGGTTAACGGTATCACTTGTGACGCTGTCTAAATCGCCAGTCCAGACCGGTTCGTTTTCTCCGAGTAGTTGAGATTCAAACCCTTTCCACTCGTTAGTACATTGTGCATCTATTTGTCAAGACATGCATACCAAATTGAAGGAAAGCCTCAGGGTCTACAATATATACTCCTTTCACCTGTAGATGCCTTAGCGCTCGTAGTAACTGCCTTTTGCGAAACACCTACAGGCACGATCTTGCGACGACGAGTCTGCGCTCTGACGCTGCTCACGTCTTCGTCGTCTGATGAGTCGTCATTATCCTTGTTTGACATCTGATAAGCAAGTTTCAAATCAAATTCATGTGCAAACTCTTACTCGGATCGTGTCTCTCTTCGGCTTAATCACGTTGCGTCTTTCGGCCAAAGCAACACCATTGTAAAGGTACATCTGTGTTGCGCCAGGCTTGCTTCGAACAATCTTGTTGTACAGTGAACCTCGCTCTCGAAGCATTCTACAAAGATCATCTGGACTCTCATCTTTGTGGTACTGTAAAGGGTAGCAGAAGAGCTGGTTGATGTCTTTTGTTCCCCAAAAGCGGTCGATGCTGAGGAAAAAATACACTTTGACCATTTCCTTGCCATTCCAATCCCAACACCAGGCGAGGAGTTTCATGCTTGGGGGCATGGGATACCTGTGCGGAATGGGGGCCGATCTTACTTCAAGAAGTTGTACCTGGGTCAAAAAAAGCTTTGCTACTATCTTTGTCTTAGGAGGAAAGATCGTCCACATTGTTTCGTACGTTGTTATGTGAGCCTTGAGGTTGGATTCCCGCGTTTTGAAGTATTTCTCCAGTTCTGGTGCGGTTGTCACGCACTCGAGAAGCTTTTCAAGGTCTTGACGTGCCTGGATTGTTCTTTCGTCATCATCCGTTCGCAATTTAGTCGCTTCTTGAAGGACTTCCCAATTGTGAATCTATGGTCATGATTAGCTCCAGGGGTCAAATGTTTTTCGTTCGTTACTCTTGAAATGGGAGAGAACTCATGAAAGAATGGGCATATAAGGACGGTGTCTGCATACCAAAGGTGCGAATGGTGTTACCAGATTTACAGTATCGCCATCCAAGTTTTGGCCTGGGTAATCGGCACCGACGCAATCTCTTAGCAAGGCCCGTAGTCCTGGGGCTTCGACGTCAATCTCGCTATACGTTTCATTCTTTCTAAAGTCATTGGGCAAAGTTTTTCGAAAGACAAATGCTACTTCTCCGTCGTCATCCCTTTTTGGGTCCAGTCCACCGACATCTATGTCCTCATGGACCCCAGTGTCCTTGTTGAATTGTCTCACAACATTGCGGTAGCGGGACTTTGACGCCTTTGCAGCATCTCCATCGCCTTGTTTTGCCTCATCCTAATACCCAACATTTATTATCTTTCCTTAAACCCGGAATTGAGAAGTAAGCCATCCCGGAAACACTCACTGGGATTTTGGAAGAGTCCGTTTGTTTCAGGCGTCCATTGGATGTCTCTTCCTCAACTTCTCGAGGTTTTCGTGGATCAGTTGTTGGCGGAACCTTTTTATTGTTGCTCTCTTCAGATATCTGCGAAGAAGGCCTAGCGGAAGTCTCGATAGCAGATTCCAGCTGTGCGACACGTTTTTCAAGAAGTTCATTATACCGCAACTGGAGAACTGCTTGATGATTTGCTGGCTATGGTAGATTGTTGATTAGCCTTTATAACTAGAGTAATAAAGTGAAGGAAAAGCAAATACTGATGTAAACGGCATGTCGGAAACGGAAGAAGAGGTCGCCATGGCTAGTCCAGTAAAATATGCGAAACGATATATTTTATCTCTTGAATTGTCTCCACCACTTCTGAAAGGTCCAAGGAGATAATTTGAAAATTTTCTTGGATTGCTGAATCTCTGTGACCGAGATTTACAGTTATCAATTGGTGGTTAATCTCTGCATCAAAAGAATTATAGTTTTATAGACAACTCTACAATCTTACTGTCTGCATACATTACCCCTCTCGATGACATGACTCAGCTCATAATTCCTTATCGGTCAGCTTAGAAGCTGAAAGCCTTGCAGAGCCGCAAGCTGAGACCGGGGGAGATGGGAAGTCCACTAGATTAGCCGAAGTCTCCCTGTTGATGCTAGTCTGAAGATGGACTGTCAGCCGGCACACGTAATTGCCATTTAGCAGTAAGAATTTTAGCGATGCACTGATAACCGAAGTGGGATATGTCACTGTGTTATGCAAATATATGTTCACCATATATTGGTCAAAAATGTGCTCACTACGCCACCGTGCTGCAACGCACCGACCACTCTAGAGAGTGTTTCTGTCAAACGCTGTCCAAACCCTTGAAGAGGTCAACTTTTGAAGTTGGTGGCGCAAAAGTGAGGTGGTAAATATGCATTGAGAAACAGTGGCCCGACATAGTTAAGAGCCTCAACTAGACTGTGGTTATCAACCCTACTCCTCGGCTAAAGGCGGAGTCATCTTTAGTTGCAGTATTCTGAAGGCAGCATTGAACATCCTTGCTGAGATTGCAGAAGGATTGCATGAGCTGATGGGAACGATCCAACCTGGAGACAGTAGCAGGTCACGTTTCGCATGAACTCATTGGCTACACATAATTGCATACATCAGGACGAGATAACCAAGTGGCCGTAAGTTTGCATTACGCAGTATCTCTTGCAAAATTCCCCGCTAGTTGACGACTTACTGAATGAGGGACATCAGGCCCCTTTGCCCCAGGAGGTTTCGTGCAGTTCAGATACGCGGTCGACCTCGACCCTACAGACAACGCGCAAACAATGCCAGCGAGCATGTCTTCAAGTCGTAGTTAAGTGTACCGGATAATTGTGACAAATAATATAACATTCTGACCAGCATCATGTCTATCAACAATGATATAGCCTCCGCCACCGAAGGAACTGATCAGCAAGCTGGCGATTTTGTCTCTCAGGTTGGCAGCCTTGCTCTAGAGTGGTTTGGCAAAGAAGACGATAGGTACGCTCCTAATCTCTCTATTCAATACAACCTTTCTCAGACAGAATCATGGATCTCTTTGAGAGCAACCGATAGTCTGTCATTCTTCAGTACATAGACTTGATTGCTAAGTACCAATGGCGAATCATTTGGCATTACATTCTCTCCTTGATAAAATTTTTGAACCGACCTCCGTCTTCTTGATGCTGACAGCAGCCACAAAAGTGAAGCATTGGAAGTGGCAGACAAAGTGATCAGGGGACGACATGACTTCAAACGCAAGCTGCGAGGGCTTCTCCGAGAAAAGCACGTCGGAGACAAACTACCTACGACCAAAGAAATGTTAGAAGATCAAATAGCTATTTACGACCCCAACTACTATATCGCTAGGAACAAAGCATTCGGCGCACTTAGCGAAGCAACTGGAGTCCAAAAAAGCTACCAAGTAAAGCGACGGACAGGCTGGAGGAAAGTTGGGCATCAGGCACAGACCTTTGTTAAGAAATTTGCCGACTTCATGGGTGTGTACTCAGGTATCATTTCATTGTTGAAGGGGGCTGGAGGGATATATGGCGAAGTTGCGTACGAGACACTGTCTATCCTCTTCATTGTACGGCCTCGTACTATTCCCTTAGACTACCTACCACTCACTACTATTAGGTTGTTGTCAACAAGAGCGCCAATGATAGCAAAATCGGGGATCTTCTTTTTGAACTACGAAGGTCTTTTCCGAAGCTCGACGACTGGACAAGTATCTATCCCACATCTAACATGAAGATGCTGGTGACGGAGGTGTATAAGCAGGTCATTGAATTTGCTCGGGATGCTTCACTCTACTACACACAGTTCATAAGTAAGAGCCATAAAGATAGACTAGTCTTTGTAAGAGGTCAAAGACGCTTCATTAGACCCTGTTTTACGTCCTTCTGAAAGATCCAAGTGCTAATATATGAATACATAGCTCGTCTCTGGATGGCCATCGGCAACCCACCCGTCAGAGGCATCGATAAAATTGCGACACGGATTCACCAAAAGCTTGCCGAAGTCTCCTCTGAGGCCACCATGCTGCTTCACAGGCGCAACCAAAGTATCCAAGGCACCGTAGAGAATAACAACGCCCGGCTCAAGACCGTTGAACGTCAGAATGATGTGCTCCTCGACGCCTACGAGCGGATAAAGGAGAACTATGAGCGATTTCGGCGCGAGGTAGAAGGTTAGTCGTTATCTTCAAAGCTATAACATTCCTTTCTTCGAACCTAATATGATCGTGTATTCAGCGGAGCGAGAAGACCAAGACACTCAACGACTCCAACACTTCAAAGAAAAGCTAGAGGTAGGTTCCCACTCCCTGTTTACCGTCCAAAAAGCATCTCACAATCCTTCAGCTACCGTTCAACGCCCCAGCGTCTACCTCCCTCCAAGCCTATGCCTCGATTCTCCAACGTGCATTCCCTTTCGCTTCGTCTGTGAATCCGTCCCCATCTTCCTCTTTCCGTCAAAAAAGTCCAAGCTACCAGTACATGACCTCTTCCCACCTATCGTCTCTCCCCTGTTTTGCCGCCTGGACTGCATCCCAAACATCTTGTCTTCTCCTCCTTGGTGGCAAAACACGACCAGAAGCGCGGTCTAACATTGGATACACTCACTCCTGGCTGTCACCGGCCACGATCGATGTCGCAACGAGAATGAAGGACCGAGGTGCGAGGGTAGCGTTCTACGGATGCCATGCAGGGGTGCGGGCTGATGCCGACGGTGCGCACGGCGCGAGGCAGATGGTGAGTGCGTTGCTGGGGCAGGTAGTGGAGTGGCATCCGCAAGTTTTAAGGACAAGGATGGTACAGTGGGAGAGATTGGTAGACGGGAAGGAGTGGAAAGGAAAAAAGGAGCTGGAAGATATGGAAAGAGAAAGGGAGAGGGAAAGAGAATCCGAAAGCGAGCAGCTGAGGACTTGGTTTAACCTTCTGAAGGAGGCTTTGAGTGCTCTGCGAGAGGATTACGGACATACATATGGGAATATGGAAGAAGAAAAGAAAAAAGTAAAGGAGATTGGAAATGTCCCGCAAGCCAAAAGCGATATGGATAAAGTTGTGTATTTAGTACTAGACCGTATAGATCTAGTACAGTGTTCGATGAACTACTTTATTAAAGAGTTGGTGGGGTTGGTCAGGGACGAAGGCTGCTTGATCAAAGTGTTTGTTGTTATGGATACTGGGCGGTGGGTTTGGGATACAGATAGTTTCAAAGGAGAGGAGAGGGTTATTGCAATGCCAGATTTGGACCAGAAAAGAGTTGGGCTTGGGAAGATGCCAAAAGTACCGCAGTCAAGCTCGATATAAGCTGGAATACTCTGCTTCAACATTTAACTTATCGTTGCACTCACTGTTATGTAAACATCAGTGGCTCTTCAAGAATTTCAATTACCCGAAGTGCGGAACTAAGCTCTATTAGGAGTTTTTATCTTCAGTCCCTTCGTACATTCTATTAGGGACAGGGTTGGAACGTTATTACCACGCACCCTGTGCATTTCTTCTAAAGTTGCACTATCGCCACATCAAGCGGTTCCGTGTCGAGTTCGTCGCAGTTTCGCTTCGATAAACATCAATTCAGTTCATGACAGCACTTCCAGAGTCGTTGAGCGGTAGTAGTTACTATGATAGTTTTCAATTCCCATCTACTATGTATAAAGGCTCACGCTAGTTTGACCTATTTGCCAGTTTTTTCCCACCTTTAAAATCTGGATACTTCTCCCAGTTTCTGAATCATGAACCATCATGATTTGTTTTGTGTCATTTCATTTGATATTCAATTTTGTTACCAGCTTAGGCCTTCTGTATGGAAGTGCATATTTAGCTGGATTCTCCTTGAACGCCATGGCTCGTGGTTAGTATTACGATTCAGACAACTCAGGACAAAGAAAGGAGCCCAACCAAATCAAATTCCTCCAATACTGATCTGACAGAGCCAGAAGGTGGACTTGATTCAGAGATATATCAAACAGACTCTGGTGCCGAATACTCGGATGTTAATCTATCAGAAAACCAAGATGAGCTCTCTTTAAACGTTGACTTAATAGAATATGATGATGAAAACTTTTTTGATGTTGAAGAGTTTGAGACTCTCTGGCGCCAAGGTCTTAGCATTGGAAAGCTCTCCATTTCTATCAATCAGTGCTATGAATATCCAGGCGATAGTCCTACCCAAAGCCTTTCCAATATTAATCTAGATTTTAACACATCTGGCAACACAAAGAAACCACAATCACAAATGATTAATTGTTGGTATCGGTTTGTATTGTGTCTATTCCTATAACACTGTTCTACAACTGATTTACAGACACTAAATAGGTTCTGCAAAGTGAAAGTCAGAGAAAAGTGTTGCCACTTGAAGTAGAGTAAACTGGAGGCCACACTCCAAAGAGCATCTGCGGATTGGCTATATCGATTTCTACACTGGTACTCTAGACTGCGGCATAGAAAAGGCAACTAGGTTTATAAAGGCTATAGCAGTGCCAACTCTTTGAAGACAGACTGGAAGTATTTGTGAGAGTACTATCAACAGGTAGAAAAGCAGTAGATGAAGAAGAGCATGGCAGCGCGCCTACACACAGTATGCTGTATAGCTATCCTAGCTTGATATTACTAGTGGCTTATGTACTGTTGGGCATCGCACAATTAATCGTTGAATTCAACTTAAGCACACAGCCTTGTAAGAATGATCCAGTCTATATTAAGGACATGATTCCTTTCAAAAAACAATTCTCTAAACACAGAAGAAATAATTCTACCTAAGCATCCAGCAGGTCATGTTATGTTTAGCCTTGATGCTTGGACTTTTCACTTCTAGCCGCAAAACTGCTATTCTTAAACTGCAGTACAAGCATATTCGTCTCAACCTACAACACAACCCTCATGGAGACCCACCTGTACTATCGATTGATGTCGAGCCAGAATATATTAAGCAGCTTTCTGGGACCAAAGCACTGTAGGCTATACCTCAATCTATCTAATTACCAGGATTTTTCTAATCTAGAGTGCAGAAATACTTGTGATTTCCAGGAAGGCCGGCCCCTTCGAGGCTGACCAAAGCGAAAGCGAAATGCGAGTAATGATGATAAGTATAAGAAAGCGGTAAAAAGGTTCCAACAAATGGGATAATGACAAGTTGTCTATTGCAAAGAAAAAAACATGAGCAGGGTCAGAAGCACTTCATGACCGCTAAGAAACCCTTAGTTTGCTTTCAACGCGGCAAGAAACTCTCTCAGTATCTTTTTTCTTTGAGAATATTAAGAACCTTTGGTGGGTTGAAAGGGTGAATGCCCGGTGAAGCAAAAGCTGATCAAATATTTTGCATGGTTTTAAGGTTGGGTTTCCATGCTGCATAGAATAATCGCCAAAAGGATGCTTTTGTTATCCTTGAAAATCTACTACTCAATTAAGTAAGTCAACCAGAATAACTACCTGCAAGAGGTGGAAAGATTCCGATATCAAGCGGCTGTAATCAATGCGTAGAGCGTGGGGGTAAAATACCGAGAATAATATTGTTTTGATCAGTATTTGATAAAACGAAGATTAACATGGCTTGAATGACCATCTGTAAGCAAAAGGCGTTTTGAATTGCCTGCTTTTGCCTCTGTATGAGGGTTAAACATCTTGGTTAGCCATGAAAATCCATGCTCTTCATTTATCCAACCTTTTTCAGAAGTTGCAAAGTATGCCTTCTATCATGAGTCATCAAAATCTTTAAGCTAGGTATCTTGTAGATCTCCTGACTCGTCTTGATAAATAAAAGCCAGAGGAATTAATATTCCATTAGCGCAAATATATGCAATAAGTGTTGTGTGTGTGTGTGTGTGTGTGTGTCATTATTTTACGGCCGTAGGCCGTGATGAATCACTGCCTACCCATTCCCTAGTGGGATAAAGGCCGCCAGGGGGTAAGCCCTGGGTGTCAAGAATTATATATAGGGTGTGACTCTTTGGCGCGCTTACATGGCTGCCGCAGTTAGATAGATAACCTCTGCATGTAGAGGGTGAATATTTCTGCCAACTGCAGTGGTCCACCTACTCTCTGTGACCAAATCTAACATATTTAACACCAATGCAGCTTTAAAGAGAGAAAAGGAAAGACAAGGAAAAACAAAAGAAATATGTAGCTATAAGTCTCTTAGCTTATATGCTAAGAGGGGGCCTTTGAGGGCAGATATCCTCGAAGAATTGGGTCTCCATGAGCTATTTAGCTAGTTTGGTGGCGCCCTTTGGGGTGCCCAGGAGGAAAGGAATGACTTCCAAAGGATGTCCAAGGAATCTAGGAGCCTTCCTCTTTGCAATCTAGCAGAAGATAAAGTGGATTGAGGACTTTCTTACATTGCATTGACACATGAGATGGGCATCTGTGTGGTTGAACCATTCATAGTAGTCTACGAAGTCTCCATGTTTTGTGCGTGCTGCAAGGATTTATCCTAAGATATAGCGGGGAAGCTGGAGTTCTGGTGGGCGTCTTGAAAAGGTAGTGATTTCAAGATCTTGATAGGCCTGCAGAGCTGCTGCCTGCCAATATATCTGTGCTCTTGAGGCAGCTTGTGATTTGGTATGTCGCTTAAATGCTGCATATGACTATGAGTGGAAGGTAGGGACAGTTTTTCCCGCGCCCTCTTTGACAGCGCAGTCTGCTGCTTCATTTCCAGGGATATTAGCATGTTCTAGGACCTAGCGGATTCGGACTGCCCCGCTCTCAATTTGGGAAAGTCTCCTTCTTGATGGCTAGGTAGCAGCAAGTGTGTTGAATGACTCGAAGATAGCTTAAGAGGAGCCTATAGATAAGGAGAGGAGTTGGATAGTGACCTCAAGATTGTCAAGGCATATCCACAGGTTTAGTGAGCATTAGATAGTAGAGTATGTCATTGCAGCTTTTAACCTAGCAAGAGCTGCTTCTGCTTCTACGTCAAAGACTTCTTTATTATGCCCGAGGGGTATTGAGCCGCGCAGGAATTAGGAGCCAGCTTGGAAACCAATATAACTACCATCTATTTAGCTATTTTCTAGTTTAGATCCATTTAAGTAGATTATAATATTGTTATTGGGGATGGATTGCAGGAGTATTTGGAAGTTATCTGCCACTTCTTCTCTTATGCGTCCTAACAGAGTATTAACCCATCTTAAGGCTGCTTCTCTGGGTTCTTTTGTACTCCAGGGTGGATAAAGCAGTGGGTTAATCTTTTCCATGTTGGGGAGTGCGAGCACTTGGCGCGCAAAGCGGCTAGTTAGGTGGCCTGTTCGGGCTATGGCTCTAGCTCGTCTTTGAAGAGGGTAATATGGGTCTAGGCGGCTTAGACGTGTGGATGCAGTGAGAGCGATTTGATCAAGCTCAATCTCAGGAGGGTAAAACCCTAACTCTCAGTGTAGGACAGGTAACTGGGTAGTATGGAAAACAGGCAGAATTGCCCTTGCCCCTGTTAGAATGACAGTAGATAGGTCCATTAGATGTTTATTCACTAGGTTTGAGATTGGGGGAGTGTCTGCCTGAGGGCGGGAACAAGGTCAGGTGCGGCCTGGCCACCACATCTCTGCGCTGAAGTAGGCTTTATAGAGGACACAGGCTGATATGGCCTGTTGGAGGAGGTGTGGCCTTATTCTGTGGACTGTGTTTTTAAGTGAGCGGAGGGCGCTAGCTATAGTGAGCGCTTTGGATGTCATTTCTTGAACATGCTAGTGGAAGGAGAGCTTTTTATTAAAGAGGATTCCTAGCCAGCGTAGATATGGATAGTCAGTTGCTTCAGTAACTGTGACTGAGCCTGTTGAGACTGAGGGGGTTATTGCAGGATCTTAATCTGCTCGATGCCAAGAGAAATGCATAAGTTTATATTTATTTGGTGCAAAAGTGATTCCTTCCGCAGTGCCCCATTCAATTGCGTCCTGTAGAGATTTACTCAGTGTCTAGCAATTAGTTAAGAGGGACAGAGAGATTGCTAGGATTGCTCTATCATCTATGTATCCAAATCTAGTTCTAGGGTTACCCATGTGGAAGAGCGGTGCAATATAAAGTATAAAGAGAATAGGGGAGATAGGGGAGCCTTGGGGAAGGCTATATAATATATCTGTATAAGGGCCAAGTTCATTATTAAATCAGATCTATATGGTTCTTTCTGTGATAAAAGAGCTAATCCAGAGTATTAGATTGTTTGGCTATCCTTGTGTCCGGAGCCGGTAGGTGAGTCTCTCTAGAAGAACATTATTAAATGCTCCTTCCACATTAAAGATTAGTAGAGAAGCTGTTTTCCCTTGGTTCAGGGCTTATTCTATGTCGTGTGTTAAACATATAGTAAGATTAATTGCTGATCTTAGAGAAAGAGCTCCAAATTGTTGGCTTGCCAGGACCTTATAGTGGATTGCTATCCAGGCCATGTTCCATGCCACTAGACGTTCAAGACCCTTTCCTAGGACAGAGAGGAGAGCGATAGACTGGTAAGACCTAGGGTTGATCCAGTCTTCTTTACTAGGCTTTTACAGAATAGTAAGAATTGCATGTCTGAAACATTTTAGATGATATCCTAATTGTAGGCAGCCTTGGAATAGGAATAAGATCTTGTCTTTGATTAGTAGCCAAGCCATCTTTAGGATGTTAGTTTGGAGTTTGTCTTCTCCTGGAGCGGTGTTTCTGGCCTTTAAGATAGACTTTTCCACTTGTGCTATAGTAATCTTAGGGAATGGAAGGGTAGTGGTAGAGATAGCTGGGCAGTCTAGCGGGATATCTCCTGCCTCTGTTATGTTTTGCAGGAGGTTGCGAACTAGTAGATCTTGCTTCTCCTGAACAGAGACTGTAGGTAGATTATCCGGCCGTAATAGATCCTTGAGAGGAGGGCTGCGATATGACCCCCTCAATTTGTGCCATTTGCTAATATCAAAGACCTCTTTCATTTGTGAGGCAGTTATTAGCTTATTGCGCCAGAACTCTCTTTGTGTTTTCCTAATTGTGCTGCAAAATTCCTCTTTGGGTAGCAATCCTAATTAGTAGGCTTATAAGGCTTCTTTACATTCTAGATTCTACCATGGTTGTCCTTTTTTATAGGGGAGGGACCTCTTGGCAGAGCCTTCATACACACTGTGTATTGCCGAGGTTAGCCCTTGGGCTAGTGACTCTAGGTTGGCCTTTGAGGAGTCCAGCAGTTGGATCTGTGAGAGATTGGTGGAGAGGAGAGATAGAAAGAGGGATTGGTCGAGTATATTGAATCTTATTTTTTGGGTAGGTAGTGTGTGTCTTTGGTCCCACAGGATAGTAGTTAGCAGTAGTATATGATTGAAGGTTGAGTCTAGGTGAGGGGCAGTGCTGGTGTATAGTCTGCTCAGCACTAGTAGTAAGCTAGTAGTATAGATGAGGTCTAGAACATTGCCTCTTATATGGGTTGGACAGTCTATTTCTGATGTAAGGATAAAGCCTAGATAATCTAACCATTCAATAAAGGGGTCCACTGATACAGCAGGATGGTAAGTTAGGGAGGGTTACCATCTAATATGTAGAAGATTGAAGTCTCCAGCGAGGAGAGTGGGTTATAGAAATAATATCTCTGGAAGGGATATAAGGGTCTCTATGGCTTTACCAGCTCTGGTGGAGCCAGCTGGGGCGTTATAGGCATTGATAGTGAGGACTGATTGTCCAGTTAAGGAGGAAATTTGCAGAAAGAGTAGGTTGGATAGGGTTGCTGGATCTGTAATGATAGGCCGAAGCTGGGATGCTTATAGGCCTGTATTTTTCTGGACATAGGTAAGGACACGGGGCCGTCCAGTTACTGTCTAGCTATCTGTTGGAGAGAAACATTTATATGAAGGATGTCTCTTAGTAATTTTTTGGCTTAGGTTTGAAAATATGTATGGTTCCTGTATGAGTAGGACGTCAATATGTGAAAGGGTCAATCTTACTGTATTGCTGAGCTGAGCTACATACAATGAGGTACACGTACACGAGAATATTTGACATGGAGAGAAAAAGAAAGGAAGGAAACAAGCTCTCGATCCAGCCACAGAGATCTATATAATCTCTGTGCGTGGCACCTTGCTAAATACAGTACCGCTCTGGCGGTTCCCTATCTGGCAACCCGTAGGGCTGCAGCCCTACGACGGGAATGGCTTCACCTTTGACCTGGTACGGAGCCGGGACGGAGGTGGCTCTGTCACAAATATTGTTAGTATATGTAAGTAAGAGGGCAATAGTATAGGAATCAGCACCCCGTCCAATATTTAGTTGGAGTATTGTGAGGGGTTCTTTTAGAGTGGACCACTAATAGATCATAGGTATTCTTTAAGAAGTGAGTTGAACCAGTTTTGTGGTTTAAGGGTTGCAAAGTGCACCACACTAGCTGTGACAGAAGGTTCCTGAGAGGGCGCCAGAGGTGGGGGGGTGGTTGGTCGGAAAGGTGAGGTGATCTGGATTTGTGTAGGTAGAGTATCTATGACCATGTGCTGCTCTTATGTAGTAGCAGATAACTCTGAGAAGCAGCCTTGTTCTGTACGGGCCTTTGCTAGGTTGATGGCGCATGTTTTGTGGATTTCTGCTCGTTGGGCTTTGGTGCAAGTGGTGCCAGCTTTAGGGCGGAGTGGGCAGTCAGTGAAGTCCACTGGATAGGGTCCATAGCAGTGAAAGCATCTTGGAGGACAGCAGTGAGAGTTTAGAGTAGAACAGCTATTATTATGTTCTTCTTTTATATATTCTGATAAGCCGCAGAGTCAACATCTTAGGGATTATGCATAGGACCGTGCATTATGCTATTTCCAGCAGCAGTTACATTGGATGATTGTTACCTTCCTAGTAAGGAAGCGAGCATTGGTAATAGTACTGAAAAGGCGGAGCCAGGTTGAGAGAGAGGCTTTTGAGTCTTCTGAGAAATTAATAAACCAGCTTGAAGATGGTGAGTTGACATTGGCAGCACTAGCAGTAGTCTCACTGACAGATATGGGTCTATAGCCTGTTTGCTTGGCAATTTTAGTAGATAGTGTCGCAGGGTCGACTGGGATCATGGAGTATTGGCTGTTAATAATTTAGCCAATCTTTCTTGGCAGGTTTATAACTCTATATGAGATCTATCGTGCGCTGCGTTCAACTTGGCAGTTACTAAAGTATATCGATATGACTTCCTTTTGAGTCTCAAGGGTTGAAAGGGCCTCTATAGTTGCAGGACAGAGAGTGAACCCGGTCTTTGTAGTTTGTACTTCTTTTAAGGCGTTGCTATTAATACCTAGTTGGGCCCAGAGGCTAGTATAGATCACGTAAGAGTCCATCATTTTTGTGGTATGGTCTATTAGGAGACATACGAAGAGGCGGTAGTCAGGGAGAGATTGTTTTACGTTAAGTGTAGGCTTTTTTATAGGTGGCTTTGTTTATTTTATAGCAGTACCTGATCTGGCTGGGTTGGACTTGGTGATTGTTGCGTAGGAGGACTGCGCGAGGCCGGAGGGGAGACGAGAGGGAGGGGGCATAGAGAGAAGGGGACTGGGGATAGGGAAAAGGGCTGGGGCAGGGGAATGGGTAGAGGGAGTAGGAGTGATGCCACTTATATAGGCATTAAAATAGTGTTGAGCTACAATGGCTAGATCATCACTTAGAGTGGCAAGAGCTCCTTATAGATGAGGGCTGAGGCCAGCTGTCTGGTTGCAGTATTTATCAAGAAAAGTAGCTATTGGGCTGAAGATTTTCTGACCCTCAGCTGCTCTGGTGGTAGCAGCAGTGGTTGTCTCTTGCAGAATAGTTTATAGAGACCTCTTGTCAGATTCAGAGTAATTCCATGCCATGGTGTTTCGGGACGCGTTTTAGCGCGTCTGGGCCGCGTCGCCTGGGACTGGAAGCGGGAGAAAGAGAGAAAATATAGGCAGGAATAGAGCGTCTGTCCAAACCAATGTGTGTGTGTGTTGGAGTGTGTCACTCAAAGATGTGTGTGTGTGTGAGGGTGTGTGTTGTGTGTGTGTGTGTGTGTGTGTGTGTCATTATTTTACGGCCGTAGGCCGTGATGAATCACTGCCTACCCATTCCCTAGTGGGACAAAGGCCGCCAGGGGGTAAGCCCTGGGTGTCAAGAATTATATACAAGGTGTGACTCTTTGGCGCGTTTACATGGCTACCGCGGTTAGATAGATAACCTCTGCATGTAGAGGGTGAATGTTTCTGCCAACTGTAGTGGTCCACTTACTCCCTATGACTGAATCTAACATGTTTAACACCGATGCAGCTTTAAAGAGAGAAAAGGAAAGACAAGGAAAAACAAAAGAAATATGTAGCTATAAGTCTCTTAGCTTATGTGCTAAGAGGGAGCCTTCAAGGGCAGATATCCTCGAAGAATTGGGTCTCCATGAGCTATTTAGCTAGTTTGGTGGCGCCCTTTGGGGTGCCCAGGAGGAAAGGAATGACTTCCAAAGGATATTCAGGGAATCTAGGAGCCTTCCTCTTTGCAATCTAGTAGAAGATAAAGTGGATTAGGGACTTTCTTGCGCCGCATCAGCACGTGAGATGGACATCTGTGTGGTTAAACTATTCATGGTAGTCTGCGAAGTCTCTATATTTTGTGCGTGCTACAAGGATTTATCCTAAGATATAGCGGGGAAGCTGGAGTTCTGGTAGGCGTCTTAAAAAGGTGGTGATTTCAAGATCTTGATAGGCCTACGGAGCCACTGCCTGCCAATATGTCTGTGCTCTTAAGGCAGCTTGTGATTTGGTATGTTGCTTAAATGCTGTATATGACTATAGGTGGGAGGTAGGGACAGTTTTTCCTGCGCTCTCTTTGGCAGCATAGTCTGCTACTTCATTATCAGGGATGTTAGCATGTCCTAGGACCCAGCGGATTCAGACTGCCCTGCTCTCAATTTGGGGGAGTCTCCTTCTTAATGGCCAGGTAGCGGTAAGTGTGTTGAATAACTCGAAGACGGCTTGAGAGGAGCCTATAGATGAGGAAAGGAGTTGGATAGCGACCTCAAGGTTGTTAAAGCATATCCATAGGTTTAGTGAGCATTAGACAGTAGAGTGTGTCATTGCAGCTTTTAACCTAGCAAGAGCCGCTTCTGCTTCTGCGTCAAAGACTTCTTTATTATGCCCGAGGGGTATTGAGCCGCGCAGGAATTAGGAGCCAGCTTAGAAACTAACATAACCACCACCTGTTTGGCCATTTTCTAGTTTGGATCCATCTAAGTAGATTATAATATTGTTATTAGAGATGGATTGCAGGAGTATTTAGAAGTTATCTGCTGCTTCTTCTCTTGTATGTCCTAATGGGGCACCGACCCATCTTAAGGCTGCTTCTCTAGGTTCTTTTGTACTCTAGGGTGGATGAAGCAGTGGGTTAATCTTTTCCATGTTGGGGAGTGCGAGCACTCGGCGCGTGAAGCGGCTAGTTGGGTGGCCTATTTAGGCTATGGCTCTGGCTCATCTTCAAAGAGGGTGATATGGGTCTAGGTGGCTTAGGCGTATAGATGCAGTGAGGGCGATTTGATTAAGCTCAATCTTAGGAGGGTAAAACCCTGACTCTCAGTGTAGGACAGGTAACTAGGTAGTGCGGAAAATAGGCAGAATTACCCTTGCCCCTATTAGAATAACAGTAGATAGGTCTATTAGATGTTTATTCACTAGGTTTGAGATTGGGGGAGTGTCTGCCTGAGGGCGGGAACGAGGTCAGGTGCGGCCTAGCCACCACGTCTCTGCGCCAAAGTAGGCTTTACGGAGGACACAGGCCAATATGGCCTGTTGGAGGAGGTGTGGCCTTATTCTGTGGACTGTGTTTCCAAGTGAGCGGAGGGCGCTAGCTATAGTGAGCGCTTTAGATGTCATTTCTTGAACATGCCAGTGGAAGGAGAGCTTTTTGTTAAAGAGGATCCCTAGCTAGCGTAGATATAGGCGGTCAGTTACTTCAGTAACTGTGACTGAGCTTGTTGAGACTGAGGGGGTTATTGCAGGATCTTGATCTGCTCAATGCCAAGAGAAATGCATAAGTTCATATTTATTTGGTGCAAAAGTGATTCCTTCCGTAGTGCCCCATTCAATTGCATCCTATAGAGATTCACTCAGTATCTGGCAATTAGTTAAGAGGGACAGAGAGATTGCTAGGGTCGCTCCATTATCTACGTATCTAAATCTAGTTCTAGGGTTACCTATGTGGAAGAGTGGTGCAATGTAAAGCATAAAGAGAATAGGGGAGATAGGGGAGCCTTGGGGAAGGCTACATGATATATCTATATAAAGGCCAAGTTTATTATCAAATCAGATCTATATGGTTCTTTCTGTGATGAAAGAGCTGATCTAGAGTATTAGATTGTTTGGCTATCCTTATATTCGGAGCCGGTAGGTGAGTCTCTCTGGGAGGACATTATCAAATGCTCCTTCCATATCAAAGGTTAGTAGAGAAGCTGTTTTCCCTTGGTTCAGGGCTTATTCTATGTTGTGTGTTAGACATGTAGTAAGATTGATTGCTAATCTTAGAGAAAGGACTCCAAATTATTGGCTTGCCAGGATCTTGTAGTGGATTGCTATCCAGGCCGTGTTCCATGCCACTAGATGTTCAAGACCCTTTTCTAGGACAGAGAGGAGAGCGATGGGCTAGTAGGATCTAGGATTGGTCCAGTCTTCTTTACTGGGCTTTTGCAGAATAGTGAGAATTGCATGTCTGAAACATTTTGGATAATATTCTAATCATAGGTAGCCTTGGAATAGGAATAAGATCTTATCTTTGATTAGTGGCCAAGCCATCTTTAGGATGTTAGTTTGGAGTTCGTCTTCTCCTAGAGCGGTGTTTCTGGCCTTTAAGATAGACTTTTCCACTTATGCCATGGTGATCTCAGGGAACGGAAGGGTAGTGGTAGGGACAGCTGGGCAGTCTAGCGGGATATCTCCTGCCTCTGTTGTGTTTTGCAGGAGGTTGCAAACTAGTAGATCTTACTTCTCCTGAACAGAGACTGCAGGTGGATTATCCAGCTGTAATGGATCCTTGAGAGGAGGGCTACAATATGACCCCCTCGATTTGTGCCATTTGCTGATATTGAAGACCTCTTTCGTTTGTGAGGCAATTATTAGCTTATTATACCAGAACTCTCTTTGTGTTTTCCTAATTGTGCTGCGAAACTCCTCTTTAGGTAGCAATCCTAATCGGTAGGCTTGTAAGGCTTCTTTGCATTCTGTATTCTACCATGGTTGTCCTTTTTTATGGGGGAGGGACCTCTTGGTAGAGCCTTCGTACGCGCTATGTATTGCCGAGGTCAGCCCTTGGGCTAGTGACTCTAGGTTGGCCTTTGAGGAGTCCAGCGGTTGGATCTGTGAGAGGTTGGTGGAGAGGAGAGATAGAAAGAGGGGTTGGTCGAGTGTATCGAATCTTATTTTTTGGGTAGGTAGTGTGTGTCTTTGGTCCCACGGGATAGTGGTTAGCAGTGGTGTTGTGTGTGTGTGTGTGTGTGTGTGTATTTAACGGCCGTGGTTCGTGACTCGCACGCTTCCCACCAATCCCTACTGGGACATAGGCCGCCGAGGGGTAAGCCTCGGGTTTCAGGTCCTATCAGATTTATGTACAAATAAGAGACTCTTTGGTGCATTTCCATAGCTGCTGTGGTCTTACAGGGAGGTCCACTTTAAGTGGATTTTAGGTATTTGCCAGCTGCAATGGTCTGCCTATACTCTATGACCTATCACTTCACCATTATTATAACTGAATAGTAAGTTTTGCAGAGAAGGAAAGAAAGAAGAAAAGAGAAAGAAAGAAGGAGAAGAGAAATATAAAGGAAGAGTAGGGCTGTCTTAGCTAGGTGCTAAGGAGAGGTTGGCGAGGGCAGATATCCTCAAAGAAGTGGGTCTCTGCTAGCCATGTGGCTAGCTTTTGTGCTCCTTTAGCAGTGCCTAAGAGAAAAGAGATAACCTTAGAAGGGGGCCTAGGAGGTTGAGGGGCTTGTCTCTTAGCTATATGATAGAAGAAAAAATGCAGAGATGCTTTTTGTGCTCTGCATTGGCAGAGAAGATAAGCATCATCATGGTTGAAGCGTTTATGGTAGTCTGCAAAGTCTCCATGACTAGTATAGACTATAATAATATGGCTAAGGTCAAGTCAGTTAAGTTGAAGCTCCCCAGGGCGCTTAGAAGAAGTGGTTATTTCTAGATCTTAATAGCTCTATGGTGCCACCTTCTCCCATTGTGACTGAGCAGCGGATAGAGATTGAGTCTTGGCGTATCTCTTTAGCGAGGCGTATGAGGATTTGTGAGGAGCAGGAGGGATTGAGGCAGCTCCCTCTTTGGCAGCGAGATCAGCCACTTTGTTCTCAGGGATTGAGGCAGCTCCCTCTTTGGCAGCGAGATCAGCCACTTTGTTCTCAGGGATTTTGGCGTGTCCAGGGACCCATCGGATTTGGATAGATCCGCTTTTGGTATAAGGAAGCCTTTTGCGAAGTGGCCAGGCAGCTGCAAGGGTACAGAAGGATTCAAAGATTTCTTAGGAAGATCCTGTAGAGGGAGATAGAAGGCGTATGGCAACTTCCAGGTTATCAAGACAGATCTATAGGTTAGTAGCAAATTAAGCTATTGGGTACACTATTACTGCTTGAGCGCCAGCTAGAGCTGCTTCTACTTCTACATCAAAGACCTCTTTCCTGTGTCCGTATGAGAGTGAGGAGCGGAGGAACTGATGGTGTGCTTAAAGTCCAATATAGCTACCCCCTGCACGTCCGTCTGCTAGCCTAGATCCATCTGAAAAGATTACAATATCTGAGCTAGGGATGGTACGTTGAAAAGCCATGAAATTAGCCGCTGCCTATTCCTTAGTGCGTCCCATGGAAGCTCCTATTTGAGCTTGAGCATTCCCACGAGGCTCGCGAGAGTGCCAGGGAGCGTATTGGAGAGGGTTTATCTGTTTAGAGTTTAGGAGGGCCAGTGTACAGCGGGCAAATCAGCTGATTTGTTAGCCATTACTAGTAATCTGTTCTGCGCGTCTTCGAAGTGGGTGATAAGGGTCGAGATGCCGTAGGCGGACAGTTGCAAGAAGGGCTATTCGATCTAGTTTGATTTCTGGTGGAGAGAATCCAGACTCTCGATAAAGGACTGGCTTTGGGGTTGTGCGGAAGACTGGAAGGACTGCTCTTGCGCCTGTTAGTATTACTTTAGTTAGTTTCTTAAGATGTTCTCCAACTCGGTTTGAAATCTGGGAAGGTCCAGGGTGAGTACGTCCTGGCCACCAGGTTTCTGCGCTATAGTATACTTTATAGAGTACACAGGCTGATACAGCCTGCTATAGTAAATCAGGTTTGACTCCTCGAACAGTATTCCCTAGAGAGCGAAGAGCGTTAGCCACAGTGAGGGCTTTAGATGCTGTTTCTCTAACATACCATTTGAATGTTAGCTTTTTGTCAAAGAGGATTCCTAGCCATTGTAGATATAGCTGTTTAGTGTTTTCTGATATTATAATAGATCTAGCTTTCACTGAAGGTGTGTAGGTTGGGTCCTAGTCTGCTTTATGTCGGGAGAAGTAAAGAAGCTCATATTTATCTAGTATAAATGTAATGCCCTCTGCAGCGTCCTAATTAAGAGCTTCTTAAAGTGAGTCTGATAAGGCTTTGTAATTAGTAGCAAGAAAAGTTAAGATCGCTAGGTTAGCTGTGTCGTCCGCGTAACCAAATCTGTTCCTTGGGTTTCCTAGACGGAATAGAGGCGCTATGTAGAGCATGAAAAGAATGCTAGATACTGGGGATCCTTGTAGAAGACCGCAGGTAATGTCTGTTGAGGGGCCGATCTCTCCATCGAGTCGGATCTGAACTGATCTTCCAGTAGCGAAGGAGGCAATCCAGAGAACGAGATTGGTAGGCCAGCCCTGCTCGCGTAGTCTGCGGATCAGTCTGCTGGGAAGTACGGAATCAAAGGCGCCTTTGACATCTAGGGTAAGGAGTGAGGCAGTCATGCCTTGATTTAGCGCTTGTTCAACATCATGTGTTAGGCATGTGGTTAGGTCATTTATAGATCTTAGTGGGAGAGCCCTAAATTGTTGCCTTACTAATACTTTATAGTGTATAGAGATCCATGCTATATTCTGTGCCACCAAGTGCTCCAGTCCTTTGCCAAGTACTGATAGGAGAGCGATTAGTCTGTATAATCTAGGTGAAGACCAATCAGTCTTTTTTGGTTTCTGGATGATTACTAAGATTGTGTATCAAAAGCATTTAGGATGATAACCAATCTTTAGGCACCCTTAATATAGCATTAGTACCTTATCTTTGATTAGAGGTTAGGCTACTTTGAGTATGCAGGTTGGGATTTCATCTGCGCCAGGGGCTGTGTTTCCTGCCTGAAGTACTGACTCCTCCACTTGTAGCATCGATATATCTGGGAAGTAGAGACTAGTGGAAGGCACTGCTGGGGAGTCCAGAGGTATGTCTCCTGCCTCTGCTGAGTTCTGGAGAAGATTTCGGACTAGTATGTCTCGTTTCTCGTGTACAGTAACTGCTGGGAGGCTGTTAGGTCTTAGCAGATCTTTTAGTGGAGGGCTTCAGAAGATGCCTATAGACTTATGCCATTTACTCATGTCAAAAATATTCTTCATTTGTGTTACTGTAGAGAGCTTCTCTCACTAAAATTGTCATTAAGACCATCTAGTTATCCTGTGGAAGTCTGTCTTTAAGCAGAGGCCTAAGCAGTAATTGTGTAAAGCTTTCTTGCAGTCTTCATTCCATCATGGTTATCCTATGCCTTGTGTTATGGTCCTCTTAGCAGAGCCTCTATATACTCCTTAAATTGCAGATGTCAGTTTTTTAGCAAGGGCATTAAGATCTTCTTCTGTTGCGTCTGAGCTCTCGGTGTCAGCGAGATTAGAGGCGAGGAGCGAGAGGAAGGAGGTGTGGTCTAGTGTGTCAAATCTCAGTTTCTGAGCTGTTTCCTTGTATCTCTGATCCCATGGAACAGTGGTAATTAGTGGTTGATAATCAGAGGTAGCATCTAAGTGGCTCGCTATGCTAGCTTTGGCTCCTGCGAGTGCCAGAGGGCTTGAGGCGAAACTGAGGTCTAACACGTTACCCCTTTCATGTGTGGGACAGTCTATGTCGGAAATAAGTACTAGACCCTGGAGATCCAGCCAGTTGATAAACGGCTCTATAAAAGTTGTAGGGCTGCGTTGTAGCGAGGGTTGCCATCTGTTGTGTAGTAGGTTGAGATTGCCTACAAGTATTGTTGTTTGAGGGAAATACACCTCTAGCAGGGTTGTAAGAGCTTTTGCGGCTTCACCTGCTCTGCTGCAGCCTGCTGGAGCATTATAGATATTAACTATTAGAGCGGACTTTCCTGTGGGCGAGAAAATCTAAAGGAATAGGAGATCCGAGGCTTCTTTAGTGTCAGTTATAAAGGGGCATAGCTGGGAGATCTGGATGCCTTTCTTCTTTCAGATATAGGTGAGGACTCGTGGTCGGCCACTTATTGCCCAGCTATCAGTTAGGGAGAAGCATTCATATAATGGATGTTTTTTAGTGATCTATTAGCTGAGGTCTTTAAATGTATATGGTTCTTGGATTAGGATAATATTAATGTTGCTAGTGTATGCCAATGTGAGGGCTATTTTATGTGCGTCTAGCGTGTGCCCTACATTTAACTGTAGGATTTTAAGAGGCGTCTTTTAAGTTAGATAGTGATAAATTATAGCTCCTGTTCAAGAAGAGAGGCGAACCGGTTTTATGGTTAAGGGGTTATAAAACGGACTATATGAGCTGTAATGGGAGGATCTTTAGTTGGGGCGCGAGGTGGGGGGGTTACTGAACGGAAAGGAGAGATAATCTCATGGATTAAAGACTATGATGATATCTCATCTAATGCTATAGGTGTTTCTTGTGTGCCTATAGAGAGCTGAGAGCTACATCCTCCTTCAGTTCGAGCTTTTGCGAGGTTTATGGCGCAGGATTTGCGGATCTCTGTTTGTTAAGCTTTAGTATGTTTAGTATTGCCTTTAGGGCGCAGAAGGCATTCTGCGAAATCAGCTGGATGTGGTCCATGGCAGTGTATGCATCTAGGAGGGCATTGATGAGGCTCTAGGGCTGTGCAGCGGTTGACATGGCCCTCTTTAGTATACTCTAAGGAGCCGTATAGTTAGCATCAAGAGGGGCGTGCACAGGATCATGTATTATGCTATTTCCAGCATTGTGTGCATTGAATAACTGTTGTTTTCTTAGAGAGATAACAAGCATTAATGATAGTACTAAAAAGATATAGCTAGATAGACAGTGGTGATTTCGTGCCTTCTGGGAAGTTGACAAACCAGCTTGAGGAGAGAGTATCAGGGTTGGCAGCGCTTATAGTGGTCTCGCTAATAGATATAGGCTTGAGCCCTGTAGTTTTGCTAATTTCTAAGGATAGTAGTGTAGGATTGACAGGGATTAGAGAGTATTAACTATCCAAGATTTGGCCAATTTTCCTAGGCACATTGGTGACTCGGTACGAGACCCATCGGGAGCTGCGTTCTATCTAGCAGTTAACAAAGAATGCAGAGATAGTCTCTTTTTGGGCCTCAAGGGCTAGGAGGGCTTCTGGAGATGAGGGACATAGTGCAAAGCCAGTCTTTGTAGCTTGGACTTCTTTTAGTGCTACACTATTTAAGTTTAGTTGAAATCATAGGCTAGAGTAGATAGCGTAGGCTTCCATTTTTCTGGCTGCATGATCAGCTGGGAGGCGTACGAAGAGCTAGATGTCAGGAAGGGGTTGTTTCACCAGAGGCATAGGCTTTTTAATAGAGGCTTTAGGGTGAGTGGTGGGAGTTAATTTGACTGGGGCATATTGGGTAATAGTTGCATAAGTTGACTGGTTAAGACCTGAGGGGGGACGTGAGGGAGGGGGTGAAGGGGGTAAGGGATTTAGGGTGGGGGAAGAGGAAGGGGAAGGAGATAGGGCAGATAGAATGGAGGTCGTCGAGATACCGCTGATATAAGCGTTGAAATGTTGTTGAGCTACCGAGGCGAGGTCATCACTTAGAGCGGTGAGGGCTCTCAGTAGGTGAGGAGCAAGGCTGGTGGTTTGGCTGCGGTGTTTATTAAGGAATACAGCTATGGGGCTGAAGATCTTCTGTCCTTCAGAAGCTCTTGTTGTGGCTGCAGACATGGATTCCAGAAGGGCTATCTGTAGAGGGCCGTCTGTACCAGGGCCTTTACGCGCCATGGTGTTGCCGGGCGCGTTGAGACGCGTCAAAGGCTGCACTCCTGGGAGCTAGGTGGTAGAGAGGGTTGAGGATTTTGAGCCTCCGACTGTTTGATATGAATAATTATAAGGAAGTCGCCTTTCAACTCGAAAATCGCGTGGACTCTCATGAGGCAGTTGTCCAATAAGTGTTGTGTGTGTGTGTGTGTGTGTGTATTTAACGGCCGTGGATCGTGACTCGCACGCTTTCCACCAATCCCTACTGGGACATAGGCCGCCGAGGGGTAAGCCTCGGGCTTCAGGTCCTATCAGATTTATATACAAATAAGGGACTCTTTGGCGCATTTCCATAGCTGCCGTGGTCTTACAGGGAGTCCACTTCCGAGTGGGTTTTAGATATTTGCCAGCTGCAATGGTCCACCTACGCTTCATGACCCATAACTCTACCATAATAGTAATCAAGCAGTGAGAGTTTAAAAGAAAGAAGGAAAGAAGGAAAGAAGGGAAGAAAGAGAGAAAGAAAGAGAGAAAAGAGAGATATAAGGGAAAAGTAGGGCTGACTTAGCTAGGTGCTAAGGAGAGGTTGGCGAGGACAGATATCCTCAAAAAAACGGGTCTCTGCTAGCCATGTAGCTAGTTTTTGTGCTCCTTTCGCGGTGCCTAGAAGGAAGAATATGACCTCAGAAGAAGGTCCAGGAGGACGAGGGGCTCGTCTCTTAGCTATATAGTAGAAGAAGAAATGTAGAGGTGCTTTTCGTGCTCCACATCGACAGAGGAGATGAGCATCATCATAATTAAAACGTTCATGGTAGTCTGCGAAGTCTCCATGTCTAGTACGGGCTGCAATGATATAGCCAAGGTCAAGTTGGTTAAGTTGAAGCTCTCCAGGGCGCTTAGGAGATATAGTTATTTCTAGATCTTAGTAAGTTTGTGGTGCTATGGTCTGCCACCGTGTCTAGGCAGCAGAGAGAGATTGAGTCTTGGCGTGTCTCTTTAGCGAGGCATATGAGGACTTGCATGGAGAGGGGGGGGTAGAGGCAGCTCCCTCTTTAGCAGCAGAATCTGCTGCTTCATTCTCAGGGATTTTAGTGTGTCCAGGGACCCATCAGATTTAGACTGATCCACTTTTGGTGTGTGGAAGCCTTTCATATAGTGGCCAGCCAGCTGCAAGGGTGCGGAAGGATTCAAAGGCTTCTTGAGAAGATCCGGTAGAGGGAGATAGAAGACGCGTGGCAACTTCTAAGTTATCAAGGCAGATCCATAAGTTAGTAGCAAATTGAGCTGTTGGGTATGCTATTGCTGCTTGGGCACCAGCTAGGGCAGCTTCTGCTTCTGCGTCGAAGACCTCTTTCCCATGTTTATATGAGAGTGAGGAGCGGAGGAACTGATTGTGTGCTTGAAATCCAATGTAACCTCCTCCTGCACGTCCGTCTACTAGTCTAGATCCATCTGAAAAGATTATAATATCAGAGCTAGGGATGGTGCGTTGAAAAGCTATAAAATCAGCCGCTGCCTGTTCCTTACTGCGTCCCATGGGAGCTCCTATTCGAGCTTGAGCATTCTCGCGCGTCTCGCGAGGGTGCCAGGGAGCGTGTTGGAGAGGGTTTATCTGCTTAGAGTTGGGGAGGGCCAGTATGCGGCGGGCAAATCGGCTGGTTTGTCGGCTATTACTGGCAACCTGTTCCGCACGTCTTCGAAGTGGGTGGTAAGGATCCAGACGCCGTAGGCGGACAGTTGCGAGAAGGGCTATTCGATCTAGTTCAATTTCTAGTGGAGAGAATCCAGACTCCCGGTAAAGGACAGATATTGGGGTTATGCGGAAAACTAGAAGGACTACTCTTGCGCCTGTTAGTACTACTTTAGTTAGTTCCTTAAGATGTTTGCTAACTTGGTTTGAAGTCTGGGTAGGCCCAGGGCGAGTACGTCCTGGCCACTAGATTTCAGCACCATAGTATGCTTTGTGGAGTACACAGGCTAATACAGCTTGCTGTAGTAAATAAGGTTTAACTCCTCGGGCAGTATTCCCTAGAGAGCGAAGGGCATTAGCCACAGTGAGGGCTTTAGATACTGTTTCACTGACATGCCATTTAAATGTGAGCTTTTTGTCATAGAGGATTCCTAGCCAACGTAGATATAGGCGTTTAGTATTTTCTGAGACTGTAATAGATCCAGCTTTTACTGAAGGTGTGCAGGTTGGGTCCTGGTCTGCTTTTCGTTGAGAGAAGTGAAGAAGCTCGTATTTATCTGGTGTGAAAGTAATGCCCTCTGCAGCACCCCAGTTAAGAGCTTCTTGAAGTGAGTCTGATAAGGCTTCGCAGTTAGTAGCAAGGGATGTCGAGATCGCCAGGTTAGCTGCGTCGTCGGCGTAGCCAAATTTGTTCCTTGGGTTTCCTAGACGGAATAGAGGCGCTATGTAGAGCATGAATAAAATGCCAGATACTGGGGATCCTTGTGGAAGGCCGCAGCAATGTCTGTTGAGGGGCCAATCTCTCCATCAAGTCGGATCTGAACTGATCGCCCAGTAGCAAAGGAGGCGATCTAGAGGACGAGATTAGTAGGCCAGCCCTGCTCACGCAATCTGCGGATCAGTCTGCCAGGAAGCACGGCGTCAAATGCGCCTTTGACATCTAGGGTAAGGAGTGAGGCAGTCATGCCTTGATTTAGCGCTTGTTCAACGTCATGTGTTAGGCATGTAGTCAGATCGTTTGCAGATCTTAGTGGGAGAGCTCCAAACTGTTGTCTCGCTAATACTTTGTAGTGTATAGAGATCCATGCCATATTCCGTGCCACTAGGCGCTCGAGTCCTTTGCCAAGAACTGATAGGAGAGCGATCGGTCTGTATGATCTGGGCGAGGACCAATCAGTCTTTTTTGGTTTCTAGATAATTGCTAAAATTGCATGTCAGAAGCATTTCGGGTGATATCCAATCTTTAGACACCCTTGGTATAGCATTTGTACCTTATCCTTAATTAAAGGCCATGCTACTTTGAGTATGCAGGTTGGGATTTCGTCTGCGCCAGGAGCTGTGTTTCCTGCCTGAAGTATTGACTCCTCCACCTGTGACATTGATATGTCTGGAAAGTAGAGGCTAGTGATAGGGACTGCTGGGGAGTCCAGAGGTATGTCTCCTGCCTCAGCCGAGTTTTGAAGAAGATTTCGGACTAGTACGTCTCGTTTCTCGTGTATAGTAACTGCTGGGAGGCTGCTAGGTCTCAGTGGATCCTTCAGTGGAGGGCTTCGGAAGGTGCCTGTGGACTTATGCTATTTACTCATATTGAAGACGTCCTTCATTTGTGTTACTGTAGAGAGCTTATCTCGCCAAAATTGTCGTTGAGACCATCTGGTTATCCTGCGGAAGTCTGTCTTTGAGCAGAGGCCTGAGCGGTAATTGTGTAATGCATTCTTGCAGTCTTTATTCCACCAAGGTTGTCCTATGCCTTGTGTTAGGGTCCTCTTAGCAGAGCCTCTATATGCTCCTTGAATTGCAGATGTCAGTT